CCGAGGATTGCGGAGGCGGAATGCACCGAATGCGATGGTTTTACAGACTGCTTTGGGACGGTGGAAACGTCGCTTATCATGATTACATGAAGACCGTTCTGACCAAAGAGGAGGTCGAATCAATGATCAATCCAACTGCAACAGCTGAGTATGTCGGCGACATTTTCGAATTCTGGCTTGGAATGCTTGACCTGGGTATTCAATTTCCTACTATGTTCGCTGGATGGGGGGCAAACCTTGACAATTGCCTCGCAGGACTGGAAGAGTCGTTTTGGCTATTCAGCAGTTCATGTCGACCTACCGACACCATCAACACAAAGCGAAACCGATCCAGGAAAGCATACATTCCACCGGTCGGGAATGACATGGTGATTACAATCCTGAAAGAAGCGGGAATTTTTGACCTACTCATGCAGAAGAAGATCACCAGAATGCCAGTGCTCCCAAAAGCCAACTACGACGACCACCCTGAAATGATTGAAGTCTCATCGAGCGATGAAGAGGTGGATGAAGTTGATGAACCTGATGAGGAGACCACGACGCCTACGGCGCGGGGCCCTCGAGCAGAACAGACTTCAGGAGAAACCGATGCTGGAGCTGGTGACATCGAGATTGAGGAGGAGGAAGATGACATGGGGGGCCAACCTTCGGAAGCGAAGAAACGCCGAACTGAGGTGCGTGACATCCGTGATCGATTTGAGAAGTTGATTTCAGATGCCTTGGATGTTCAATATTGTTTCATTTGTGGTGGAAGACATGGCATTGATGAATGCACTACACCAGATGATGAGAACATGAGGGACACCATTTGGCGCATGAGATTGATCATGGATCAGAAGTCCAAATCCCCATCATCGTCCGAAAGATCCAAAGCTGCGACCAGAGGCAGAAAAGATAAGCTCCCAAAGAACGTCATGCCACGAGGAAAGCGTTGGGGAAGAACCAGATTCACTGAGAAAGAGGAAGTGACAAAGTGCTTCTACAGTCAGTCAGCCTTTATGTACGATATTGGTGATCGTGAAGAAGGAGGACAATACTTAGTGAATGGTGTTGAAGTCAACCCAATTAGCCGAGGTGTGAAGAATCGTCATGAGCTTGATATGCTGATTGAACGTGCAGCTGAGGAGTCCCCGCCTGTTTTGCCGACCATTGAAGAGCTGAATGCTTTGAAACATATTGATCATGATGTTTACATGAAATGGCTTACTGAGGAAAGAAAACAACATGGAAACAACTGGAACTTCAAGTACATCCAACCATTCACACATGGCCACAATATTGGTACACTCCAACTTGCCCGCATCAATGGAGAAGAATACCTTGGGATGGGCTGGTGGAAGGTGCATCGATACAGCGAGAATGAGTGGATGGGCAACAAGTGGGAAAACCCGCCATGGATGGTTGAACTGTCGAAAAGGTTCAATGCTGCGCTACGCCACTCCGTGGGTTGCGTCAGAGACAGCCGAAATCACCGTGGACTTCCATGCGATGAGGCAGGATGGGTCAATGTTGAGTCGATCTTGAAGTACGATGCTATTTGGAGAGACCAACACACATTGGCTGGAACGACACACGTCAACTATCCGATACTTGTTGAGAGGTGGAACAATTTCCAGAGAGTGATTTTCACCGAGTACAAGCAAACGAAGAGAATCCGAGCCCAAGTGCTAGGACTCAAAGTCACAAAGGCTGAGTTGGAATACCTCTTGAACAATTTTGATGATGGATTGACCTCGAGACTTGATCGACAAACACTGAGGTTGGAGATCGGCACAGCAGATCGAGAGATTTGGCTTTGGCCAGTGGCAATCCGAGCCCCTATGGCACATTCAAGAGTTCAAGGCGGTGTGCACATCGAAGACAAAAAGACTTCATATCAGATGAACCCTGGAGTAGGATACACTCTTGGAGGAGGATTTCACTGCACCACATTTGACAACATCGCTCAAATCTTCAGAGAAGGACTACGTCCCGGAGGAGGAGGCGATCGCATCAATACGTTCTTCGTGCCATTTGCGCCGTGGGACGTGAGAAGTCAGACGGTGCTGAGATTCAGGAAGATCGATCAAACTGATCTTGTCTATATCTACATCACGTATGATTCCATCGCCAAGTTCTCCCCTAGATTGTCAGCAGACGGACACATTTTGGTCCAAGAAACAATTCCATTCGAATCATTCGATGCTGTTTGGTATTACGATTGGAAAGAAAAGGACTATTACCGTCTCATGATCACAAAGGGAAGAGATCAACTTGTTCTTTCTGTGCAAGGAGCAAAGAGAGTGGCCACCATTGAACGATTTGACAAGCTCATTGGAAACATTGTGCCTGAAGAATCATCACCCGATCTTGAAGAACTTCGAAAACTTGTCGACATCAGGACAGGTCACTTCAGTCATACTCACAGATTGTTCCCTGGACATCCGGATTGGAATGATGCAATTTCATTATTGGCAGTCACCCATCATCCCAGCAAAGAGGACCATCGACTATGCCCCGCATGCCTGATGGAAACCCCTGCGCCTTTGTCAATTTGTGTGATGTGCAAAGGATTTTTGGTGAGTCATGGGTGGAGGAAACGGATCAAAATCACCGTGGCGACCGTACCAAAGGCCGAATCACATCATCGAGAAGAAGATCTCAAAGACCATGTCAAGAAAGCATGGGAAGAGGTGAAGATCGATTTGACAGGTGATGATGATAACGATGAGGCAATGCCAAATGATGATGATGTCACCATGAAGAGTCCAGAACAAGAACCTCAACCAGAAGAAGAAAATGATGATCAAGCCTCGAAGAAGGGCGACATCAATGATGAGAAAAGAGACTTCAGAGAGCAAGATGAGGTCGACGAATTTCTCAATCAAGAAGGAAAACCGACCGACGAGAACGATGATGAAGAAACAGCGGTCGATGAGATCAACATTGAAGAGTATGAGGCTGGAGAAGCTCGTGATGCAGAGATTGAGTACCCCAAGTGGATGCAGCGAATTGAGTTTGGATCAAAGGTCCTACCAATCGAACCTTGCGCAATTGGAGATGCTCAACCAGAATTCATCAAGATCCTCCTGTTGCAGATGGGATTACATATCGTCAGGATCTACAGACTATTCCAACGGAACTTCTGTGGAGACATCGGGACGGCATGGAAACATTTTCAACAGAACCAGAAATTTAGGATGGACCTGGACTCAAGGACACCTTACCTGGGCGAGGATGAAAATGGTGAACTCATTGAACCAACTGCACAACAGATGAAAGAGCTCTACAAAGAGATCGGCCGACCAAATCAAAAGGACGACATCGGAGAAGAGGGATTCGTCAATGCTTATTATGGGGCAGTGGTACTCAAAAGACTTCTCATATACACCCTTGAATGTGGCTACACATATGAAGACTTGCAAAACATTTTCTTTGATGAGGAGATGGAGAAGCTGTCAAAATATGACACCACAATGGATGAGATGAGAAAGACCACGGCGGCCCGCGACGCCCTTGACCGACAAGACGTCTTGGTTAGAAGAAGCATTGCAGGAGCATACAGGGTAAATGCTGTTTATTTCTTCAGGAACGTCGACTTTCAAGACACAATCACACTGAACCCAGTTGACATTGTGTGTGCTCTTCGTCCACCACTTCGAAGAATTTCACTTTTACACCTGATCCTTCAGAATGGCCGACAATTGCCACGACCTCTACTCCAGAAGCTATATGGTGCAATCGATGATTACAATCACATCAAGCAACGGGAAGATCAACGACCAAGGTGGGGCATTCACTTGACAGAAGCTCACATACTTGCGATTGCTGATACCCCAACTCCTGCTGATCGTGAACGTACCAACCCAGCCGCTGGCAAATCGAAAGCAGCCCCGAAGGCAGAACCAGCACTGGGAAGAGCGTCAAAAGCGAAAGCATCATCGTCAGCAACATGGAGAACAGTTGAAACCGCTCCTCCGCCAAAACAAGCTCCAGTGACCCCGCCAAAGAAGGGTGGAAAAGACCAAGGAAAAGGTGGAAGATCTTATTCACACCGTGGCGGAGACTGGAATCATCAGGGATACTATGGATGGGGATATAGATGATTAAGCGATCTGACCTCTGCATAGGTCCTGATTGAACCTGGCGATGCGAGGATGCAATCAGTGCTCGAGATTTACCTCTACTTCATTTTGAATGATTTCTGAGAGGACTCTGAGCCGGCTAATTTAGAACCACACATTTTTTTTTGAACATCATTGCATGAGACGCTGAGTTTCTACAGCGGTCTACTTCTCAACCGACGAAGGAATGGGAAGGTAAACTTCTAATTCCGTAGTCATCTCTGTGTTTGATTTTTATTTTAATTCACATGCTTGAGTGGGACTCCATGCTGGCTACGCCACATCGGATGAACCTCAACGCTAGACACCGACTACGTCGTGTCTGCGTGCACGTGAACAGACCCTTTATCTTTCGGTAGAGATTGTAGCAAGCCGCCACGTAGATATGAAGTTCTGAACGGACTTTAGCTCTCCATAATTCAATAAACGAACAACTGCAGGTACATAGGAACGATTTAAGGAACACTCCTTTGCGCATGGTCAACAAAGTTGTCCATGCGTGGGGGGTGCGAATGGGATGTAGACCACAGCACGTAAAATAATCCCATGTACAGTATACCTTAAGTTCCTGTGGGCCAAGGATCGAAATCCATCGCTCCTTTGGCTCAAGACCCCCTGCAAGCTCCAGTAGAAAAGAACGCCATGCCGAAATTGCACTTCTGTTGACGTCATTGCTGAAGGGAATCATCTTCTACAATACCCCAACGAACATAATCGGAGAAATAACCTTCGGTTCACAATATATATATATGGACATGTTGACCAACATAGATAATTTGTGATGGTATAATGTATAGTTGAATCAATAAACATGCGTTTGTTGCCGCCAAATGCCGATTGACAGCTACGTGCAAGTATGTATCTCACTAGATCTACATATGCTCAGCACTGCCCCAGATCTCCCTTATCACGGAGCTCATGGAAGACGCTACATTCGGTTGACCCCTGGTCCGATCCCCTTTGCAGTCCTCACGGTGTTTGGCGTTTCCTGCTTGTCACTCCTGCTTTTTGTTTTTCTTGGAAAATGTTGATTCACATTCTTCTCGGATCTTAAACCATCATTGTTTATAAATATATAATATATTATTATATTGTGTAATAACATATATATAATATCTTATATATATAATGTAATACAATATAATATATATATATACTATAATAATAATATACATATATAATAATACATATGTAGTTATATATATACACAATTATATATAATAATATATATACTATAATATATATATATATATAAAATACTATATATAGTTATATATATATATATAATTATATATATATATATACACATACATAACTGTATATAATACATAGTTATGTACATATACACATGTTTTTTGATGGTTCGAAAATCCCAAGGTTTGATCTATCGAATCTATTTGAATCATCAGCCCAGAGTCATGGTGGCGTTCATTTTGAGGCAGACTCGACGGCAAGAGACCAAGAACCAGGTGATCGAAACCAGGCCAGGTCAAAACCGTAGGTATTTTACCGGTGGTCCGGAGATCTCTGGCCCCTCATTGGGCCATGGGATTATCATCTTTTCTCCAGAAACAAGTGACAAGTTTTGGGGAAAAGTCACCACACAATTGGAGTTTCTCATGTTTTGTTCATCACAAAATATAATTATTTACTACCCCAAAGTCATGACTGGGATGTCGGGAAAAGAGAAACGCAGATCGGGTCGGGGCTCAATTTGTTTTTTTCAATCTTGGTAACCACTGAATAGAGTGCATATATATTAAAAAAAAACATTAGATATAGTAGCTAGATGATAACTAGTAGATGAATAGTTAGATAGATAGATAGATAGATAGACAGACAGATAGACAGACAGATAGATAGATAGTTAGATAGATCGATCGATAGATAGATTAATTAGATAGATAGATAGATAGATCGATAGATAGACAGACAGACAGATAGATAGATAGTTAGATAGATAGATAGATTAATTAGATAGATAGATAGATAGATGGATAGATAGATGGATAGTTAGATAGATAGGTATACGGATAGATAGAGGGGGTCTCGATTTTTTCATTTCACCAATTTCCTGAAGTTGGGAGATCATTCTTCATGATCTCGTCCCGGCTTTAGGACCTTGGTGGTCAAACGCGTACGTGACTCGACATTGAAAACATGGCATTCCTGGCAGCTTGGGGTTCAAACTCTTGAGATACAGTGCCCCCACAAGTTATGTTTGCTGGTTTAACAGAAACATATATAAACTCAACTCGAAAATTATACTGTAATCACCATAAACCCTGGTTAACCTAGTTGTATACTGACTTGGCTATGGGGCAGATATTTGGTCTTAGTTTCAGTAAACTAAGAAAACTCTGTGGAATTCCATGGCTTTTCCATCTTGGATTTCCCAGGTCTTCGTCAGTGAACTGGAGTCTACCCGGAAGTCAAACCTGACAAGGGAACATGTATTTTTTTGCAAGGGGTTAACCATCAATTGCTGGGGTTTTCCTCAAAATTTCAGACAAATGACAAACCTATAGATATGATATCGGCATATGTGTTTATACTCAGATTAACTTGGGTTAACCATCAACTGTTGGGGTTTTCTTCAAATTTTCAGTTCAGAATACGTGTGAATGTTCATCACTTATATAAGGGGCATGTGGATCCATTCAAGCATGTGGGTCTCGGTTGAAGACTCAACAGGACAATTTCTGAGGGCCCCATAGCCCTTAGGCCATTTCTTAGGTCAGAGCTCAGTGCCGGCATTTCTGACCAACACTTAGGTCGAAAATGAGGCCAAAGTTGCCGTGCTGGGCGATACTGCTGTGCGAGTTTACCATGGGAGAGACGCCCAGGGTTTCAACATTGGTTCCATCCATGATTCTCCATGTACTGAAAATCGGGTGGCCAAATTGTAGGCTTCAGTGAATAAACACATTTTGCTGAATTTCCTTCGAAGCCCAGAGTTGGCCCCAGTGGTGTTCATGGGACTTGGGCTTCCTCCAAATTCAAAGCTGCAGCCTTTGCGTTTGATGAAAAGCGTGGGGCCAAACATGCGGTCGTGGAAAGGCGGAAAGGCTGCGGGGATGGGATTGGTCAACAGTGAAGAGCGGGCCCAGTGTCCCAGGATTTCAGCAGCCTTTCAGGATGTCATTGGGCTACAAGCAGTGAACGTCACCGGGGTCGATGATTCGAATTGATATTAGATAGGAACGTTGTTTTTGTGACCGGGCTCAAATAGAGAGATGAGTTTGGTGAAAAGTCTCGTTCTGGGGAATCATATCAATACCACAGCTGGCTGGAAATATGGTTGTCTTCCAAGGCTCAAATCCCAATGGGGTCGTCAGTTTCCGAAAGAGTTTCGGAGGATGGTATCTCAAAAAAATCCCCATCGGAATGATCATCACGATGAAATCCATTGAAATCACCATATGATCACAATGAAACCACCTAATATTTACCATTGTGATTGGAAATCATGAAAAACAATGGAATAACATTTAAACCACCATTTTACCACCATTTTCATTTTTTTAACAATCATTTAAACCACCATTTCAACATGAAATTGGAAATCAAAATTCACCATTCTATCACCATTTCAACATGAAATCTAACATGAACCCCCCAATTTTTTCTGTGGATGGAAGAAATCCTGCACCACCTAGGATGGTTGAAACCCTATAGATAATGGGATAAACCATCTATCAACTGGTGCAGGATTTCGCAACCATCCACAGTACCCTCTGGTAAACTAACATAACTATGGAAAATCACAATTTTTCATGGGAAAATCAACGAACTAAATGGTGATTTTCCATAGTTTTTTGTATGTTTACCAGAGGGTATCACCATTAAAACCACCATAAAAACCGACGAAAACCTGGCGTTCTCATCAGGTCGCTGCTCCCCGACATGGACCTGCTGTCGCTACAGCTGAAGTCGTATCTTGGCAAAGATTTGTTTTGCAGCCGCTGGGTGCGTAAAGAACCATAATCCCATAGTTCAGAAGGGATTTGAATGGGATATAAATGGGATCTGGATATATAATATATACTTGTGTATAATAATATATATATACATATATATATATATATCTAAATGATGAGATCTGAATACATCTATATACCCTCTGCTAAACTAACATACATATATGGAAAATCACCATTTTTAATAGGTAACTCAACTATAAATGGGCCATATTCAATAGCTATGTAACAAATTACCAGAGGGTAAATGGGATATCATACGGAGAATTGGGGATATGGGGATACAACATGTAAGTGGGGATGGGGCCTATCATGGTGGGGATGGGGCCGGAAGTCCATTTTTGGGCATTGCGAATCATCAATGAGCGGAGCTGCAAAGAAATGGCTGGTTTTAGCCTCCGGGCAAAGTCTGACAAAGTTAAGAACATGTGGAGATTTTTCAGCAGCAAATACCAGGTGAACCCACATGTGGTAGGTTAATGGGATGATTTTTAGTCGTTTTGATGGGGACAGAAAAACGCCTTTTCAACACGCACGGGGATCGTGGGGATGCACACCCAATGGCCGAGCGCCTACCTCACTGGCCGACCCATCACCATCAAAGATGCTTTATATTGGGGGCATCATTCCAGAGATGGCCAGCTTGTTTGAGAGATGTCGAAATTTACCTACAGGAAGGTCTTTCACCGTCTTTCAGTTAGCTAAGTAGGATTTTTGGTGGTTGTATCTATAGTTCGTCAGATGGCGTTGTAAGCAATTCACAAGTTGGGGGGACCCTTCTTCTAGAGATGATCCGTGTGGCCCGGCTGTGGGGATTCATCCCAGCATTTTGCAGCCATTTTTTGTGTCCTTCATTCCCTGGCCTTCCGCATTTTGCTATCACTGGTGACATGAAACCAGGGTATTTCTGAAACTATGTGGAGCTCGGCCACGGTTTTCCACACCTTGAAGGGGGCATTGGGGCAGATAGTCGTTGATCATTCGTTGGCGTTGAAGATGCCAGGATCCCATTGGTGTTCCGCAGGTAAACCGCAGGATTCAGAAGTTTCTTTCAATGCGTTTTTGCCTTTGGGGGGACAATACAATAATATACATACGCAGAGATGCTTGTTGAAGTCCAAGATTGGGCATCTTTGGGCTCCATGGCCGTCCTGTAATCGTCCTGTATCCCCTGCCATCATCACTCAGGAAGCCCAAAGTGACTCCGACACTGGCTCTGAATCACAAGGCATGACCTCCGGTGAGTGGGGTAGAAACAAAGGGCCCATTTTAAGCTGTACATAGCTGTACCTATTATAAATCGACGACTGTTTGATATCCTTTGATATCCCATATATCGGTCCCAGAATTGGTCGAAGGGAACATCTACAGGAAAAGCAAGAAAATCCTTGGCTGACTTTCCTCCTCGCGTCTCCTCACACCATTTTCTCTTGGGTCTCCAGGCGCGTCGGCAACGAGCCAAAGCCAGGCGGGCTGACCGACCAACGCCATGGAGTGAAAAGTGACTGAGTTCATATCTAATTCACCACTTAAGTAACTGGACCAATCGCAATTATCAGTTATTATGAATCAGTGATTCCTATCTAAGTTACATCGAGTGAAACCTATAGCTGGGTTTTTGATCCAGTTAACTAATCCTAGAGCCCAGACAAGCATGATGGATGACGTTGATATCGAAATGATTCTCCAGTAGTAATATGCCAATGTGCTTGGGATCTGTTCAGTCTCAACTCTCACCCAATCTTGTGACCAAACTTTGACCGAGCATGGGATGCGCAGCTCGCGACTGTGATGCCCAAAGGGACATTTTGGAGTTGAAGCTTTAGTAGAGAAATGGTTTATTTGTTTGCCATAGGGCCACAAGTAGTTATGTACACTGTCCAGCTAGGAGTTGCATTTTTGTTGCTGGCTAACTAAGATGAGACGCAATGTTGGTTTCAAGCATCCAACTTTTTGGGGTCACTAACTCTGAACATTTAAAAGCCATATCCAGTCGTTGCCCAAGCTTCAGCATCCAATCTTCAACCCATCGACCTGTAGATTCGGTTCGTGAAGCACTAGTAAATACGCCAAAACAATGTGGGGTTTATGTTTACGATGGTTAAGTTGGGGGCCACATAACTCCAATAACTATGGTTTATGATACTGATAGCAGATATTAACAGATTATAACTATAGTTGATGGATGTTAATGGGGTTTATAAACCAAGCAACATAACCGGGGGTCCCACATTGTAGATGAGTCATGGAACTTCTCCCAACCTTGACAGGCATTTGGCGGCTGCCACCTGACTGAAGCATGACGACGGCACTGCGACATCACAGTAAAGGACGATTACTGTAGGGGGAATATAATATATACTGTATATATATAATTATATATATATATATATTTACACATTGAACAGCTATTAATATAAAATGTACTTTTTACTGATGTAACATTGCTATAATATACAGTACCTGATTTTTCTTTCTGATTTTGGAATTAAAATATATAATATTGTTACTGTATGACAACCCGGGCATTTTTTTACCACAAATGATGGTGATGAGGGTAGGCGCCCCCAGAAAATAACGTATTTTCAGTCGGTGTGCCTTTTCAAAGTTTCAAGTGGAGCATCTAGTTCTGGCACATGACTCAGAAATTGAAGCAATAGATGTTTCGAAGGCAGTCGCTCCAGTCCTTGTGGAAGGAAAGATGGAGAAAAGAATTCTTGGAGACAACTGCCGTGAGTTTTTACAGGAACATGACAGTATGTTTTGGGAGATTCACTTCCTGCATTCAGGCCACGGCAGCCTCCAGATACTTGTTCCTTACTACACATCAAGTGGCTTCTCGATCACAGTCTTTCCTTACGATGACACCTGTTCCAAACATCGCCATGGCCCCGATCTGGGACATTTTCTGAGGTCTCAAATTCCAGCGAAGCCTTGTCCGCCAGCAAAAGTGCAGGCACGAACCTCGGTCAAGTCCATTGAAATAGGACAAGAAATCTGTAGACCCAACACTGGCGATTGGCATGTAGCCGAGTGTGTATACTTCAAGATTATTTGGCCAATTCATAGTTGCATAATTATAGATTTTTGGTGATTTTTGTGTTTCTCGAAATACCCTCAGGTAATTTAACATAGCTATTGAAAACCACCATTTTTGATGGGTAAATCCTCGAATTTACTGGGCCATGGCTTCCAGTTCGCTTCCCTCTTCGGGCGTTGCCTCGCCTCTTCCGCAGGCATCCGAAAACTTGAAGAGTTAGATCGGGACCGCAGGGAAGGGCGAGAACGGGTGCAGTCCAACACTTGTGAAGTTGAACATACCCTCTGGTAATTTGTTACATAGCCATTGCAAATGGCCATAGAAATAGTGGATTTTCCCATAAAAAAATGGTGATTGTCCAGTTCGCTATGTTAAATTACCCGAGGGTATTCCTTGGGCGCTTGCTTCTCAAGTTTTTCACGAACCCGCAAAGCAACCACTTACTTCAGGCAATCATTTCAATAGTATTTGGAACTTCGAAACTACCAAGGTGAAACAAGCATGAATCTCTTGTGTTTGTGCAGGGGACCTCACAAAGATCTATATTAGTTTTCCAGGGCGTTCGCATCATTTCCATCAGCTTCACAGGAGTCAGTGAGTTCTGCATCAGACAGGCGGAGCTGGATGGTATCCGCAGCTGGATGGTGTAAACCATCCCCCAAATCACCATAAATAGGTGGTATAGACATGTATAAAGCGTTCCCTTATTATGGTATATTATGGTTGGTTTATGACATTGTTTTATCCACATAAACATTAATGTCTATATATATCATGGAAACACCATGAAAAAAGGGATGAGAACTAGGGATACCCCCGTGACTTAGGAAGCCCCCATAGAGAAGACAATTTTCCGAAATGAGGCAATCTTTGGGTTTTGTTGTTACATTGTAGTTCCTGTTATCCATGATCTAGAATCGCTTAAAGACGGTGAGGAGAAGTTCAAAGACAGTGAGGTTCTGGTGACTTTACCTGCAGCTGGTTCCACTATGGTCCAAGGACCTCATCATCATCTTGAGCAACGATTTTGCCAAATGGAAGGGCTGAAAGTTGCAACGACCAACTGATAGATTCTTGTCTCAGCATTACTGGTTGCAGGAGTCTAGTTACTTCATTTTTACTGGGCTTATTGGGATATATTCCTATGACCTCCCCATTATCATCCTATCATTCCCTATCACAATTTTGTAGTTGGTGAGAATTCTGCATGTTTGTGGGATATATCATCTTCATCTTATAGGATACACCACATAGACAGACCTGCTTTCCCAGGATGCGATAGATGATTGCTAACCTCAGACTATACAAATAATATACGTATATATCCAGGTTTGCAACTTTTCTATCCAATTCTTGGGTTTTCTCTTAACTCTCTTAACTCTATTCGATAGTTATTTCAGTGAGAACTTGGCGCCACAGACTAGATCAACACTATCGAATTCTGGGCGGCCAGGCTGAGCAGTGTGAGCACTCAGGGGGGGCCAACGTGTGCCGGTTCTGTCTTGACATTACCCATAGGATCCATGTATGCTATATATGGTAACATTTACCATCAATATACCCCCAATGTTAGCATATATACCATACATGGATCCTATGGGGTTCATAGTTGGGGTAAGAAGCGACATCTCCCAGTTCGCTTCAGCAGTTTGGGTTCGACACTTCAGCAGTTTCTGTTCGCACTGGGCCTTTGGGCATCACATGGTGCTTCCCATGCCGTGGTCACTGCAACGGGTGCGATGCCATGGCCATCGGTTCATATCGGTTCCTTAAGCCAGTTGCTATTGAAGTAACTCACCTCGTTTCAGCCATGGGACATCCCATTCAAGTGACAAGCGGCACATTATACTTTGCCTTGGCTGAAAGCTGAGGTGGGAGTAGCGATGACGGCAGGCAGGATGAGGGAGCGACTGAATCCAAGCATCTACTGCTGTTTGCTCTGGTTTCTGATGAAAACCCACCAAGCATCTCGCATTTTTATGGGCAAGAAAGGCACTTGGCAGGTTAACCCACTTCCAAGCTGCACATGTCAGGCGTGAGAGGAAGAACTCCAATGCGTCTGCTTTGGAGGAGGGGATTTTTCAGATGGTTGACATGAACCATATGGGTCTGTATATGGGGAGTAGCCGAGTAGCCTTGGCTGCCCTTAGAAGCTGCCCGTGTTAAAACAGATCATCCTGAAAGAAAACTCCACGGTCATTGGGATTCATTGGGACACGAATCACATGTACAGGGACAAGAACATTAATTCAATTCACAGAACAGCAGCACTGAAAGGGTTTTTGTTTCGTTTGGGTCTTGACCCTTTATATTAGTCTTTGCAGAATTTCCATTAATTGTTTGTGGACTCAATCCCTGACTCCATAAGTCTTCTCTGGATGTTCCCCCAAATCCACCGCAGTGATCCGCAGTTTTCTCCGCCCCCAAGGAACATCAAGGAACGACCTCAGTTGCAACATCCTTCCTAACCAACGTTGCTGGCGCTACATTTGTGCAAGTCTAAAGGGGGTACAACCAAAGCACTCACTGCTGATCTATGTCATTGTCGGACTTACTGCCAAATCAGAATCCAAGAGTTTGGAATATGTAACTGGTTGGTGGTTTGGAACATTTTTATTTTCCCATATGTTGGGAATTTCATCATCCCAACTGACGAAGTCATATTTTTCAGAGGGGTAGGTCAACCACCAACCAGTAGATTCACTTTGTGTCCTCACTTTGTGTCCTCAAGACATCCATCTTTTGGACGACCAAGCCCGGTCTTCGGGTGCAGCTGCTCCATGGGAGCTGTAAAGCTTGACCACTCAGATCTGGCCCACCATCGGGCTGGCATCATGCAGCAGCTGCAGCAATTCTGACTGGACGATCATCTCTGCGATGTTGTGCTGAGGAGCCGCGATGGCACAGAGCATCGTGCCCATATGGCCGTGCTATCTGCTGCCAGCGTGTTTTTCAAGAATCTTCTGAGTGGGTCGTTCATTGAAGCAGAGAAGGTGCAACAAAAGCAGCCAGTGGAAATTGCTGCGTCCAAAGCGGCAGTGTCTGGGTTGCTGGACTACATTTATGAAGGGAAGCCTGAGGTATCTGTAGAAGTTGCTCTTGAACTCCTACGACTGGCAGAAGCATACAACCTGCCAAAGTTAGGCACAAATACCTGCCTCGATCGCACCTGCTATTAGCAGGTACGATCGGGGCAGGCGTTTGTGCTTCTTTGGACGGCAGTGGCAGTGCTGCCCTGCAAGTTCTTCAAGAAGCGCATGGCCTTCATTCTTTGAGAGCTGCCTGCGAAGAGAAGGTGGCTGAGGATTTTGAGACTTGCAGCCAGCATCCAGACTTTGGGAAGATCAGTGTTAGTCAGCTGGGGCGAATTTTGAAAAGGGAAGATCTGGGTGTGTCTCGGGAAGAGGTAGTGCTGCAGGGCATATTTACCTGGCTCAAGGTTTCCAACGACAGAGAAGCCTTTCTGGGTCTACTCATGCAACATGTGCATTTCCAAGCACTTTCTATGGAGAATTTGCTTGGCCTCGGCAGAGCAACTCTGGTTCTAATGGTGATGACCTCCACAGAGAAGTTGATGATGCTTTGAAGTCCCGAAAGAGAACCCGCAGTCCAGGTAGGTTTCAGGCGAAGAGGTGTCGTGGAAAAGCATTGGTCACCGTTTTTTGGCGCCAGCACCAACACTGAAGCTTCAGGGCGAGAAGTGCTTTCCGTACCCTGTGTCGATTTACGCTGCTACAAAGGTGAGATTTTTGCTTCAGAATTTGGCGGCAGTAGCATCGTCTGTTGGAAGCGTGGTGACCCTGCGACTCAGTGCGGCGTGCCCATGTGTCTGGAATTCATGACTTCGGACCTTGTCGTCTGGCCATCTCCCCAAGTGGGGAGATTTTCGTGGCAGATTTAAGGAATCAGAGGATTCTTCGTTTCGAAAATGGATCTGGACCTCTAGTTGTTGACAACACTGACGCCAAACCCATGTTTTGCTCACCCAATGGAGTGCTGTATGTGGTGAGCCAACGTGGGGAAGAAGTGCAGAAGTTGGTGGGCTCGAGGCTCGAGGCTCCAGACAGTGCCTCTGAGAGTCTTCCGGCAGACATGAAGTTTCAATCGTGCAGCATGCTTGTCACCAAGGAAGAGGTGATCTATCTTGGGGATAAATCACTTCAGCATCGCATTCTGAATGTATCAACCCAGCTGAGTCCTTGGAGCCTCTTGTGGGACAAATCCCAAACGAGGCCAGATCAACTCTAGTGGACCTGTTCGTAACTGAAGGTGGAACAATCTGCATGTTGCCGACAGCAAGCGAAGGTGTTAGGCACTGCATCCAGCCTGGCTGAACCCTCAAAAAAAGATCCCGTGAACGCCATGAACGGGAGAGTTTGCGAATTTTTGTTGCCTCCAAAACTTTTGCGAATGAAAAGTGAAACAAAAGTCCTGGCATAAAGGACCTTTATTATTGGTAGCCTTGTGTGCTTGATGCTTGCAAACAAACTCGAGACTCGAGACATCTTGGGGGACCGATCATCGAATTCCCATGACATCCCATGGCTATGATTTTTACTATATTAATAGTAGCTGTAATTAATCCATATTATTAGCATTATGGATTAATCTCATGCTATTAATGGCTATTAATATGGATTATTAATATAGGGTTTTTACTAATCCATATTAATCCTGTAATTAATCCCCCAACTGCTTGAAGTGATTGCTCATTTACCTATTATCTGCATGCCGCACCAATACGTTTGTCACGACTGACAACCCTTATCATTATGTTCCAACTATATACTTGACCCAACAATGAGTTTGCCCACCATTTTCCCAACTATTTACCCTTTACTAACATACCCATTCACCTCAGATTTTTATCGCAGCATTTGCCAAGTATCCCAAGTTAGAATTACAATTTGGCCCCCCCAGTGATGTTTGTTGTTTTATAGACCCCAGTAACTATAGTTATAAGATGTTATAAGTACCATAAACTATAGTTATTGGAGTTCGTTCACCAACTTAGCTATCGTCAACGGGGGCCCCACTTTGTACCACTGGGCCAGGACTTGGGCATTTGGACATTCAAAACCCCGGAGCATCTAGCCTTGCTGCATCTCCGTTGCTTGGTGCACCGAACGCCTCGGTACTTTTTCGGGGGAGCCGCAGAGATACTTAGCTAAGCTGGTAAACAGAACAGTTTAAGGTTACCTGTTGGGTTATAGAATGTTATATATATATATATATATGTACCTATATAGATCTTCGATCGTATAAGAATATTTTGGTATAGACTATGTTGTTTAGTACAAAGGGCATCGACCAACATATTTTGAGATTTAGAAGCTCTAGGTATATATATATATATGTTCATTGGTAGAAGAACTGGTCAAGTTGGGCCGTAGTAGGATGGTGATTTAATCAGCTGTGGTAGGATATACATTCCAGTCAATTCACATCGACATGGAAGACCCGCCAAAAAAACTGATCATGGGTTTCCCGATCGGGAAACCCATGATTTTCCATATATGTATGCTGGTTGGTGGTTTGGAACATTTTTATTTTTTCCATATATTGGGAATTTCATCATCCCAACTGACGAAGTCATATTTTTCAGAGGGGTAGGTCAACCACCAAACAGAACCAATCTCTGGGATTTGCTATGAGAATTTCCGGGATTTCCATATGTCAATTTACCAGGATCTACTCGTAAGTGATGAATGGTAGAACATGATGGGTCACTGATTAAAGCCCACATCGGAAATGTTCGGTCCAGCCACGGTGGATGCGTGCGGTGAAGGAAAATGGTGGCTACAATGTGGTGCCCCCAAGAAGACCATAGGAAACCATAGGAATCTGTGGGTTTTTCATGGGATTTATAGCTGATTTATGATAGCGTTCAGTTGGTGAACATATATAACTCCAATTTCACGATGGTTTTTGTTGGTGATATATCGAACTAGTTTTCATGGGGTTTATAAACCAATTTATATAGGGGGCACCACCTTGTAGACGATGGATAAATGATCGCAAGGAAGATGAAACGGTAGGATGGTTTCGTCTGGGGAGCATCGCATGATTGAAAACGAGAATCAAAGGTGTGTCCCAGTCCAAGAACAGATTTGGCTGCCCCCATTCCAAGAAACACCATCAGAACCCCCATCGTCATCAAAAAGTTAGTAATCTCCAGTGTTGCTGCTTGAACAGCAGCTTTTGGTTGGTTACCCTCTGGATCCCTCTGGTAATCTAACAAACAGCTATGGAAAACGACCACATTGAATAGATCAATATCAATCATCTAAACACGGGGCAAATTTTCATTCATTTTCCAGATTCGATACCCTCTGGTAATTTGTTACATAGCTATTGAACATGGCCCTAGTTGATTTACCTATTAAGGATGGTGATTTTCCAGTTCGCTATCTTAGTTTACCAGAGGCTACATAGATGTATTCAGATCTCATCATTTAGATAGATATAATTATCTCATATTATATCCAGAGTCCATTTTTTCATCATTTAGATTCGATGAGAGGTTTCGAAAGCCAGATCGGCCAATCAACGGCGCGGCTGAGGCTCTTGTCGGGTGAAGCTGATCCAACGTTTCGGAGGCGTTGACAAAGCCTACATCAGGTGTGGGCCGACAGGGACGGGCACAGGGACCGGTGGCCAGAGAAAGTCGCCGCAGTTGCTAGGTTAAACTGACGGGTGATGGGTAGCTGATGGTAGGTTTATATGATTTTATATGCGTTATATATGAGTAACCGACAAAATTAGTGGATAACTAAAGTAGTGGGGAGTGGACATGGGATGTATCAATTTGTGCGAAAACATTCACAACCGATAAGGGACCACCCACTTACCGATGCCCGATTTTTGCACATAGCATGGAAGTACAAACCTTCACAACCGATAGGGGACCACACACTTTGGCCATGTCCATTGCGGGTAGTAAGTAATTATATAATTTTGTCCGCCACTGATATGGTTTAACTTTTGTTGCTATAGATTGGAAATATCACACCCGGCAAAAAAGTAGTCTTTTCTTGTGAGTCTATGTTTGGCCATGTCTTTTTATTTGCTTACCTCATTTTCGATTCACACCGCAACGGGGATAGGACCAACAGAAAGACCAAAAGAATGATTGGGCAAAAAAAATGCAGCTTTCACAAAAGACATAATCCCATGTGAACGCCATTTCAGACATGAGAAGCAATCCAGGAAATTGTATTTATAATATTTATCTTTACAATTTAGATATACAGTTTATATGTATATATATATATATATGTATATATATATATGATTTTATATGCAGACAGGTCCGACAGGTATTACCCCGTCATGTATGCCCGTTGGTTTGGCAGGCGACATGTTGCTGATTTTCCGGGATGCCCCTGGATCATCTGGATCCCAGGTGTGTGCCGGCCCTGACGGGCATGACACGCGATGTCTTCCGACAGCTGGCGAACATGCCCGGAAACTCGAGGCAAACAACGAGAGAAAAGTCGGCTGATTTTGGTGACAAAGGAGTTCACCAAGAATAAACATTGGATTTAGCCAAGACCAACGGATGTGTATATATATATATACATATATATATACATATATACATATATATATATACATATATATATATATCATATATAATATATATATATATCACATATATATCACATATATATATATATTGTGCTATTGATACTAAATTTGACATGGTTTCCAATGCCAACTTTGATATTCTAACCTGGCATTCGCATTCATTCGCCGAAAAGGTCCCATGTTTGTAGCTGATTTACCATGTCATACTGATGGGGATTGCCAAGTGCCAGATTAGATTACCACAGGGTAAGTATTTCCGTCCATCCCAACTGACCATTCTTTTTGGATATCTTAATGACAACATCTAAACACTGCTGACATCCATACTGCCATCATCCCAATATCTCAGTATTGTCCATCCCCACATCCAACTAATGTTAATATCACCCTTAGTTCCGACATCTACAGTGACTGATTTTTTTTTGCATTCTGGCTATCGACATGATGGGGATTCGGTTGGCCATTGTAATGCAGCCTTTGTTCAAAAGAATGACAGGAACCAAGACCCGTGGTTTCTGATCGGTTCATATACAGTAGTTGTTACGTTTTGAGAGAACATCTCGGACTGCGATCTGTGGCAGATCTTAAAAGCAAAGTATACAGATCTTAAAAGCAACGTATAGATGATGTATATAGATTCCTCAAGAAAACACATCTACCATCATCTACCATCATCTACCATCATCTACCATCATCTACTATCAACTACCATCATCTACCATCATCTACCATCATCTACCATCATCTACCATCATCTACCATCATCTACCATCATCTACCATCATCTACCATCATCTAACATCATCCACCATCATCTACCATCATCTACCATCATCTACCATCATCTACCATCATCTACCATCATCTACCATCATCTACCATCATCTACCATCATCTAACATCATCTACCATCATCTAACATCATCTAACATCATCTAGCATCATCTACCATCATCTAACATCATCCAACATCATCTACCATCATCTAACATCATCTACCATCATCTACCATCATCTACCATCATCTACCATCATCTACCATCATCTACCATCATCTAACATCATCTACCATCATCTACCATCATCTACCATCATCTAACATCATCTACCATCATCTAACATCATCTACCATCATCTACCATCATCTACCATCATCTAACATCATCTACCATCATCTACCATCATCTAACATCATCTAACATCATCTACCATCATCTACCATCATCTAACATCATCTAACATCATCTACCATCATCTACCATCATCTAACATCATCTACCATCATCTACCATCATCTACCATCATCTACCATCATCTACCATCATCTAACATCATCTACCATCATCTACCATCATCTACCATCATCTAACATCATCTACCATCATCTACCATCATCTAACATCATCTAACATCATCTACCATCATCTACCATCATCTAACATCATCTACCATCATCTACCATCATCTACCATCATCTACCATCATCTAACATCATCTAACATCATCTACCATCATCTACCATCATCTACCATCAACTACCATCATCTACCATCAACTACCATCAACTACCATCATCTACCAGCATCTACCATCACCTACCATCATCTACTATCAACTACCATCAACTACCATCATCTACCATCATCTACCATCATCTACCATCATCTACCATCATCTACCATCATCTAACATCATCTAACATCATCTAACATCATCTACCATCATCTACCATCATCTAACATCATCTACCATCATCTACCATCATCTACCATCATCTACCATCATCTACCATCATCTACCATCATCTAGCATCATCTAACATCATCTACCATCATCTACCATCATCTACCATCATCTACCATCATCTACCATCATGTAACATCATCTACCATCATCTACCATCATCTAACATCATCTAACATCATCTAACATCATCTAACATCATCTACCATCATCTAACATCATCTACCATCATCTACCATCATCTACCATCATCTAACATCATCTACCATCATCTAACATCATCTAACATCATCTACCATCATCTACCATCATCTACCATCATCTACCATCATCTACCATCATCTACCATCATCTAACATCATCTACCATCATCTACCATCATCTAACATCATCTACCATCATCTACCATCATCTACCATCATCTAACATCATCTACCATCATCTAACATCATCTAACATCATCTACCATCATCTACCATCATCTACCATCATCTACCATCATCTACCATCATCTACCATCATCTAACATCATCTAACATCATCTAACATCATCTACCATCATCTACCATCATCTACCATCATCTACCATCATCTACCATCATCTACCATCATCTACCATCATCTAACATCATCTACCATCATCTACCATCATCTACCATCATCTAACATCATCTACCATCATCTACCATCATCTACCATCATCTACCATCATCTACCATCATCTACCATCATCTACCATCATCTACCATCATCTACCATCATCTACCATCATCTACCATCATCTACCATCATCTACCATCATCTACCATCATCTACCATCATCTAACATCATCTACCATCATCTACCATCATCTACCATCATCTAACATCATCTACCATCATCTACCATCATCTACCATCATCTAACATCATCTACCATCATCTACCATCATCTAACATCATCTAACATCATCAACCATCATCAACCATCATCTAACATCATCTACCATCATCTACCATCATCTACCATCATCTAACATCATCTACCATCATCTACCATCATCTACCATCATCTAACATCATCTAACATCATCTACCATCATCTACCATCATCTAACATCATCTAACATCATCAACCATCATCTACCATCATCTAACATCATCTACCATCATCTACCATCATCTACCATCATCTAACATCATCTACCATCATCTACCATCATCTAACATCATCTAACATCATCTACCATCATCTACCATCATCTAACATCATCTACCATCATCTACCATCATCTAACATCATCTAACATCATCTACCATCATCTACCATCATCTACCATCATCTAACATCATCTAACATCATCTACCATCATCTACCATCATCTACCATCATCTAACATCATCTAACATCATCTAACATCATCTACCATCATCTACCATCATCTAACATCATCTACCATCATCTACCATCATCTACCATCATCTACCATCATCTAACATCATCTAACATCATCTACCATCATCTACCATCATCTAACATCATCTAACATCATCTACCATCATCTACCATCATCTAACATCATCTACCATCATCTACCATCATCTAACATCATCTAACATCATCTACCATCATCTAACATCATCTAACATCATCTACCATCATCTAACATCATCTACCATCATCTACCATCATCTAACATCATCTACCATCATCTACCATCATCTAACATCATCTACCATCATCTACCATCATCTACCATCATCTACCATCATCTAACATCATCTACCATCATCTACCATCATCTACCATCATCTAACATCATCTAACATCATCTACCATCATCTAACATCATCTGCCATCATCTACCATCATCTAACATAATCTACCATCATCTACCATCATCTAACATCATCTACCATCATCTACCATCATCTACCATCATCTACCATCATCTACCATCATCTAACATCATCTACCAACATCTACCATCATCTACCATCATCTAACATCATCTAACATCATCTAACATCATCTACCATCATCTACCATCATCTAACATCATCTAACATCATCTACCATCATCTACCATCATCTACCATCATCTAACATCATCTACCATCATCTACCATCATCTAACATCATCTACCATCATCTACCATCATCTAACATCATCTACCATCATCTACCATCATCTACCATCATCTAACATCATCTACCATCATCTAACATCATCTAACATCATCTACCATCATCTACCATCATCTACCATCATCTACCATCATCTACCATCATCTACCATCATCTACCATCATCTACCATCAACTACCATCATCTACCGTCATCTACCATCATCTACCATCATCTACCATCATCAAACATCATCTACCATCATCTACCATCATCAACCATCATCTACCATCATCTACCATCAACTACCATCATCTACCATCATCTACCATCATCTACCATCATCTACCATCATCTACCATCATCTACCATCATCTACCATCATCTACCATCAACTACCATCATCTACCATCATCTACCATCACCTACCATCATCTACTATCAACTACCATCATCTAACATCATCTACCATCATCTACCATCATCTACCATCATCTACCATCATCTACCATCATCTGCCATCAACTACCATCATCTAACATCATCTAACATCATCTACCATCATCTACCATCAACTACCATCAACTACCATCATCTACCAGCATCTACCATCACCTACCATCATCTACTATCAACTACCATCATCTACCATCATCTACCATCATCTACCATCATCTACCATCATCTAACATCATCTAACATCATCTAACATCATCTACCATCATCTACCATCATCTACCATCATCTACCATCATCTACCATCATCTACCATCATCTACCATCATCTAACATCATCTACCATCATCTACCATCATCTACCATCATCTAACATCATCTACCATCATCTACCATCATCTACCATCATCTACCATCATCTACCATCATCTACCATCATCTACCATCATCTAACATCATCTACCATCATCTACCATCATCTACCATCATCTACCATCATCTACCATCATCTACCATCATCTAACATCATCTACCATCATCTACCATCATCTACCATCATCTACCATCATCTACCATCATCTACCATCATCTACCATCATCTAACATCATCTAACATCATCTACCATCATCTACCATCATCTACCATCATCTACCATCATCTACCATCATCTACCATCATCTACCATCATCTACCATCATCTACCATCATCTACCATCATCTAACATCATCTACCATCATCTACCATCATCTACCATCATCTACCTATCATCTACCATCATCTACCATCATCTACATCATCTACCATCATCTACCATCATCTACCATCAATCTACCATCATCTTACCATCATCTACATCATCTACATCATCTAACATCATCTACCATCATCTACCATCATCTACATGCATCACCATCATCTAAACCATCATTAAATCCATCTACCAATCATCTAACATTCATCTACCATCATCTACCACAACTACACCAATCATCTACATCATCTACCATCATCTACCATCATCTAACCATCATCTACCAATCATCTACCACATCTACACATCATCTACCATGCATCTAACATCATCTACCATCATCTACCATCATCTAACGCATCATCTAATACATCATCTACCATCATCTACCATCATCTACCATCATCTACCATCATCCCTTTAAACATCATCTAACCATCATCTAAATCATTCCTACCATCATCTACCACATCTACCATCATGCTAACATCATCTAACATCATTCTACCATCATCTAACATATCTACCATCAATCTTAGCCATCATATACCATCATCTACCATCATCTACCATCATCTAACATCATCTACCATCATCTACCATCATCTACCATCATCTACCATCATCTACCATCATCTACCATCATCTAGCATCATCTAACATCATCTACCATCATCTACCATCATCTACCATCATCTACCATCATCTACCATCATGTAACATCATCTACCATCATCTACCATCATCTAACATCATCTAACATCATCTAACATCATCTAACATCATCTACCATCATCTAACATCATCTACCATCATCTACCATCATCTACCATCATCTAACATCATCTACCATCATCTAACATCATCTAACATCATCTACCATCATCTACCATCATCTACCATCATCTACCATCATCTACCATCATCTACCATCATCTAACATCATCTACCATCATCTACCATCATCTAACATCATCTACCATCATCTACCATCATCTACCATCATCTAACATCATCTACCATCATCTAACATCATCTAACATCATCTACCATCATCTACCATCATCTACCATCATCTACCATCATCTACCATCATCTACCATCATCTAACATCATCTAACATCATCTAACATCATCTACCATCATCTACCATCATCTACCATCATCTACCATCATCTACCATCATCTACCATCATCTACCATCATCTAACATCATCTACCATCATCTACCATCATCTACCATCATCTAACATCATCTACCATCATCTACCATCATCTACCATCATCTACCATCATCTACCATCATCTACCATCATCTACCATCATCTACCATCATCTACCATCATCTACCATCATCTACCATCATCTACCATCATCTACCATCATCTACCATCATCTACCATCATCTAACATCATCTACCATCATCTACCATCATCTACCATCATCTAACATCATCTACCATCATCTACCATCATCTACCATCATCTAACATCATCTACCATCATCTACCATCATCTAACATCATCTAACATCATCAACCATCATCAACCATCATCTAACATCATCTACCATCATCTACCATCATCTACCATCATCTAACATCATCTACCATCATCTACCATCATCTACCATCATCTAACATCATCTAACATCATCTACCATCATCTACCATCATCTAACATCATCTAACATCATCAACCATCATCTACCATCATCTAACATCATCTACCATCATCTACCATCATCTACCATCATCTAACATCATCTACCATCATCTACCATCATCTAACATCATCTAACATCATCTACCATCATCTACCATCATCTAACATCATCTACCATCATCTACCATCATCTAACATCATCTAACATCATCTACCATCATCTACCATCATCTACCATCATCTAACATCATCTAACATCATCTACCATCATCTACCATCATCTACCATCATCTAACATCATCTAACATCATCTAACATCATCTACCATCATCTACCATCATCTAACATCATCTACCATCATCTACCATCATCTACCATCATCTACCATCATCTAACATCATCTAACATCATCTACCATCATCTACCATCATCTAACATCATCTAACATCATCTACCATCATCTAACATCATCTACCATCATCTACCATCATCTAACATAATCTACCATCATCTACCATCATCTAACATCATCTACCATCATCTACCATCATCTACCATCATCTACCATCATCTACCATCATCTAACATCATCTACCATCATCTACCATCATCTACCATCATCTAACATCATCTACCATCATCTACCATCATCTAACATCATCTAACATCATCTACCATCATCTAACATCATCTAACATCATCTACCATCATCTAACATCATCTACCATCATCTATCACCTTTATGCAACAGCTTGAGACTTGGGAAATCTGCAACGAGAACTTGTCGTTTTCCCGTTCTCCAAGTCTGAGGATGGGCTTCACTGATGAAGACTCCTTCGAGATGTGCGGAGACCAAGCTGCTAAGAAGTCAAGTCTTGTTGATCTTGTTGCTGTTCCATGGGGAATATGTAACTTGGGTTTCAAAAACATTACATTATAGATTTATTAATCTGTTTAGGTTTCAAATAACCCATCAAGTTCCATGGTGATTTGATGGGTTTCAAAAAGATTCAATGGGCATTTAGTAGGAATTCATGGGAATTCACGGGATTTCATGGGAGTCAGCAAGCCAAGTTGGTTTAGATAATTGATATATGACTAGTGTTGAGACTGAACAATTGAGGATTTACCCTGGGATTACCAGCCTCTGGCTTTTTTAAACATAGCTCTGGAAAATCACCAGGTTTGAATTTTTTAGTAGGTAAATCATCTATAAAAGGGCCAGTTTGACATCGTTCGGTGGAATTTTTCATGCAATGCAATGTTCGATGTCATGAATACTCAGCTATGTAGATACACGGATCCATAGCCAACCTGTCCAAAAAAACCGTTGCGGCATCACAGTTTGGGGCCCCTCATAGCCAACCCATCTCCTGAGGTATGATCTGATGAAAAGCCATCGACCTCCCAAAAAGAGGTGCTCCGTGGGATATGAATCTGCCACGGGGAAGTTGAGCAATGGGTTTTTAGCTCGAAAGAATGAGGGGGAGTATGTATGTGTATATAATATATATTTTAAGATATATATATATATACATAATAATATAATATAATGTAATATAGTATAATGTAATTTAATATAATACAATATAATGTAATATAATATAATGTAGTTTAATGTAATATAATTTAAAATGTATAATATATAATATATATATATATATAACATATAATATTTGATTAAATATAAAATAATATAATATTTAATATATAATATATAATATATAATATAAAATATATAATATAAAATAAATAAAATAAAATATAATATAATTTAATTTAAGATATATATATAATATATTATATTATAATATAAATATATAATATAATATAATATAATAATATAATATAATATAATATAATGTAATTTAATACAATATAATATAATTTATAATATATAATATATAATATATAATATATCATATGGATTATATAGTATATAATATATAATATATGATATATTATATATAATATATAATATATTATATATAATATATAATATATAATATATAATATATCATATAATTTGATCGAAGGAAGTTTAGAAGTCAAACTTCCGACAATATGGACAGATGAAAAGCAGAGCAGGGCAGAGGCAGAGAGAAGAGGAAGATTAGAAGAGAGAAGATCAGAAGAGAAAGAGTAAGAGGACAGAAGATACAGATGCGCGAAAAGGTAGGAAAGTCGCCAAACACTGTGTTTTTCCAATGATGTGTGGCTCCGGAGGGTCGAAAAGTAGGCTCGCTAAAGCGGCGGGTGCGGACCCAGCTGGCCACAGGAACGATGAAAAATTGCACGCCGTTGTGGCGCGAAGCACATTTCCAAGTCAAAATGTACAAAACACCTCAGCGTCAGACCACTTTTGGAAGTTATGATGTCGAAAAAGTGCACGCCGTTGTGGCGCGAAGCACATTTCCAAGTCAAAATGTACAAAACACCGCAGCTCCGGACCACTTTTGGAAGTTGTGATGTCGAAAAAGTGCACGCCGTTGTGGCGCGAAGCACATTTCCAAGTCAAAAGTGTTAAAAACTGACGGTCTCGGACCACTTTTGGAGGTTCAGATGTCGAAAAAGTGTCGAAAAAGTGCACGCCGTTGTGGCGCGAAGCACATTTGGAAGTCAAAAGTGTAAAACAACTGAGGGTTTTGCGCCTTTTTTGACGTGCTGATGTCGAAAAAGTAGACACTGATTAACTTAACTAACTTGACTAACTTAAGGAACTTCACTAGCTTAACTACCCTAACTTCGACGACAACAGCAACAACAACAACAACTACTACTACTACTACTACTACTGCAACTGCAACTGCAACTGCAACTGCAACTGCAACTACAACTACAACTACAACTACAACTACAACTACACAACAACTACAACTAGAACTACAACTACAACAACTACAGCTACAACAACAACAACAACTACAACTACAACTACAACTACAATAGATCGATAGATGCAGAGATAGATAGATAGATAGATAGGTAGGTAGGTAGGTAGGTAGGTAGGTAGATTAGATAGATAGATAGATAGACAGGTAGACAGATAGACAGATAGATAGATGGATAGATAGACAGATAGACAGCCAGACAGATAAACAGATGAAAGAAAGCGAGAGAGAGAGAGAGAGAGATAGCTAGATAGATAGATAGATAGACAGATAGATACATAGGTAGATAGATAGATAGAGAGCTAGATAGATAGATAGACAGACAGATAAATAGATAGATAGAGAGATAGATAGATAGATAGATAGACAGATAGATAGATAGATAGACAGATCGATAGATAGATAGATAGATAGGTACATAGATACATAGATACATAGATACATAGATAGATAGTCAGAGAAAGAGAGAGAAAGAGAGGTGACCTCAAGCACCTTTCGGTCCATCAGTGGCTTCGCTCTGCCATCCCTGATTCACAACCACCAACCTCTCCTATAGGTTTCCTATTTTTGAAACTTCCGCCACCGCCTTGTGCGGTACTACTGGTATAATATAATATAGTACAATACGATATATAATATAATGTAATGTAATATAATATATTTTGTTATAATATGATATAATTCAATATAATTATATATATATATATATGTATGATTATAATATATTCACATATTTTTATATAATGAGATGGTATAGGTCAAGAAAGGAGATGATATGCATGCTGGATTATAGACTATTTTAGAAGTTATACACAAGAAACAATATATAATATATTATATATATTTTTTTGCTGACTATCAGTCATATGTGTGTGTAGTTACATACATAGATTACTATGTGTTAGTACAGTTTGCATGTCAAGGGGATGACTAGCGAACAGCCGGTCTAAAATCAGGGCTTAAAATGGAGCGCTTGGACCATGGGATCCAAAAATCCATCGAAGATCAACATGTAACACATATGAGGGGGAATATGGGATTTAATGGGATTTGATAGGATTTTTCATGGGATATCTGCAGAGGCAATTTTGCCAGCAAAAATGATACTTGCGCAATCTTGCGCACAGGTTTTGGAGGTGAGTTTTCTCAAGAAACGCGGCATTTTGGCATTTCATCTGGAGGCCATTCCTTCCCCAAACGATCAGGCGGCTCATGAAATTCAGTGGCTGAAGGCCTCCCCAAAAAGTGACTAGGCGATGACGGGTTTCTCTCCTGGGAGTGCTATTTCTGGAGCCTTAGGACTTTGAATTCCTGATGGTTCAGCTGTTCAGCCAACCAGACGTCAACTTTCAATGGTTAATATTGGTTACCCTCTGGTAATTTAACATAGCTATTGAAAATGACCATTTATAATGGATTTTCCCATTGGAAATGGTGATTTTCCATAGTTATGTTAGTTTACCAGAGGGTAATCATTATTTTCCCCATAAAGATATAGTTTCTTGGGTTATACATAAATTTAAACATCATCAAAACCTTTTCTCCACACCCCCGCTCAGGAGGGCCAGCGTGTCGGGCGTGGGCCCCAAAGTTTTTTCCGTCTTCGCGACTGGAGGGTGGGGATGTTATTGTGAAGTTGATGTGGGTTTGTCAGAAAAATGGGGATACCCAATTTTTTTCATCTTCTTTCAATCTTAAGAGGGACAATAACGATAAAGCGTTGGGGGTTGGCGGTAGCCTATTTTCGGAGAAAACCATGTGATGATGGTGTATATATCCACCAGAATTGATCCTGGCAAACCTGAAAATTAGGGTCTCAGTCAGGTACCATGGATACTTTGTCCTACCCCGTACTGTTCTAAAGGTCCCATGTGGGGCTCAGCATGGAGTTTGAAGGCTGTCACTGACGAGAGTGCAGGGCTGCACCATTTGAAAGAGAACCTTAGCTGTCTCTGGAAACTAAACTTGAGGATTCGGAAGAATCTTAACACATACCCTCTGGTAAACTAACGTAGCTATGGAAAATAACCATCTTTAAGGGGTAAATCAACAATCAACTATAAATAGTCATTTTCAATAGCTACATTAAATTACCAGAGGGTATTTTTTCACGGCAAACTCGGTTTTTCAAAGTACTGCTATACCGGTCACTCCACAGAATCCGCACGTCCCTGATGATTGGGAGACCACACGATACTCTCAGGAGCTTTCTTGGTGAGAAGCTATCCGCAGCTCTACAAAACATGTAAATCATTGTAAATCAATATTTGCCTGAAAATGACATGCTAACTGTTTTAGTTAACTCATCTATTCCTGTGATTAAATTCGTGGCAAGGAAGCAGTGCTCGCAGCAGCAAGGCAGCCGAGCAGGAGGAGACTTAAAGTCAGGGATCAGTGAGGGATCACCCACGAATCGTAAGTGGTGGGTTACCCTCTGGTAATTTAACATAGCTATTGAAAATGGCCATTTATAGTGGATTTTCCCATTAAAAATGGTGATTTTCCATAGCTATGTTAAATTACCAGAGGGTAAGTGGTGGGTTAGAATCCGGTTGTAAATGAAATAACCCCAGTTAGGGGACTGATTAAGGCTTCTAACCAGTTACGATTCGTGGGATGATTCTCCAAGTGCCACATAATGTATATAGATAGATATATATATATATACCCTCAGGTCATCAAACTTGGAAATCGCCCATTCATGATGATTTTCCCATGAAAACTGGAGATGCTACCTGGCTCTATAGCCAGGTGAAGTGGCACCCTTTCCACCAGTGATTAACATCTCCCGATCATATTTCAAACCCCGAAACGAAACCCTGGTTTCGTATTGGACCTAAACATTTTTGGGTCTCTTGCAGGGTGTATCTAATGTAAATGGGATTAGTGGCCAAACCAATCGAGACGTTTTGGATTGACAACGGTCAGACTCTGTTTGTTGTTTTGACAGGTTTGTTCACAGTCTTGAGTTCTCTCCATTGCAGGTATTTTTCAAACAATATCGTAGTTACTGAGGAAATCTTGGTTGTCGGTTTGTGAGTTTTTTTTAGTGCTATAAATGGAGGATTGTACTACAGTAATTTGTACATAGCTATTGAACATTGCCATTTACAGTTGATTTACCTATATTAAACATTGTAATTTTCCATAGCTATGTTAAATTGCCAGACCAGCTCAAAGTGTTAGATTCGCCATGATCATTCCACAATCCTTGAGATACTCCATGCGCAGTATACGTCTGCATAATGACAGAGGTGCCACCAACATAGAGTGCGAACACTGTGCGAACGCTTGTTTGCTTTGCGGTCCTAGCTCGGAAAATGACCCTTCATTGTCCATGTATCTACATAGCTGAGTATTCATGACATCGAACATTGCATTGCATTGCATTCCACCGAATTATGTCAAATTGCATTGCACTACAGTAAATTCCATTGCACTAAACCACACAACATTGGATACATTGGATTATGTTATCATTAAATGATATTTGATTACACTACACAACAGTAGGTTCCCTTAACTTACATGAACTCAACCTTGGATTACATTTCATTAATTGTCATTACACTACATTGTATGTATGCAGCACGCTGTGCATGTCTATATCGATTAAAAATCTCCGGGGAAAGCATCGACCGCAGCTAACGGAGGAGCCCATGGACCGAAACGAGTTTGGTGAGGTGTGATCATGACTTGGATCATCTGGGGGTACCCCCAGAAATTCGGAAACCTGAGTTTGTGCTATGAATAAACCATGCTTCATTTTCTGGTTGCTTAATTTCCACATTCCGGTTGCTCAACAAAGCCATTTTCCATTGGGTACCAGCGGTATCATGGTGAGTTGGCATCTACAATGTGGGCCAGTGATAAGTTGGTTTATAAACCACAGTAACTATATGGTTATAAGTACCATAAACTATAGTTATTGGAGTTACGTTCACCAACTTAGCTATCGTAAACGGGGGCCCCACTTTGTAAGTTGCCTACCGGCCTCCTTGTACCACAAAGACGGTCGGATGGATTTTCGTCTGCCTTGCGAGGCGATGCGAAAGGCAATGCCCGTGAAGGGCTTGATCCAGTTGCGCAGGAGGCTGTGCAGCTGTGCAGCTGTGCAGTAAGCGGTGGATCTAAAAATTGGTGGAGGATCTTGACATGTTGAAATTTGCTAGATGGTGGGATAGAAACCTTTTGGAACCATGGAAAAAAATGTTAATTTTGATGTCTTTTCCCATCTGATCATCTAGTAAATCATCGCAATTTTAGGGACTGTACCATACCAGGACTTGGTTTGAGGGTATTTGATATATGATCGTGGGAAGGGAGTACCTGAGGATGGGTCAACCGTTGCTCTTGGAAAATGAGGCAAAGTGGTTGTCAAGAAAAATAGCATTGTAGCATTAGAAGATGTACACGTCACATCACGTCATGCCAAGTCGAGGTTCACGGCTACCATGCAGTATCTTCTTACCCCAACGGTTGCCGATTTATTTGTGTTGGTTGGGTATCCAAAGTGGGGGTCATTAGATGTCATTAGTACCATTGGAATGACAGGATGAGCACTCTGCAACACCAGCTATTTGGTGTGAAGGGCTGGATTTTAGGGTTTTGAACCATAGCCAAGTCACCCAAGTTTCCACAATACCAAGATCTGTCAGGACACCAGTTCGGAAAGTGCCAGCCAGCAGCACAGTCCAATAACTGCCCTTTGATCCCATAGTCATTTCTGGACAGACTGTAGCCGATCAAACTTGGAATTTCATGGTTCATCACATCTCCCAAACGTTGAACTCGACGTTGAACTACTTTGGGGATCAGCTCAAAAATCCTCATTGATCTGGGTAAATTTCATCACGACCTCACTGTTCTCCCTCACTGGAATCATGGCTTATAAGGGAAATCATACCCAAATGGCCTTATTTCAGGTTAGTGAAATATTATAATTTACCCAGATTGATTATCCCCAGTGGGTTACAGATCCCAGCCATTTCCGTCATGGTTACCAGCCACGGCTAACGCCAGGCTGAGGATGAAACACAGCAGTTGCGAGGCCCCAACTGGACGGAGTAGACAAATTCTTTCGGCTGAGCCTCTGGTGAAACGTGGAAAATCACCATTTTGGATGGGTAAATGGGTAAATCAACTATTTCTACGGCCATTTTCAATAGTTATGTTAGTTTACCAGAGGGTAAATTCTAAATCATATATATAAATATACATAAATACTATTTTTTTCCATAGCTATGTTGAATACGCAAAGGGTAACTTTTGGATGGTTTTGCTACAGGAACATCAGGAAGATGGGATGCACATTGGATGGATGATTTTGATTTCATCCTTATTACGAAGATGAAACGAATTGCTGCACATTCTTGAAGTGATAGTGAAGTTTGGAAAGTTGGACAATCTTCTGCAGTTGGAAAGCTAGCGATCTTGACTTCCCACTCACCGCACTTATTTATTTTATGTGTCACTTTAATTTAAACGAGTCCATCTGTCCATCTGATATTAATCATTCTGAAGGAAATTGCATTCCTCTTTTAATGTTCCGAATATCCAAGTTCTTTGAATCCCCATTTGGAAAGTTGGTGATATTAGCGTCTTATCTCAGTAGCATCTCCATTCTTGTTGCTCAATGAGAAATCTTCATCTTGTCTCAAAGGTTGATGAGTTTCTGATATTTCTGGGTTAATTTGACCTCAATCGTATCCCCAATCCCACTTTCTACTGCTTGAACTGAACTCCTAAGCCGATTGAACCAAGTCTGTTTAGATCCGCATGTCTTGTTTCAATCCCAACCCGTTTACAACGCATCGTTGATGAAGTTCCCATCGTGGCTTGCAGGCCGCAACCACCGCAGCCTTTGGCAAGCGACAGGTACGGAGATGGCTAGGAATGTGACTAATGACAAGCCATCTCCCTATTTTGCCAGGAATGGGTGATCTATTCTACAATGATATGTATATATATATTATATTTATATAATATAAGCCATCTCCGATTAGAGGAGGTTTTTCTTCTTTTGCTTTATCACATGGTCAAATCAGTGACATGACATGTAGTGCAGGCCTTGGATCGAGAAGCCTTCCGGGATTTCATGATCCAAAACGGCATCTCTGGGCGTGAGGCCAGAGATGAAACCGATCTTGGTTTCATGCTCAAAATGTGGGGGTTTCCATAAATAACCCTGCTAAAATATGGATGGGAACTGGGGGTACCCCTATTTTATGAAACCTCCATGTGGCTGAAGTTAAAAAAAGGGCCAACAGCAGAAACATCATTATGACGATTCATACTGAGCGATTCAGCCAAGCACTCAATGGACAGTCTTGGACTATGTATCAACATTTACCCCAAAAATCAGCGAGATGGAGGTAAATACACCGGCAGTATATCGTGGAGCATTTGGGCAACGCTATTATTGCTGGTTGGTGGTTTGGAATTTTTTTCATTCTTCCATATATTGGGAATAATAATCCCAACTGGCTTTCATATGTTTCAAAGGGTTGGCTCAACCACCGACCAGATTGGCTTGGTAAGGTCTTGTAAACCAGGATAAACCAGGTAAGTCCCCATAAAAGACGAAAAACAGCTCCCGTGCCTCTTCCAGGCTTATCAGCATTTCATGAGGATGACCAAACACAACGAAAGTGGAGGCGGGCTTGCAGCGGGCGCAGGCAGTGTGAACATTGCCTGCTCCAGCTACTGTTAGCTACCTCCAGTGGACTCCAGCCATGTCTGACAAGGGACTTTTTTTTTTTTACACAGAACACTAAGAACACTATGATCCGCTGTTGGAAGGTCATTTTGTAGCTTAGTGCCAATTCTAAGTTTTATAATGTCACTTTGATTGGTGACATTGACATCCGTATTTTTTTTGATTCCATCTCAAAATTTGTTGGTGTGTAGCTTCGCAATTCCTCAATTTTTCCACCATACCATCTTTGTCAGATTTTCAGGTCTGGCAGAGATTCACACTGCACATGTTTCAGGCGATGACGGTGGCGGGGGAAGGAAACTGGGGGTTGGTCCCATGAACATAACCAACCATTGTCCGGAATTGTACGTGAGCCAGCTGTAACCAGCTTGATGGTAGGTATCCAGAGATGGGCATCAAATTTCGACATATAAAGAACTTGGGTTTGAACTGTTGAAATTCCACAGCATCGTGGTTAGTTGGGCATCCAACACTGGCATTTTTTGGCCGGTGAAACATGGCATGCTAGAGAATTCCCTATGGAAGTCGATGATTTTCCTAGCTTTTTTAACTTCCACTGAAATAGGTGATTTCCCAATGATAAACATGGTATGTTTAACATGTCACAATGTACCAATATTTACCAACATGAGATTTGGATAGCATTGTACAGTATTTATATATGTAGTGTAATATCTTTAGATATCTTTAACAAATTATTTTTAAGCCATCATTATGTATACGTATATATATATATTGATTGATTAGTTTTAATCATGTTCCATATTTAATGTATCTATGTGCTCTGAGTAACATCCCCTTGGCACGAATCGTCGCAGGACATGAAGATGCTCCTCAGGACGCGTTTAAAAGAGCCTGGTATTTGAGTGGGAAATCATCTATAAACGGATATTTTTTAAAGGAGTTATGGACAGTAACCATATGGGGGTTTCCATAAGGGGCTACTCAAAATAGTTTCTTTATAATGGAAAATCCCAAACAAAAATGGATGATTTAGGGATACCCCCATTCTATGGAAACCCTCATGGGGATTGTTTGACCAAAAGGGGATGGTACTGTTGACCAAATGGGGATTGTTTGAACATGCGGTAGCACATTTGTTCAATCTCAATATGCATTGTTAACTGGTTGGTGGTTTGGAACATTTTTTATAGTCCATATATTGGGAATCATGATCCCAACTGGCGAACTCATATTTTTCAGAGCGGTAGGTATACCACCAACCAGTTAAATTTCTTTGGGTAGCATTTTTGGACAAATATCAATCCCAAGAGCCAACCTGGTTGGTGAAATAGCCACCAGGAGGTGACGCGTTTCGCTTTCCTGAAGACTTTGTTGCATGCTGAAGGCACCGTTTCGGGGGCGGAACCGGGGCGACGTTTCGGTTGGTTTTTGTTGTGATTGACGTGTGGCCGGCGCTAGCAGGACATGGCAGGACTTGGAGTACATGGGACTTCGGCGGAGAACGTAAGGTAAGTGAGCAATAGAGGGACGATTGCCAGCAACGAGATAGATGATCTCCGCAGACAGCTGTAGATTTTTTGTGCTGTTAAATATGGTATTGGTAGGTCAAAATTAGAAGCCCGACGGCAGAGAAATGCAGAGAATTTGTCCAGGTGCCCAATTTTGACCACCCAAAAACAAACCACCTGTCCACCCAAACCTGGAATTGTCTCTGGAATGCAGTCTCAATACTTTCAGAATCACATATTTGGATGAGTTGTAACGACGAGCACGACCACGAAGTCACTGTAGGGTTTTTGGGGGACATGAACCTAAGTTCAATGAAATCTTATGAACTCCATAGTAACACCTATAATTTATAGATATCCCAAGTTAATTTAATGAAATCTTATTAATTTATAGATATGGCAGTGTGTCAAAACCTTGTACCCCTGTAGTTCACATCAAAATAGCTGGTAAATGGATGTCCATCCCATTAAAAATGGTATCTATAGGTATTGACCCATACCCATATCCCAAGTCTGGTATCCATGACATCCCAGTCGGTTCACTTCAGATTCGTCCATTTTCCCATCACCTCCAAGGCCTCGAAGTGGCGGAGCTCTTCAGAGCTGAGCTGGTGGAACTCTTGTTCGGTGCGGAAGCGCAGGGTTTTTGGGAAGTTATACCTATGGGGCCCCCTAGGCCCAAAGCATAGCGATTTTGTTGGTTGAACATAACTCCAATTTCCTTTATGATACTTATAAACTTACAGTCTTATAGACTATATAATTAAATATAATTAATGGGATTTATAAACCAACTTGCAACTGGGGGGCCCCTCATTGTAATATAACCCCCTTTACAAATTCAAAGCTGGTATAGCCCCATTAGGTCCGAGGAAATCCTATAAAATCCAGCAAGGTGAGATTTCCGACGAAATCGCTAAGTGCACACTTGGTTCACGTTTGGGTTGATTTGGGGGATAGAACATCATATATATATATATATTAACATGATAGAACATGATATAACATCATAGAATCAATATATATATATTATAATCAAGATATAAATCAATATATATATATATGATCTAAGTATCAAGTTATCCTGGGTTTATAAACCACTTTAAAAATGCACCCTTTACAATCGACGGCCCATGAAAGTCCGTGCCGAGACCGCGGCGGCCGAGCGGGCTTGGCCAGCGACCAGCGTACGCCACGGCACAGAGCGGGGTTGGGGAGACTCTTTGCCCCTTCTCCCAAAAAATTACCAGAGGGTAATAATCTTAATATGGCTGTAGAACATGGCCCATCATTCAGTCGGTGATTCACCATGATTCACCTTGAGGAGATCTGACCATGTTCAATTTCTTAAAATCTTCAATGGTTGTACCCTCTGGTAATGACTGTTACAGTTTACGAACTTGAAAAATGGCCCAGTCGAAATAGTTGATTTATCCATTGAAAATGGTGGATCTTTCCATATTTGTTTGTACGTTTACCAGGTAGTAGTAGCAATCCCCTTTTTTTGGGACCCATGGCCGCCACGGCCATGGCTATCATGGCCATGGCCTGCCATGGCCATCCACTCCGGCCACAAGGTGGGCGACGTACCGCTTCCATTCTGTCGCAAGAGCTGCTGGCTTCTCTTTCTGAAGGCGCCGGGCCTGGGTTCAGAATTTGGAGACACAAAATCCATGAAAATCCCCTGGCGCGGATTGATGATTAGCCTCTGGTAAACATACAAAAAACTATGGAAAAATCCACTATTTCTATGGCAATTTTCAATAGCTATGTTAAATTACCAGAAGGTATAAGGAGTTAATCATACTATTTGGATCTATTCGGGACCCATATTGGGGAAACATATAATCAGATGGGATAATTTTAGAGGAGAAAATGGCAACGTATCATCAAATTTAAGGCCTACCCTATCGCCGGCATTGTGTTTGTTTAGAGCACATACGCAACCACGGAAATTCAGTCCATAAGTTGCATTATTATTACTTATTGCATTTATATATTTCTCACTTAGAAACTGAGATGCACCCCAAACCGAAGACAATGTGACTTGACACATTAAAAACATCTAGCAAGTGAACATGGAAATATTTCAGTGTCTCATGATGTCTCATGTGTGATTTGATGGTTTGGGTGAAACATACGTTTTACCATCATATTGAATGGTACGAATTATGGCAAAAGAACCCTTCCATTTGCATGAATCAATTAATTGCTTTTTAGACTAGACATGTGGGATTTGTGCTACTGCCTTGTTTGAAGATATCATAAATGTCTCCAACTTTCATGGTGACAACAAGGTCCTAAACCATTCAGCTAGTTTGAGACATCGACCAACAGTTCTTTGTATGTATATATTATATTATATATATATGGGTACTGTAAATTATAACGACCTCACTGTTCTCCCGAACCCTGGAATCATGGTTAAGATTCGGGAAATCATCCCCAAATGGCCGCAAGATTCGGGTTAGTGAATTATGTATTATAATTTACCCATATATATGTATTATATGTTATATGTACTTTTTTTGAATATGTCTATTATTTTAGGCATACCTATCCATGTAATATGTATACATACACATTGACATATGTATGGATAAAATTAAGATAACCTTCCCGTTTAAGCACTAACCCATATTGTTTACGTTTGTGTCACATTCCAACTGGGGCCAGTTTTTTTTTTTTGCGTGGATTTTCTACGTCAGGTGTCGATAGAGCTTGGGAGGATGTGCCTTGGAAGTGACGGATTTGAGGGATTTGATGGGATTGAACTTGGGAAAATGATGAAACATGTACATTTGATGCGGATGTTGCGCATTTCATGGGATTTTCGGGTGATTTTTTGAGTGAAATTTAAGGGAAGATATTTCTGGGAAATTGTCTGGTGATCTGGCATTTCTTGATGATCATTTCATGGCATTTTAATGGCATTTTCATGGCATTTTCATGGGATTTGGGAAGAACCAATCCATATCTGGCTGGTTGGTGGTTTGGAACATGTTCTATTTTTCCAGTCACTTGGGAATTTCATCATCCCAACTGTTACTAAAACTCCATGATTTTTCTGGTTGGGGTTCCAGCAACCAGCTGGAATTTGCTATGAGAATTTCTGGGATTTCCGGTGGGTGAGCTGAAAACTGAGACTGCCAGGTTTTCTGGTAACGAACATGACCTGGGGGTTGTTGACAATCCCATATCTATACTGCATCTATCGGTATATAATTCTGTGTATATGTACAGATATATATATATATACACATACGTGTGTATGTGTATATATATATATATGTACATATCGTCCTCCATATATATATATATATACACGTAAATATCTATCATATCTACATATACTGTGTACATACACACCTGTGTCTTTTACATGAGAAGTATATCATATTATATCAATGATAATATGATATAGATATTCTATGCAAAACTGGGACACCTGGACATTTCCGCACCTTTCTCACCACGTTTTCTTCGCCAGGCAGACAGCCCCCCGGTGGCGCGGCGTCGACGCCACTCCTCGAAGTCGCGCCACGCCGCGCCCGAGGGAGGCCGAAGCCACGCGCGGCAGAGCATTCTGCTGGACTTCGCGGTGGGGAGCTGAGACAGGGATAAGGGATGGAACTGATTGGAATATATTGGGATTATTGGAATTTTCATGGGATATGAATGGGATATATTGGGATGATTATTGCTGCAGGCTATAATATATATATATAGTATATCATAATCATCCCAATATATATCATTAATATCCCATTCATTGGATGGAACATCCCACGAACATCTGATTCATCTCCCATTAATATCCATTAATTTGATACCATACAAGCGTTCTCTAATAAACTAAATTCCCATTATCATCCCATTAAATCCCGAAGGGTACCCGACTTCCACAAGATCACAGAAGACTTCCACGCGCCAAGGATTCCGAGACGGGCCACCGAAGATTTTCCGCTGCACCAGCTGGGGGCACAAAAGGAGAGGGAGATGGGAGGTTTACTTGAGCCATTGGAAATATGAATGGGTATAGAATTACTCAAAACCCGGTGCATTGGTGAGCATCAAAATAGCTGGTAGTACCCTCTGGTAAATTAACATAGACCCTGAAAATCGCCCATTTTTAATGGAAACTAGTCTTCCAACCCCTATCTGCCAGGGTCTATGTTAATTTACCAGAGTGTATCCCCAGAAACAGGATCATTTCGTTTGACCCAAAACCCCATGTTTGTCATCTCCCACCTGTAGATATCCGCCAAACAAATCCTGCAGAGTTGGCCTGGCAGAGTGTCACTTGTTGAAACCTATCTATAGAGTCATCATCTTTCTTGATGACATCCAACTTTCTTATTCAGCTTTTTCTTCCCCATGTTTGTTTATGAAATCCATTTCAATCCCCAATCTTTGCCCTTGCTGAGATGTGCTGAGTTTCCATCGTTTTCCGTTGAGACCTTCGAAGAATCGACCTTTTTTCCGTCGTGCAGTTCCAGGTAGAGGTGGATGTGTAAGCATGAACCATGGTTATAGTGGCTATACCCTCTGGTAAACTAACATAGCTATTGAAAATGGCCAGAGAAATAGTGGATTTACCCATTAAACATGGTGATTTTCCATAGTTACGTTAGTATGCCAGAGGGTATCCGAACTGATGGGGGTTTATAACCGTGGGCATCGACCATGTTTTTCCAGCTCAACTACACCCCCTACTGTGGATGGCTGCGAAATCAAAATCACCAGTTGGTAGATGGTTTATCCCCTTATCATCCGATGATTTACAGTGTTTCATAGTTGCCAATAGCTACCAACTGGTGCAGGATTTCTTCCATCCACAGTATGTATCCAAGAAATGGATAGAAATGGGATGACGATTCCATTTGTTACTTAGCGATGGTGGATGGTTTAACCATCGCTGGTTTTACAGTATCACTGATCCAAGTGATTCCAAATTAATCGATATATCTTCCATGAACCCCAACCTACAAGGAGGGGTTGACAATCGATTCATAGCTTCAAAAACTTCCATCCAACTGTAGATACGTCCAGCACAAATCGAGCATTAGATACGCCCACTTTGTACTACGGTAATTCTCCATTTTTCTAGATTCTACCTCCTTTGGTTCATGACTAAAGGGTACAATACTATCCAATATATTGGGGATTGTCACAATCCGTTATATAGGGTAAATCCTATCAACAAACCAGCAGACCATATTACTGTAGGTGATTTATCCTATGTATCTATGTTAAATAGTTGATTGACCTATTAAAAGTTATGATTTTCCATAGCAAACTGTTAGTATACCAGAAGTTACATACCATGATATCCCATTACAATTCCATTATAATTCCATTATAATTCCATTATAATTCCATTATAATTCCATTATAACTCCATTATAATTCCATTATAATTCCATTATAATTCCATTATAATTCCATTTGTATCTCATGATATTTCCAAGAATAATCCCATTATAACGCCATTATAATTCCCAATTTTTGCGGCATTTTGTTTCTGAACTTCCTGGCTTTTCCCTCAACGGTACCGAGGCTTCATCTTCACAGCACCGTCGCTTCTCTGCAGCCCCCGAGAAGGCTGGAGCTAAGGGTTTGTCAAAACTAAAAAACGAGGTTTTAAATGGTGATTTAAAGGGGAATGTCATGGGGATTTGATGGGAATTCAATGATTTACTGGGATTTGATATGGTTTGATGTGTTAAATTTGTAATCTCAATTGATGGGTGTAATATTCATAGAATTTTCATGGGATTTTCATATGCATTGGATATGCTAAATGGGATGATTCTGCAGTGATGGGATGATCAGGAAATGGATGGACTTGGCCCATCTGCGCCTCAAATTCTTGGACCGATTTATGGTTCGATTAATATACATTTCAAGATATTTCAACCGAAGAGATGACAAAGAAGTACACAATTTTTGTGGATCGATTTGCACATCAGTTGTGCATGACCCCAGTTGTTCCAGGGGCAGTTCCAGAGGAAATGTTCAGTGTGTGCCTCCGCACTTACTAATCCCAAGTTTTCATCATAGGTATTCAGTGTTGATAGAGAAGTCAACCAAGGACACAACCGCCTCAAGCCTGTCTCTGCGAATCTATGCTTGATTTACCTGGTTCTACCCACGAAGATCAGTTGTGAAAGTATCGTTTCACATGTTCCCAGACTGAGCTGGTGAAACCGCTGAACTGTAAAAATTGGAAGTAATTTCAATCATCAATCGTACAGGTACAGTTGGTTAACGTTTGCCAAAGCGGCATATCAGTTGCACAGTTGCACAGTTGCACAGGCACAGGGAAAAGAAGCCTCTGCATAGCCATGAAATCCATGAATCATTTGCACTGCAAGGATGGTTTTTCGGGATGCTACGACAAGCCAACATTTCAAGCTGAACATTGACTACCCTCTGGTAATTTGTTACATAGCTATTGAAAATGGCCATAGAAATAGTGGATTTTCCCATAAAAAATGGTGATTGTCCAGTTCGCTATGTTAAATTACCAGAGGGTAAACATCTGTGAGGTCAACTGATGGCCCAGGGACAAACCTCCACATCCCCGGATGGGGGTGGGATGGGGCCCCATTCATCCCATGTAGCTTGACATAGCTTGACCATGGCCCATTTGTTGCTTTAAATCCCATGAATTTCCAGTCATTCCTGTGTGATACTCCATTATATACGATTGTATACGATTGTATACGTATAATTACGTATATATATATATATTAATTATATATATATATATATTATATATATATATCATCAATTTCCAGAAATCCTCGGTTTTTCAAGGGTACAGTATCATCCAATTTTTCATGACGTCTTTTGTATTTCATAGATCAAACTTCACCATTCCCCTTTGGCTCGCCCAAGTTCAGGCCGACGCTTCTCATCGGCGCTTTTCAGCCGCTGCTCCTGTGACTGGGACGGACACTACGTCCGCTGCTCCTTTCGAAAAGAACAGTGGTGGGTAGAAAACAAACTCAAAGCAATAGCGATGTGTTTCCGGCTGGCAGATAATATCAGATCATCTACGAGACTTGCGGCAGCGATTTTTTGAAAATCCCTCTGCACTCTTTGGTCCCCATCCCAAGTTACACACAAGCAAGTCGGATTCAACCTATTCGAGAGCCCGGGGGATCTACATGTCTCAAAATGATCAAACTGCAAGGTGAGACTCCACAGGTATGTTGGTTTATAAGCACATGAACTAGTTCATTCTCTCCCCCAAATCAAAGTTCGCCAAGTTATGTGGGTGTCAACTTAACTAGCATAATCAGTGATTAGCCACTAAATCCCCATGTTTCTTGGAGATAATCCCTTTTTGCCTATGGTGTTTCTATTGTTAACCCCAGCAACGGCCAAGGGATCCAAGGGCAAGCCTGAGATGGCCAAGGCTACCACTGCGTTGAAACAGGACCAGCACTGCGGTGATGTCGTCGTTAAAGGAAGAAACGTTAAGACCACGGTGCTGGATGTTTGAATTATATAATTGCACATCATTGCAGCATTATTTTTTTGCATTTTTTTTTTGTACTCCAGTTTCGGACGCACCAATGTTGTCTCCAAGTAGCCATGTAGCATGTTTTTAGACCCTTGGACCCGCTGGCCATGGCCATCGCTATCCTGAATCGTCCAGGTATCCAACTCGACACCCAGATTTTGTTGGTCAATTCACAGAAATCAATATATCAATGGGAATTCCAGGATCCTAAAATGGAGGTACTGTACCACATAAGGCCATATTTTGTGGGGATATTCCCTTACATAGCCTTGAACCATAGGCCATATGGTAGGTACCTCCAATTTAGGTTCCTGAAATGGCCATTGAATATATGCCGTTTGAGATGGATGAGTAGCAAAAAATGCTGATGGCACAGGTAGCATATTTTGAGGGAGGAATGTACATCCATGTTCCATCACCTGCTTGAGGACTTGTCCAGCATGCTGACCGCTGAGGCAGATTTTTTTGGGTGGGAAGCCAACTTGAGGAACTGACGACATGAAATGGATTACTCACCAAATTTTTAGGGACTATCAGCACCAAAGAATGGGGGTATGACTCACATGGGAATATCAGCAGCATGGCTTATCATTCTACAAGATGGACATGGGAAAACCTACTGGAAACCAGATCTTTTGCCCTCAAAAATCTCGGGGTTTTCTGAATTTCTGCCACATGTGCAATCATCCATTTCTCCGTCTGGAGATGGCAACGATGTGATTTTTCATCACCAGAGGTGAACGCACCTGGTCATGGGTTCCCTTTGCTTCAGGATCGCTTAGGATACTGTTCTGCTAGCTGAGGGAAAAAAGTGGATGAACGCCGAAGGGTTAAACGGCCAATAGTATGTTTGCTTTGAAGGCCATCTTGGGGCAATGCCCGGCCTGACATTTCACCCTGAAAGCATAAACTCCGACTTAGGGCTGTTGCCCGGCCTCAATATCGTTTTCATGGAAACATCATCGTGTTTAGCCACTGTTTTTCAGCATATTTCTGTCATTTACATCCCATTGTTGGAAGTCCCATTCTATTGCTATTAGATCCCATTCAATCCCATCGTGTTTAACCAGGTTTTCATGGTGTGGGAGGTGGCCTAGGCGGCCACCTCTCCTCCCTCGTGCCTGGCTCGTGCCTGGCTCGTGGCAGGCTCAACAGGCTCAGAAGGTGCCGGAAGGCTGGAGTTCACCGGTGACGGAGCGAAAGTTTCGGAAATGAGATGACGAAACAATCACTTCATGGACTTCATGGGGATGTTTATTCAACAAAATTTGGAGGTTTCCTAAGTCATGGGGGGTAGCCCATGGTAGGTTTCCAGTTCTCATCCATCTTTTCTGCTGGATTTTCCATGAAATAAACCGTCCAGCTATCGGGGTGTCCCCATGTCTGGAAATCTCCAAATAAATGGAGTTTCCCCTTGGCATTTATCATGATTTACATAACCAACTCATATGCGAAATGATGTCTCAGAGATATCATGGGGATACCAACTTGATATGATACTGGTTGGTGGTTTCAAACATGAATTTTATTTTCCATAAGATATAATAGGATAATCCTTCCCATTGACTTTCATATTTTTCAAGATGGGTAGGTCAACCACCAACCAGGATAGTCGGGTGTGTCGGAAAATTGGTACACCCCCAACTAGCAAGTTTTTGTCGGGAACATGATGATAGAACCATTGGATTTGAGGGTAGCCTATTGTCAGACCAACCCACGCAGGCTTGAGGCTAACTCCTTGATCTAACTAACGTGTGCAGTAAATAGGAAAGCTCACCAGCTAGATTCCCATTTTCCATAGTTCAATTCCCCAGTTTCCCTAGATCAAATTCCATAAAATCACTATTTTCCCTAGTTAAATCCCATAAAATCATCATTTTCCCTGGTTAAATCACCATTTTCCACTTCAGGTGCCAGTTCCAAGCACTTCAACGCCACGGCCCTGGCCTCCCACAACGCCACCGCCGACGCGGCTCAGCGCGCCCGGCGTGCGAGCTTCGGTGGCACAGCGGCGATGCTCCACGCAGGGGCGCAGGGGGCGGCTGCCATACGGAGAAGATCGGTGGATGAGGAGACAGGGAAGATGGGTGTCCTTTTCCAATTGGTTGTTTGATTAATAGAGGGGTTTGAAGGTTTACCCCTTTAACAACAGGTTTGCTTGATGATAGATGGTATACCAGCTCCCGGCCCCTCTATTTTTAAGGACATTATTGGGCCAGGATGGATTTCACGAGATTCATCAACCAACATATGGAAAATTTTAAGGGAAAATGATGAATGGTGGATTTAACGATGGGTCAAGTCACCTTGTACCCCATTTCAGTTCACATCAAAATAGCTGGGATTTGTGGATGTGAATAACCCCCTCAAAATATTGATCCATGGCCAAGTGGGGAAAATGGGGATGTTAACAACTAGGATTGGGATGTAATTCACTAGGATGTACAATTAAATGCCATTTCTAGGGAAAATGCTGGACAGAATTGGGATTTCATTGGCATCTAATGGATCTTTAATCATAAAGCAACAAACAGAATTGGATAAGTTTGGACGAGGAGATTCAATGGGATTAACCGATGATTCACGCAACATTATGGGAATATAATTGCTATATATGATCTGGTTGGTGGTTTGGAACATGTTTTATTTTTCCACATATTGGGAAGAATAATCCCAACTGACCTTCATATTTTTCAGAGTGTTAGGTATACCATCAACCAGATGGGATTTGTAACTCAGCCAATATATGAGGTTGGGGAGATGGTGGATGGGTTTTTGATCGATGAATTGGGTGTTATTTCTTGATCAACGACAACTTGTAAAGAGCCAACCAGGGTATGCCAGGATATGACCATTGGTATACGGCTAGTCCACACACAGTTGCAAACATGTGATTTCATCACCTTTATTAATTAAGCATTATTAGACATTATGTAATTAAACATTATTAAACCATGGTTTCTCAGGCGTTAAAAAAGGGGGTACCGTAAGGATTTAGTTTTACAACTGCCTACCCCCAGGTGACAGGTGAATACAGGTGAGCCACCTCTGGGCTCCAGGCACCTCCCAATGCCCTGCGGCGCCGTTCGCTGGTTCAGCCGGCCGGCGGCGGCATGCTGCTGTCGGGGGCGCATATGACGCGGGAGCATCTGGAGGATCGCGAACTTTGACCTGGATACCCTCTGGTTATGACTAACAGTTTGGTGATTTAATGGTGATTTAACCACTATAAATGGTGATTTATGGGGATTTATAGGGAATACAATGGGATTTACCCTCTGGTAAACAAACAGTTTGCCATTGAATAGCTGGCCCATAGAAAGTTCGTGGATTTACCTTAGCATGGTGTTGTCTTTTCATATGTTGTTTACCAGAGGGTAGTGGTCTTGTGACAGTTGAGTCCAGGTGTCTCTTTTTTTGATGGGTTTCTTACTTCCTTTGAATGGGTCGAGTTGGACATTGAGCCGCACGAGCAGCGCGCATGACTCAGAAGCAAGTGTGTTGTATAGATGTACTTCCCGTTGGCATGGCATACACTACACTGTACCCTGTAAAATCCCATCATTGAATCTAATGCGCATTTACTACGTGTAGACATGTTCATGTACTTATAACTTATAACCATCTATATGATAAGTCTATATGCGGTTTTGCATATTTCTTCCGGGCCAACATGGTTTGCTTATGAGGACACCGGCAGCGATTCCAGTGACACAGTGCCGCAGTGCTTCGGTCAAAGCTTAGCTGCCATAGACCGCCCCCGTGGTGATTGGTTGTTGATTTTATAGCTGAAGATCGGTTGAATCTTTTCTAGCCTTGAAGAACAGTGGCACGTTTTTTTTCTTTTCGGTGTTGGTGAAATGATGTTGAATCTCTTTGCTTGATTCATTTCGTGCCGTTTCTGTTGATTAAATTCGTAGAATGGCTTCTGCCGCTGCCTATGATCAGAAACACCCCGCCAGAAACCTTGGCTGAACGTACTAAATTTGCTTTTTTGAAGTCTCACGGGCGGTGGTTGTTGTTGGCAGGGAGGGTTTGGTGCAGGGCAATTTAACATCCCAAGAAAAAAATGTAGATGTCGAATGATTATAGCTACATGTCGCAATGGGGTTTTTGAGTTTTGTTGAGAGTAGATTCTGTTGTTTGATTGATGGCTAACCACATAAGGGTGCAGTCGGGGTTCTTCATGAAAATAATGCCTACAACTATGATTGCATAACAATGTATAGCTGAACATCCATAGTTATATAGATATAGCATCTGATAAATGGTTCATCGATTTGTCCAGAACATGTTCAATTTTTGCTGGTAAAAATTGCATCATTTTTGTCAACCATGGCACATGTAGTAAAGCACTTGTAGTAAGTAAACTCCAGTTATATATTGATTACTTATCCAGTTGTATATATAATAGTATTAATATAACATAGTAATATAATATAATAATATAACATAATATAATGATATATATGCTCGCCAAAACCAATGTTCACCCTGTAAGGGCTAATAAGAACGGTGATTTCCTTGGACAGTGCAGTTGCAGTGAAAAAAGTTGATTAATATCATAGCCATAGCTACCCTCTGGTAAACTAACAGTTTGCTATTGAAAATTGCCATTTAGTTCCTTGATTTACGCAAACAAAAATGGTGATTTTCCATAGTTAGATGTTAGTTTACCAGAGGGTATACAGTAGGGGTTGTGTAACAATTGGGGGCATAACCAGGGTTATAATTACTGTTTTTTCCACCTCAACTGCACTCGCAAGTAGATGATGTATCCCATTCTATACCCTTTATAACCCTGTGATATCCCATTTTAGTCAAGAAAAAACAACAACAAACTATAACATGCATATAAAGTCCCATGAAATCACCATTTTCCATAGTTAAATCACAATTTTCCCCATAAAATCCCATAGACAAGGAAGCCTTGCATCTCCAAAAGGCACCACCAGCCGCGCACGGACAACTCCCGACGCAGTAGTGCACTGAGCAGTGTCTTGAGCGCTTCAAGGAGGAACGGCGAAAGAACAGGGGAAGTTCGGTGGATTTTCATGGCTTTGTTGAAGGATTGAAGGATTTGGGAAATAATAAATTTGGGAATAAAAAATTGATTCCCCAAATCAAATTAAACAAATTTTAACATATTTTATATCCTTTCCCAATGAAAAATACATCATTTGGGGAATCCATGTGGGGAATATGTTTGTTTTGGGTGGGGGTCCTCAAGCAAATCCGATCCAAGTTCTTGGTCCTGTAAGTGTTCTTTTTTCAGTAAATCTCCCACTGTAAAGCCAATCATAAACCATCCCATTCACCAACTCTTTGTTTTTTTTGGGGGGGTATTTTGCATCATTCCAAATAGGGCTGTGCCCTTTGTTCGGATTGTTTATTTTTATTCTGTTTACCACCGTTGGGCTATCCCATATATAACGGGGTTATCAATGTGGTTATTAACCAGTTACGAGCCAGGAGATGTTCTTTTACAGTTTTTGCCCAACAGCCAGAAATGGTCAAACATGGATGAACCCACTATGATGATTAAATGCTGATTTTTGACAATTTTGATTGATTTCGGTGATTAAAATGGTCGTTTTTAATGACCAAAAACAGAAATTCAACATTTTCCTTGATCTGGATTTTGGATTTCGGTCCTTATTGTCTTGCAAAACAAACAAGCAATGGTCAGAAAGAAAACAACAAGCAAAACAAGGGTTCTGTCCTACCAACGAGCAACAATGGTCAGAAATGGAGCTTGAATGGCCCGAAAATGGTGGTAATAATGGGAATATCATGAAGAATTATGGAGTAATGGTTGAGTGCACGGAAAAAAAATATGGTTCAAAAATGGTGGTAATAATGGGAAAATGGTGGTAATAATGGTGGTAATAATGGGAGATACTAATTTGTTGAGTGCACGGAAACGGCTCTTGAACCAACACTAAATGTCTTGCATCATGCATCTATGTTCCTTTGAAAATAGGGCAAGTTAAGCCCATGGCTGGGTCGGTCATCATTGTTCCATAAAATTTCAAATTGAATTTTCATTGGTGCGTCTCCCATGAACAAACTCATAGAATGTTTATATATTATACCCTCTGGTTATTTAACATAGCCATGGAACATCCCTTATAAATGGAGGTTTATAGCTGGGAACATCATCTATAAATGGGCCATGTTCCATGGCTATGTTAAATAACCAGAGGGTATCATTTTAATTGTATCAATTCCGATTTTATCCCAAAAAAAACGTTGTGAACATATCCATTTCTATCCCTAAAATCCCCGTAAGATATCCCATGAAAAATACCCATTGGTGGGTGGGTTTTGTGATGATCAATCTATGGTGGGTTATCGTTGTTGTATCAATGGAAATATTCCATAGATCATCACAAAATTGATAAATGATATCCATAGATATTATCTATTGGTTTATTATCCATTGATTTTATGATGAAATCCTATTGAGATCCAAATTTTGCATATTGAAACTCCCCATTTTTCAGGATTATTTTCCCGTTCAAATGATCATCCCACTTATATGGTAACTAGTTAATAACCATGGTTAGTAAGTCCCCCGTGGGTGATCCCATTTACCACCTTGTACCTATGGATTTTCAATTAACAAACAATGGATTTTTTTTATTGATTGTTTTTCAGATACCGCTCCACCCAACTGGTCAGGAGCAGCCTGTCATCTTCCTCCGGCATGTCTGATTCGCACAGCTCGCCACCGCGCAGATACTTGGCTGGGGGTTATAAACTAACTTATAACTTGGGGGCACCACCTTGCAACCACCGAACAAGATACGAAGAATCAAAGTGTCAGATTTACATTTTGTTTTAGGTAGGATGTTACATTTTATTTCTGGGAGTTGCTAGAAGTGGTTGAACACTCAGATGTGGGGTTGTTGCCCACAGAGAAAAGGGATCCAATTGATGTTTTTGAGCCACATAGCAACTGGGATGCACGTCCTAACATCACGGCTGACATCATTCTGTGTTTTTTTTGTCCTGCCCTAAGAAAACAAAGCGCTGGAGTGAAAATTCCCATGTTCAACAGGCATGAACATCCTCAATGCTAGGTTTATTATTTGCAGAACGCTATTCACTACATTGTCAATAGCATGAGGCAGGTTGACTGACACCCTATGAAGTATGAATAATTATGTAGAGGAACCCCTAAGCCAAGCCCCATTGTGGAGTGTGGATTCCTATTGCCAGGCTTCAAAATGGTGAGACATCGGGTGAATGGCGCATGGCCATACATGGAGCTTTCCGAATTCATGGGGATCCCCAGTTCTCCTCCGAGGCAACTTATACACCATTAATCGATCCATTTCGATCCATCTATAGTATTGAAATCCCATGGGTTTTCGGGATCCAATGGATCCAGCATTTTAGGAAAACGCCCCCTGGTGGAGAGATTATGATTGTTGGCGGCTTCCAGGGATCCATGAATAAAATGAGTGCGACCTGATTGGAGCATTCACCTTGGCTACATAAAACATGATTGGTCTATCCGGTCTATCCAGTATGTTGCAGTACCTGCAATATTGGCCGGTTGACATCTTTGTTCGTCTCGCTCAAGATCAGTCTTGTCGGTTGACATCCGTCTCTGTGTTGTTGTCATCCTGATGTTCATCGCTCAAGGTGCCAACCTATGGATTGTTTCTGTCCCCATGTTGTTGAAATCACTATTTTTCCATCTTTGCTTCTTGAAGGTGGTGCGATTTCTTGTGATTGTTGCTTCAAGTCTCAAACTGTGACAAGATTTGAAGGCCAACACTGTATCCGTATTGTCTCCCGCATTGCGTTTGGGTTGAAGCTTCATTTTTGTCACGGTTTTTCACAGAGAAAAACATGCTGGAAACACCTAGCCTATTGCTCAAAACTGCGGTAAACCATGGGTCTGCCGCATTCCTTTCCATTGAAATTAGCCTTCTTGACTGGTATCCTCACAAAAGTGTCCTGTCAGGTCAAAAGAAGTTCACCGACAAATATCCAGTGATATTCATTGGCAAATTGGGTTATGTATGGTTATATGTCCAAAGGTCCTATATATTCCCATACATTGGTCACATCCCCAAAATCCCATAAAATCCCCATATCCATGTGGATTATTCTGCAGTAAACGAACATAGTTATGGACATCACAGTCTTTAATGCTCAGCTAAATCATTGAACTACATTTTAATATGGGCCATTTTCCCTGGCTATCTTAGTTTATCAGAGGGTATACCCCCATATCTTCACAAGTACTGTGGTGGTTGAGAAATCCTTCAACTGGCGCATTTTGTCTATACGCAGTATGAACCCCCTTTCAGGTGCCCGTTCGAGTTTCTCTGACAACAGTGAGCACTCGCAGCGCCTGTCCATCTTTGCGCAGCGTTTGCATGATGAGACGGAAATGTGGCTGGGCGGATGAGGTTTTTACGAAGAACATGTGGATCTTGTGATAAGCTTTGACAAAGGATCCATGGATTGATGAAGGGGTGAATTTACAGGAACCCCTGTGTTTCATGCGAGAAACATCGAACAATCATGAAACACAATGGTTTCCGGCCAAGATTTTCACTCAATCCATTGAATGGAAGCTCAACAGCCAACTCAAATGGGAAGTTCAAGGACCTTCAGGGAGTTGAATTCAAGTATAGTATGTTGTAATTGATAAACAGCCAACCAAATTGATCCTAAGGATCCAAATTGGGGGTTACTGTAAGAATGGTTAATGCTGGTAAATAATTATTACCAAACATAGTGTACCATAATTTCAGTCACTGCACCATTGTGTACCTTTTTCATTGTCACTGGAAAGTGCACGATTTTGGGAGTAGGAATCCTACCAGTATTTACGTCACTTCACGAGTATTCACGCCACTTTGAAACGTATTATTGATGCTATGTTTACGGAAGCCAAATCGCAAAGTTGCTCAGTTGGTTGAACAGCGAAAAATGCCAAAGAAGCATGCTTAACATAGCAAATATCGGGGTTCGATTGCAAAACAGTACCAAACTCAGTGGTTTTGTACAAGCAAAAGTCCAGGCTTTATGAGCAAGAATGACATGTTTGAACAACAAACTCGCGGATTGTTCCGGCCAAAACGGAAAAAACAACGACAACACGGTGAAAGCAAGCAGGCTCGGCTCCAAACAAACGCGTCATGGGATTCACCCAGCAATTTTTCGCTTCTGAAAAATCACCAGTTTGGTGTTTTGCCAATCCCAAATGAGGATTTACCCTCTAGTAATTTAACAGTTTGCTATTGAACATGGCCATTTATAGTGAGTTTTCCCATTAAAATGGTGATTTTCCATAGTTATGTTAGTTTACCAGAGGGTAAATCGATTTTAACCACCAAAAAGACGGGGACTTTGAATCTCAAAACAAATCTGTTTCCCCTCAGAATGAACATCCTCCCAGACACCCTGGTGGAATGTGGTGACTCTGTTCACCTTGAATCTAGGGTGCTGATCGGATGATCGGATTACATATGATTACATAAATTGATCTCTGGTGAATGGTTCATCAGATGTATAAACCTCATGATCCCAGCTGACTTTCATATTTTTTCAGAGGAGTAGGTCAACCAGCAACCAGAAACTATTACAACCCCCATGTTCTTGAGTGTATTTTTTATATTTTTTTAAAGTCGTTTACACCCCCCGCGTTTTTTCTCATGAAAGGCTTGGTATGTTGGTGACCACCATGCCCAGGCAATACAACAAAGTCTTGATCAAGGCCTTTGATCAACTGGTTTGTCGCAAGGCGCGGTAGATGTCTCTGGTTTCATTGTCCTGGGATGTCGCACCGTCAGGAACTTCCACACCTCTGCCAGATGTCTCTCTCTGTATGTACAATTATAGTATGTACAATACATGTAATGTAATGTGTATATACCGTGTATATATATAATTATATATATGACCATTTGTCAAAAATAGTTGTTTAGAAGTTTAGTATTGGTTGTTGATAATTCATCTGGATCTACTGTTTTTTTCCTCTTCGTTATGAGGCGGCACGCAACTAAATTCAGCTTCTGCAAGGCAGCGCTAGCAAACCCGCTAGGTTTGCGCTAGGTTTGATTGACAGCCATGGCCTCCATGTCGTGAATGTCTGCCAGCTTTTCTTACAAGTCTGTCAGTGTTTCCACATATTCCCAAATTTTCGTTTTTTTTTTACGTATTTTACGCGCTAGGTCGCCGCTAGCAACGCGCTAGCGAAAATTGCAAATACATGCCCCGGTCCACCCGCAGCCCATCAGAGGCACAGCCATGTTCACGCTTTGGTAGCTTACAGTAAGGAAACAGCGTTGATCAGGAGGCATGTCAAGAAGCATATTGCATTCAGAGAGGCACACACACACAGAGACACACAGTTCAGGAGATAGTACCAGCGAGAGCGAATGAAAACCGACGTGCGTTAGCCGATTCCTGTGGTTTTAGAAGATTTCCAAAGGTAACGAAGAATTTCCACGTTTTCACGTCATCAAGGTAGGTCATGTTTTTTAAAGGCAAACATGAGGCGGCACGCATGGAATTGCGATTTATCAACAAAACCGGGAACAGACATTTTGACAAACCGTCACATATATATATATACATTATTTATACATAATCCCAGTTTTGCAATGTATAACATATATTGTCCAGTTGCCATCCAGGTAGGATGATCGTCAGATACAGGGTCTTACATTTCCTCGACAGGTCAGTCTCATCAGTTGAGCAGTCTCTGATACCCCTCAGTTGGGACCTATATAAGTGGTTGGTTTAATGGAGACTATCATAAACCCATTCTGGGAATCCTCATAAATGGTTTATTCCCAGTAAAGCCATTCCAATCCCAGTAAAGCCATAAAACAGCAAAATATAATAAATATCAAAAATGGAGAATATCAAAAATCATAACAAAGTTTCCAATCCTTTGGACCAGTCCACTTTTGCTGTTTGGAAACTGCTCAGTTTTTTCAAATGGCTTGGTCTGAAAATTGGCTATTCCAAAATCCACTGGTCTAGCACCATGTTCCCTCTTAAAGGAACAACTTTTGAGGGATCCCATTTTCAGACAAGACGAATCACATTGCTGCTTATAGTTAGACAATGTTAGACATCCCATATTTATATCCCATTTATATTTCATTTATATCCCACATATTGCCTATTCATCCCATCAAATCTGATGGATGAACTGTTAATCCCTATTGAATCAGAGGGTGACCGGAGAAGTCCCACAGCGAAGGTTGATCTGTGGGAACCTGTGTCGCGTGATGAGTTCGTGCATCTCCTGAGAGATTTCAAGCTGGGGGAGGAGGGACCTCGGGATCAATTGGGGCATTGAGATTGGAGCAAGCAACAAGGAAAAAAACGGGACAAATATATGGGGACAATCACAGAAACATTGGGATTTCATATGATTGTCAGATTACAAGGTGCTGCCTCCTAGTATCTCCTAGTTATGTTGATTGGTTTATGTTCACCCATCTAACTATAGCTAGTTCATCGCCATAATTTAGCTAGTTGCTCACTAATTTATTTCGGAACCAAAAGATGATCAGACAATATTCTCCATTCTGTTGGACGAGAAACCGAATATCCCCATATCTATTGCTTAATAATCCGCTCTCCCCCAAGAACCCTGAGCTTGCCTGACAGGAAGGTGCCAAAGCCATCTTCAAACTGAGCGCAAGGGCCGATGGGCGCACAGCACCAGGCGGGTAGCTGTGGATGTGTCGCCAAAACGCGTAGCTAAATTGGTGAACAGAACTCCAATAGCTTTGGATAGCCACGGTTTATGGATGTTTATGGTAGATATATAGCTATATAATCGGGCTTCTGGTAGATATAGCATATAGCTAATGGGGTTGATGAACTCATTTATAACTGTCGGATGCCCACCTTGCAGGGACGTAGACGTAAACTTTCAGGTATCAGCAGGTTGGTCAGAAGGTTTTTCCAAAAGGGGTTGAATCATCTCATCTCAATAGGATAGTCCCTCAAGCCAGTCCTATCTTTTCCTTTTTCCTGGTATTTCACCCACTTGTGATTCTTTGTACGATGAAACACGAAGTAAGTTTAGATCCTATTCCTCTAAGTGTACCTCCGTTTCATCTGAGTGGTTAAAGCATGTTAAAGCTATAACCTCACCTTTTTGTTGGCTAAGTGCACCATTTTGGTAGGTTAAATCCAGAATTTGCGTGGGAAAATTCACGTAACCCCCGAAGCTAGTCTAATTAGATTAACCGTGTTGTCGTAACATGCACATTTTCCATTTTTTTGTGTGTCAGATTCCAGTAGACTACTATCCACATCGCCACTACGAAAATACAAGGTGGTGCCCCCAAACATTATGACTGTTGGCTTATGTTCACCCAATTTCACCCATCTAACTACAGTATAGTTATAGTCGCCTTCAGCCTAGCACTTAACCATACTTAACCTATTGCAACGCAAGTTAGCAAGCAACATCCCATGAAAAATCGCATGAAATCCACCATTTTTGCTGCTCAACTCCGGCGGATATTTCACGAATCACTCTCAGAGTCCGAATCCCATCATCCAAAGTCACCGGAATTTCCTAGGTCAATGATGGGTAGAAACATGTAGAAACTTTTTTTTTTTAGTCTTTTGGTATGGGATTATCATGGATATTCATGGATTATCTAGCTTCACCAGCTAAGAATTTTTCATTTTTTGCAGGGTATCTAAGGTTGGCCATGTGACTCCGTCCCAACGCGGACCCCCTTTGGCAGCTGCTCTATTGTCTGCTTTTTTTTTGGCCACGCTTTCACCGAAATCCTCAGATTTTGGTGTTTAACCATGGGTTTACCCTCTGGTAAACATACAAAAAACTATGGAAAAATGACCCAATCGAAATCGTTGATTTTCCCATGAAAAATTGTGATTTTCCATAGTTTTTTGTATGTTTACCAGAGGGTTTATCTACTAACCAACCAGCTTCTCAATGGGTATCTAAAGTTGGCCACTTTTGTCGCCTCGATCTCCAGGTGAGGTGCTGCTCCGCTCGCTGGGTGGCTTCGGGCGCAAGTACCGCAAGCTGCGGCAACTGCTGGGCTTGTGCCTTGGATGCCTTGGATGCCTTGGATGCCTTGGATGCCTTGGGGATGGAGCTTCGGATAACTTTGGGGATGATTACATGGTTAATTCATGGTGAAGAACATCCCAATTAATGGTGGACATATATCCCAGCGAATGGTTCATTAATGGTGAATAACATTAACATCCCAACATATCCCAACTATATGGTTAGTAAAGGTGAATTTTATGGTTAACACAGTTATGTGAACAAGTGTTAACATATCAACTGGCCCACCATTGATCTTTGAATTCCTCAATGGTGGTTTCCATAGTCATGGGGGTACCCCAATAGCTGGATGGCTTATAATGGGAAATCCCAAACAAAAATTTATGATTTAGGGGTATCCCTATTTTAGGAAACCTCAATGGGTAATTTATGGTGAATAACATCACAATTAATGGTGAATGGTGAATTCATGGCGAATTATATGGTTAACATATCCCAACTGGGATGTTTTTTGTTGGGTGCTCATCAATGGTTGTACCCTCTGGTAATTTAACAGTTTGCGAACTTGAACATGACCCAATCGAAAGAGTGGATGTACCCATTGATAGCATGGTGATTTTCCAGTTCGCAAACTGTTAGTCATTACCTTTTCCTATGGTTTTCCTATGGTTTTTGCGATGTTGAACATCAACCCCTTCTGCAGCCGCCTCGGCCAGGAAAGTCGAGTTCAGCAGCCGGGCGTCTTCGAAGCGATCCTCCGTTGAAGTGGAAGTGGAGAAATTAGAGACGCTTCCGAAGGCGCAAGAAATCGAGTGTCTTGGTGGCTGCAGAAATGTTACCCTCTGGTTATGTCAAAATAGCTATTGAAAATGACCATTTATAGTGGATTTTCCCATTAAAAATGGTGATTTTCCATAGCTATGTTAAATTACCAGAGGGTAAATGTTGGATTATACTATGATTATACTGGATGATCTGGTTATATGATACTGATATACTATGATTATATTATGATATACTATGATTATACTGTTATTTAGAACTTTCCCATCTAGATTTGTTTGGCTGATACTGGATGATGTGGTTACATGATATATGGAGGAACTGTTGGGAGGGATTGCTACTATCAGAAGATATGGAGCCACTTAGAGTCGTTGATGTTCATTTATATCGCATATCACTCGGTAGTGTAGGTCAAGAATTAGTTTGGTGCTTGTTCGAGAAGATCGTGATGAGAACCCCCTTGAAACATGGAACAAGCTACAAGCTGATGCCCCAAGCCTAACATATGTTTGTTGGTTTATGTTCACCCATCTAACTGAAGTTAAGATCACCATAAACCCTACCAGGAAGTTAGTCTAGTCAGAAACTAGCTTAGCTAACGAGCGGGGGCGCCATCTTGTAGGAATGCGGGGCACTTGCTTGCCATGGTAATTAAATAAGCACGATGTGTTGTGCAAGATCATTCCCGTTGCCTGTGGTATTAGACTGAAGTTTACCTGCATTCCGTAGGTTGTGAAAACCGTCAAGCAACATTTGTTCACACAATTCGTGTTAGGTATTCCATGGTATTCCCAGCTTTGCTAGGTACCCTCTGGTAAACCAACATAACTATTGAAACTGGCCATGGAAATAGCTGATTGACCCAGTAATAGCATGGTGATTTTTAATAGCAAACTGTTAAATTACCAGAGGGCAATCAGTTCCCTGTTTGATTTTCATGGTCACTGACCATGGCTTCTTTGATCCCCATTGCGCCCGCAAAAAAAAGCTTCCCCACTTTCACCGGGTAGAGGCCTGTTTTATCTTGTTTTACATCATGTAAGCGCTACAGGATGGGGTCCCCAAGATAGCGTTCAGTGGCCTTAGTTCAGTGGCTGAATTCTATGGTTTATCGTAGATAGAACGAACTAGTTCATAATGGTTATTTCATGGTTTATAAACCGGGGGGCCCCATCCTTTCATATTTCCGGCGAATATCCATTCTGCAGCCAGTGCTCCCAGCTGCCAAGGATTAGTAACTTGTCCATCGGCCTGTCAAGGGACTACGTGGGGGAGCCCAGCTCGGTGAGTTGACCTTGAATCATCTTGCGGAAAGACTCAGCTGGAAATTGTGTGTATATAATATATTAATATATATTACCATTAGTTATATCATGTCATATACATCTACTATATATATATATCTTACACCTATTAGAGATGAAGTATATCCTACCAATTGAATAGAGGTAGATTCAATCCAGAGATGTCAGGGAGATGTTTGGTATCCTCTCCTGAGGAAAAGGCTGAAGAAGATGCGAATCTCGGTGCAGTTACTCAAACAATCCATGGCCCATTGAGGAATTCGAAGATCAATGACGGGCCTAAAAGGAGATACCCGGCCCGGTAAACTAACAGAAAAAGCTATTGAATAGCTGGCCCAATCGAAATAGTGGATTTACCCATAGCATGGTGATTTTCCATAGTTATGTAACAGTTTACCAGAGGGTACATGAGTCCTCTCAATCTCAGGAAATGGCTCAAAGAATGATTTATCTCATTTGATGCTTACTAAGTTTTGTGTGTCCACGCAACAAATGACCAGCTTTGCAATCGCTATGACACGCCCCACACACCACAAAAAAGACCGCAACTGTGGGACAACGTTTGGGAAATTGGAAGTTGAGCACCAGAAATGGAGAGACATTTGGTGATTTCAAACAATTTCAAGTTGTTTAAAGGTGGATTTATGATTGAATATGGATTCACTTGAGTTCTTTATTGATTCAATTCTAGGTTTTAGGGGTGAAATTGGAGCCAGATCAATGCGTATAATGAGTCCAACATTTGGGGGAAACGACCACGACCACCATCTTGCACCTAGGAGACTGAAAGCGCGCGCACGACTGAACAAAGCGGTTCGGAAGATTGGGCTGACCTTCAACTTGTCCAAGAGTGAAGCTTTCTCAAAATTCGGACATGCCTTTCATCAGCAATGGACCGTTATATGGAGGTTTCCTATAGTGGAGATACCCCCGAATCATCCAAGCCGTTGAAGTTTAATAGTGCGTTCTTTACTTCAAGTTTAACACAACTTGACACTGTAAAAAAATATGTTAAAGTAAAGTGTAACAATAATAAACCAGTTTGATAACCAATTGTAACATTCTGTAGTTATTGGACAATACATCAGCTTTCCTTGGGGAAATCTACAGGGAACCCCAGGGAACCCCTGAGTCAATTGGTCAATTTTTTCGTTTGGATTGATCCATTAAAGCCAACGATGAAAAATGGGATCCCTGGGGTTAGAATTGATGATATGTGACTTGAGTACATGCTATGACCATACATATATTAATATACATATATATATTATATAATATATATTCTATGATATTGTACATATATTATGTAACTGATGTAGTACATATATAAGTCTTGAGTAAGTATACGGTATACATATTATATGTACATATTTATACATATACTGTATATATTTATAAATATATATATATATACTGGGCTGCTGTTAAGATAGTCAAATAATCAAAAAGGTGTTCTATATATCTATTTCGGGAAATATATTTCAATACATTATATATTCTGATTAACCATGATTAAAATTACGCTATTGTTTTCTTCGTTGCGAGAGCTCAACCTTTCTTCAAATATCGTTGCCTAATCACATGGAACACCGAATATTCAGTCGCACAATACTTCCCAAAGTTGACGTTTTGCTGAAATTGCTCTTCGTTCATGAAAATTGTGGGTTCCCTCAATACAGCACAGCAAATACAAATATAGTTTTCTGACTTCTCTTTGGTTCTCCGACCTTTTGCAACATGGTGGGGATTGTAGCAGCTGCTTTCAACAATGGTATCATTTTGGCAAATATACAGGCTGCTTATATTATTTCGACCATTACATAAACTATACTTGCGCATGTTGCATGTTATTGTGTTTGCACCGTCCTCGTCGTGTTGAGTTGGTTCGTCAACTAATCTGAAATTTGTTGAAGCGTTTCAATGAAGCATCACCCCATCACTCAAGGTTTTGATCCTTTAAACCGTACATTTACAGATATTCATGCATAAACATGTGTACAAGGAGAACTTCACACATTGACACGCACACGCACGCAAGTCTATATCCATCTTGGACATAAATATATGTACATACATACAAATAATCTATCTGTACTTATATATTATAAATATATATATATAGATACACATATTCACAGCATGTGCATGGACATTGGAGTGGCCATTCCCTTTGAAGAGAATGCACGCCTTGCCATCACGGAAAACTACCTGCCCTGCACCCCCAATGCTCCCCTTATCTGAAGAGCGAGTATGCATGGTGATGTCCCGCAGCAACGCCTGGCAATATGGTTTGAACTTGTCTGCACTTGGGGAGCCAGCGGTATGATCACATGTCAAAGGGAGCTTGTGGTCTTAGACGTAAAAAAAGGTGCACTTGGCTGCCTACTCAATTTGTTCAAGATATGTAACAAGCATGTTGTATGGCCACGAAACAAATAATATACTACACTTGATCAAATCCCAGAGATAACTTTTGAAAATGTTATTCTTGCTTGATGCCTCTCCATATTCTTGAGATTATTTGCGCATATTCTTGTTGAATCCATATGTATTTTTGTTTGATCCGTCGCCCCTACTCCTTGCTTCGCTCCTTCCGTCTTGTTTTGGCTTTGGCTTCTCAGGCTAATTCCTGCTCGCCCACCAGCCTATTACTTCACCCACTTGAAGGATTAGCTACATATGCTTGTTTGACACATGTTGTTCTTTATTATGCGTATATACATGCATGTTTTAGGTGTACTGAACAATTATTTATTTTTATTTATATATATATATCTCTCTCTCTCTATCTAGACATAGGTTTATATACGGCCAAAAAATGGTATGCAGATATACACATTTATAATACATATGCAAATTTATGTCTTTAGTTGCAATGCTCATACGTTTGTACATAGGCAAATGCAAATTTGCCGATGCCGACAGCATGGGAGGTCCTATTGCTTGCCTTCACAAGCGGTTGGGCCCAGGAAGCCTTCTTTCTGATCAGCCCCTTAGCGCTCACGACCTTGCAATGCTTACCCTTAATCTTTTAAATTCTTGTTGGCGCTGTTAAGCAAATCACCTTGCACAAGAGAGGGGCTGCCAGCCCCTATCCCCTGCAAGGTCCGTAGCGCTCGGGACCTTGCACCGCCTCTCCCCACCGTAGCTCGGGGCATGGGTTTTGACCTTGCAGCCCCCTATCTGAATATTTTTAACGTGCTGTTAAGATAATCATACTCAGGCGGTGCAAGGTCCGTAGCGCTCGGGACCTTGCAGGGCATAGGGGCTGACAGCCCCTCTCCTGTACAAGGTGATTTGCTTAACAGCACCAACAAGAATTTAAAATATTAAGGGTAAGCATTGCAAGGTCGTGAGCGCTAAGGGGCTGATCAGAAAGAAGGCTTCCTGGGCCCAACCGCTTGTGAAGGCAAGCAATAGGACCTCCCATGCTGTCGGCATCGGCAATTTTGCATTTGCCTATGTACAAATGTATGAGCATTGCAACTAAAGACATAAATTTGCATATGTATTATAAATGTGTATATCTGCATACCATTTTTTGGCCGTATATAAACCTATGTCTAGATAGAGAGAGAGAGATATATATAAATAAAAATAAATAATTGTCCAGTACACCTAAAACATGCATGTATATACGCATAATAAAGAACAACATGTGTCAAACAAGTATATGTAGCTAATCCTTCAAGTGGGTGAAGTAATAGGCTGGTGGGCGAGCAGGAATTAGCCTGAGAAGCCAAAGCCAAAACAAGACGGAAGGAGCGAAGCAAGGAGTAGGGGCGACGGATCAAACAAAAATACATATGGATTCAACAAGAATATGCGCAAATAATCTCAAGAATATGGAGAGGCATCAAGCAAGAATAACATTTTCAAAAGTTATCTCTGGGATTTGATCAAGTGTAGTATATTATTTGTTTCGTGGCCATACAACATGCTTGTTACATATCTTGAACAAATTGAGTAGGCAGCCAAGTGCACCTCTTTTTACGTCTAAGACCACAAGCTCCCTTTGACATGTGATCATACCGCTGGCTCCCCAAGTGCAGACAAGTTCAAACCATATTGCCAGGCGTTGCTGCGGGACATCACCATGCATACTCGCTCTTCAGATAAGGGGAGCATTGGGGGTGCAGGGCAGGTAGTTTTCCGTGATGGCAAGGCGTGCATTCTCTTCAAAGGGAATGGCCACTCCAATGTCCATGCACATGCTGTGAATATGTGTATCTATATATATATATATATATTTATTTATAATATATAAGTACAGATAGATTATTTGTATGTATGTACATATATTTATGTCAAAGATGGATATAGACTTGCGTGCGTGTGCGTGTCAATGTGTGAAGTTCTCCTTGTACACATGTTTATGCATGAATATCTGTAAATGTATGGTTTAAAGGATCAAAACCTTGAGTGATGGGGTGATGCTTCATTGAAACGCTTCAACAAATTTCAGATTAGTTGACGAACCAACTCAACACGACGAGGACGGTGCAAACACAATAACATGCAACATGCGCAAGTATAGTTTATGTAATGGTCGAAATAATATAAGCAGCCTGTATATTTGCCAAAATGATACCATTGTTGAAAGCAGCTGCTACAATCCCCACCATGTTGCAAAAGGTCGGAGAACCAAAGAGAAGTCAGAAAACTATATTCGTATTTGCTGTGCTGTATTGAGGGAACCCACAATTTTCATGAACGAAGAGCAATTTCAGCAAAACGTCAACTTTGGGAAGTATTGTGCGACTGAATATTCGGTGTTCCATGTGATTAGGCAACGATATTTGAAGAAAGGTTGAGCTCTTGCAACAGACAAGACAATAGCGTAATTTTTACCATGGTTAGTTAATCATACTATATTATATGTTGCATTGAAATATATTCTGAAATATACAGAAAAACTTTTTGATTATTTGATTATCTTAACAGCAGCCCAGTATATCTGGATGAATCATCATGACCTCATTACGTGACATCACTGGAGTGATGGTTGGGATTCGGGGAATCATACCCATAGCTGGCCGCAAGATGTCAGCTATTTTTTCATGTCAGTGAATTAGTATACTTCAGCCATATACAGTACGTAGAATTGTATAATATTCGTACAGCTATTTTTCATGGCGTAGAAACCATCTAGCAGTTTTTATTTGATGTGTATGTGTGAAATCCTATCCACAACCCTTCCAGCCACTTTGGCCAATTCATCCCAGTGAGTTTGGGTTCCTCAATTATCTCAAATCTATTTCCCCGGTATAGCAGACTCAACACACCTAGAGATTGTGAGGTTCGTATATCATCTACAATGCCATAGGCTCGAGCTTTTCTATCTATTCGGGGGGCTCGTATATGGGTGTGTATATCTTTGTATCAAAATGATTCCAAATGGTGGTACCCCAAATGACCACTTTCAGGGGCAGCATGATGATAAAGCTTGGTCTGGACATTGTTAACTGTTGTGTTCATGGGGGATATAGCGAACTAGTTCATGGTTTACAAACCAACTTGCACAATTGGGGGGCCTCACCTTGTATGTAAATGTTCTCGTTTCTGATGCCACGTGCTGGCCCTGTAAACGATGGGCTGCTATCCATGCGAATAGCTAGGGGATGATTGGGATGAGAAAGAATAGCAGCGGAGGCAGGTGGCTGTCTTTCAGAAACTACATGGGAACCACGAATAGTTTTGCCATTTCGAGACATCAGATCTCACCCAAAGCAGGGGACTTGCCGGTCCTCTTTCAAAAACTTGGCTTTCAGCCAAATTAGGGGGACTTGGTTAGATGCATCCCAGCTATAAATAATGACTAGACAATAAGCATATTCTAGCCCAGTTACCCTCTGGTGAACTAACATAGCAATGGAAAGATCCACCCATTTTTCATGGGAAAATCCACTATAAATAACCATTTTCCATTGCTATGTTAGTTCACCAGAGGGTATATGATGTTATACGCGGGATATGATGTGCCCCACTAAAAAAAATGGGTTATGAACTACCACTTGGGATGCACCTCGTCGGAGGAGGTGACTAGAATTCATCCAGATCCATGAGAAATATCCCATTATATGTCATAATTGGTTGGTTATGTATATATAGCTATATTTACATCCTCAGAATACCGTATTGGTTTATGAAAGTTTATGATTATACTTATCACATTTTATAACTATATGAGAAATCGTATTATTCATGGGGTTTATAAAACCAATATACTATGATTTTATATCACCTCCAGTGATATCATCTTAGATCTATGGTTTTATAAAGCAACTTTCATAGAATTGGATTATGGGAAAATCTACAGGAAAGCCCGTCATATTTGATGGTAACAACCATGGTTTCCGGTTAAGATTTTCCCTTAAACCAATCCAGTGAAACTTATACATGGAGGTGTCCGTTTTGTCATGGGGCTAGCCCCATCATTATCATCCACTAGGGGACGAGCCCAAGGACAAGAAAGCTGCCGACACGCCCTCGGACACGTCGGTGCCAAGGGATCCCATGGTCGAGCTGGACTTGGTGTCTTGATTTAGAGGGAAAAAAACAGTCCATTGGATGGAAAAAAAACTGGTTGGTGGTGACTGGAACCATGGTTAATCTATGTTTAATCTATGGTTAATAATGGTTAATAATTGGAATAACAATATATACTGGTTGGTGGTGACTGGAACCATGGTTAATCTATGGTTAATCTATGGTCAATAATGGTTAATAATTGGAATAACAATATATACTGGTTGGTGGTGACTGGAACCATGAATTTTTATGACTTTCCAGAAACAGTTGGGAATTTCATCATCCCAACTGACGAACTCCATCATTTTTCAGAGGGGTAGGTCAACCACCAACCAGTATAACTATACAATGTTATTGGTCTATTGATAATCAGCAATCATGTTGGTTTATAATGAAATAATGTTATTTGTCGATGTCTATGGTTTATAATCAGTAATATTGGTTGACTATCAGTCATGTTAATAACTATTGTTCAATGTTTTTTGGATTGAAATCAATGTGTACCTGATGATACATGAAATTATGTAGCATATATATATATATGTAAACCAAACTACTGTTCAAAAGCCATTGCTTTAATAATAAATATGGTCAGCAAAGATGAAGCAAGAGTAAACCATTCCCAAAATCACCATAGATGGGTTGTATAGATCATCCCCAAATGGTAGGTTTGTTTGTCATTGGGTTTCCCTTTTTTTGGGGGGGGATTCTAAATATGAGGGGAATATGGGATCTCATGAGATTTTTAATAAGATCTAATAAGATATGTTCAGATTCAAATGGGTTTGTATGAACATGAAAATGGGGTACGCCTAAATTGATTGGTTTATCATCATTTTCGCATATAATATAGCTCCCCTATTTCAGGACACAGCGAAATGCCCTCCAGTAAATTAAAACGGACCCTGAACATATTATATATTTATGTTTATGTGGAAATTAGTCTTCCAACCCCTTGAGGCTAGGTGTAGATTGGGATCATTGGTGTGGAGTATCTTTTCATATAGTTGCGTGGTGGTTTATATCATCCAATCTATTTATTCTATTTTTGGTGCTATAGAAAATCAGTGTTCAGATTCCAATAGTAGCCTTTTTTGGGGGTATGCACCAGTCCAATTCTGAACAGACGCACATACGTATATTTATAGCATAGAGTATATATTCTGCATTCCCTGATGAATGTAAAATTAATAGATTTCTAGTATATGATTGTCGTTTGTTAGTTATATCTGAGATTCTGTAATGAATAATTCAGCCAAACATCGATAGATGATGAATGTGTGAGTAGCATGTGATCAATACAATCGTATACATATATGACAATGATGATGGTGATGATGATGACGACGACGACGATGATGACGATGACGACGATGACGATGACGATGACGATGATGATGATGATGATGATGATGATGATGATGAATGTATTCCAGGGGTTTAATTGAGTGTATTCCAGGGTTTGCACTCTGCCTGGTCGTCCTTCTCCCCCACCGTTTGTTGGCTGTGACCGGTTGCCAGAAGTCCGATTAGGCAAGTAATCATGGTTCAAGAGCTACTATCAACTGTCAACACCCTGAAGTACTGCATATTTGGGCCAGCATGATAGACCATAATAGTAGGGGATACTGTAGCAGATGTAGCTCAAACACTGCGGTTGCCAACCTGCATTCTGGCCGTGGCTGAGGCACTGCCCCGTCGGAGCATCAGCGATACAGACACTCAACTGGCAAGCGCGGCCCATGTGTCCATGCAGGTAGTGTTGCATGTGTGTTTTTATTTCATAAAAAACAGACTGTCTACAGGAGGTCTCTCTAAAAGACGCATTACATACAGCTGCCTCATATTTGCAAGTTTCGAACGTGGGTCAAGCACTCGAATCAATGAAGGATGAAAAGGGCTGTGTCTTTCCTGTCAATGAATCCAGACTTGGTTTTATGGGAAAAGGGGAAATATACAGGAAACCCCTGTATTTGGCGTCAGAACCGTGGTGTCCCTTACTTGGTGGTTCATCACACCTAGTAAATGAGTTAACCATGGTTCTTAATGACCTAAGCAGGGTTAATCCACTTGCAACTGAGGCTATAACTAATAACCTACTTACTAAGGATGAACCATCAAATACTCCTTGTAGTGAATCTCCCCAGTGCCCCTTTTTGGAGCGATGCTCAGCCACCAGCCGCGTACCTGTGATTTCGGACTTGGTTTGTCCCAGTTTTCCCATGTTTTCCCTACGTGGTCACAACTTGGGTATGCTCCATTTCGGGCAAACTCATTTGATGATCCCGGCACCAGCGATTTTTTCATCATGAACCCAATCCAAAAAACAATCTTTAGGCTAATTTAACGATATAAATCCAATTTAACTATAATAGACCCTATATAATCCTATATATGTATATATACTCCATCCGTTGTTTTTTTCACCTAAGTTCCGAAGCGGCACGTGTTTCGACCAGGATTCGGACTCTCCAAACCGGCCGAACTCGGAGAGACGGATGTCAGCCGTGAGTCAGGCCAAAGCTTCAATGGGTGACTCAACACGGGGATCCACTGATTGGTTACGCCCCGAATTCATTACGTCAACCATGGAATTTACCATTTTTAATAGGGAAATCCATCATGGCTAAATCATCTATAAATCGATCATGGATTCCATGGCTATGTTAAATAGCCAGAGGGTATCTATATCTGGTTACGTCAATCTGTGGAACGTATATGGAAAATCAGTGGGACAGATATGGTTTTATGGAAACATATGTGGAAAATCACTATCTGGTTGGTGGTTTGGAACATGACTTTATTTTTCCCTATATGGGGAATTTCATCATCCCAACTGGCGAACTCATGTTTTTCAGAGGGGTAGGTATACCACCAACATTTTGTTTGGGCCTTCCCCCTCATTTCCCTAATTTTTCTTTGGAACAAATCACCAATCCAAAGAAACCACCAACCAGTTTCTGTTTTTTGGATTTTTGTCATAACCTACTTACTTGCTGAGGATGAACCACCAAGTACTCATTGTAGTGAATCTCCCCAGTGCCCCTTTTTTGCTTTTCACATCCCATTCATTTTGTTTGGGCCTTCCCCCTCTTCCCCCTCATTTCCCCATAAAAATGTTTGGAACAAATCACCAAAGAAACCACCAACCAGTTTCTGTTTTTTTTGTTTTTCGTTATAACCTACTTACTAACTGAGGATGAACCAGCAGTGCCCCTTTTTGCTTTTCACATCCCTTTCTGTCTTTGGATTTTTTGGGTTCTTTGTGGCCAGGTGGCGGTGGACCTCTCAGTCCTGGGCTCCAAATCCACCCCGCGTCGCAGCAGCTTCAGCGGCTCCGCCGTGCGGCGCGCCTCCACGGTGGGCGGCTTCGGCTTCGACCGGCGGAAGAGCGATGCGGAGTGGATCTTTGGGCGCCTCGGTTTTGGTGGTTTGTTTAATGGGGCACATGATTTTATGGTGATTTTAGGGTGATTTTATGGGATTTAATAGGGATTTTATGGTATATTTATATACTGGTTTTTAATGGGGATTGACTGAGGATTTCATGGGGATTTCATGGAATGGGACTGAATGAGACTTAATGAGAATGTAATTATTTGCTGAATAGGATTAATAGTGTTGGGAGGGGATGGAGAGTCTAGCAAACCCAAAAGATTGAAAAGCAGAATCCTACTGTCTAAGATAGTGGTCAGCTACTTTAACCTCTCGTTTTTGGGGCTTTTGTAATATGGGTGTGTCTGAAAATAGTGTACCCCTTTTTACCCAATGGTTAATGATCATTATCCCTATTAAATGGCTATTTCATTGGGAATATACCCTATTTTCAGACAAACCCATATCCTTCATGGTGTTTTGTTGGTGATGTTCATTGGAGGATCACCCTTCAATGGGAACGTTCACCGGTCAGTCACCGCGGATTTACCCCACGAAATGGTCGACTCAAACCGTTGGGACTGGGATCTTTACCTGGTGGGTGGTGACTGGAATCATGGAATTTGATTAGACTTTCCAGAAACAGTTGGAAGTATTAACATCATCCCAACTGTTACTCACTCCATTATTTTTCAGAGGGGTGGCTCAAACACCAACCAGTTTACCGAATCCTCCTTTTTCTGGGACTTTCATTCCGGGATGGATGACCATAAACCAACAAAAACAATGAAACGTCTGACCCGGTCAGCACATATTAGGTGGTTTCGGGGGGATATGATCCACCATTCTAAGGGGATACAATATGATAGAATGGGAGATATAACCAACTTGATACAATATTTGGGAATATGATAGGATTGAGTTGTTTGCTTCATGCTTGTGCTTAATGGGACTTGGAAAAGCCTTGAATATCCATGGAAAACAACTCTGAAATGTGGGGCAATGAAACTAACCTTTATCCACTATTATAGGATTAACTAGTAGTTTGACGGGAATTTATCATCAAAATAAAGGGATTTCACAGGAAAGACCCTGGACGTTGGAGGGATCCAGTAGGTATTGGAATCAACTGATGAAAGGGACGTTCAGCTTAATATGTTTCCACACGTCGACCCTGGTGAAGGGGATGCAACTGAAATATGGATTGTGAATGGATCTCATGCGCAATTTTGTGGGATATCATGTTGGGGCAATTCCTCAGCAATTTTTTGGGCAGATGTACAGAGACGGGAAGCAGCATTCGCATGGCATCCATCCCAAGAAGATACAGTACATCTCGTGCAATGTATTTACCTAGATTTGGATGAGATATGATCCATCTATGATAGTTGGTTTATGGGTATATAAGCTGGTTCGTGGTTTCGAACATTTGGATTATTTTCCATTTCATATATGGGATGTCATCCCAACCCCATTGACGAACTCATATTTTTCAAGATGGGTAGGTCAACCACCAACCAGATGACTAATAGATATAGAATAGGAATATCTAGGAATATGAAATATGAATCCTTTAGTGTCATTATCAAAGGAATATAACATATGTAGGGTTTATCACGTAGGGTTTATTACGTAGGGTTTCTACTGGTTTTTCATAGGGATGATCACGTAGGGATGGTGGCGATCTGTGATGCCGGCGCGGCGCCCAGAAAGGTCCACAGATGAGGAACAGCCAAAGGAGGGGACCGTTGTTCTGTGTGGAAATGACGGTCACAGATTAAATTAAGGTGCAGTGTATAAATGGTGCTTCATCCTTAGGAAATGGCATAACCCAGCCTGGTTATAAACATGTTATAAATGAATTATAAATGGGCGCCTACTTAACTCACTTATAACTAGGCTTAATGAATGGCATGAATTCGCTAACGAATGGATCAGTCCACCAACACAACTGGGTGTGATGTGATCCAACCCTCCGAACATCTCAGATGTTTCGTGGGTTGACTGGGCACGAATGGTGTGTGGAGTTATGCGGCATGCAATCTACAAAATCTATATATATATATATCAGTTATATGCTTAGGTTTGTAGTATGTTGCATGTATTTATGTCTTAGTATATTTTGTGTAGGGCAACAAAAAACAATCCCCAAAGATCGCTCAAGAGCTTCCTCAGTTGGCACTGGCTTGAAACCTCACACGAAATAAATAACAACGAACAAACAACATTAATGTGGGTAAAACAACAATGAACCATCCCCCAAATCACCATAAATAGCTGGTACAAACCATAAATGGGTGGTTTATGACATTGTTTAACCGACATTATATGGTTTTAATGGAATTAACATTGAGATTTAACCAACAAACATGACAAAAACTTGGGATTTCACCAAGTGAAACATGGCGCCATTGAGTTAGATACGATTTATCCCATTTAACCACCCCAAAATTGGGTGATTTTCCAAAGTTATCTAAGTTATCTATCTTCAATTCCCAGAAGCAGCCAGATTACGAATATGCTGGCTATTCAATAAGCCCTGCCAACATGAAGTGAAGTAAAGTGTGAACTTATAAAGACCAACTGTGCAGGTTGTAACTTTAGGGCTACCCTTTGGTAATTTAACAAAGCTATTGAAAATGGCCATTTATAGTGAGTTTTCCCATTAAAAATGGTGATTTTCCATAGCTATGTTAAATTACCAGAGGGTATGTTTACCATATTTTACCGTGGACCACTACAGCATGCCGAGCAGATCAGGCCCGAGAAACACAACGATGAAACTTAGCAATTTACCATCGAAACCACCCCAATGAGATGAATTCCAACGTAAGAACATTGATATTCAATTCCAACAGATCAATTCAACGATGAAAGTTACCAATTTAATCCAATTTACCATTCAGGATTGGTTATAGTCATACATTTGAAGTTTGTTTGGGTCAGGTGAATTTTCAAGGCTATGACTATAACCAATCCTGAATCGCTTCAAAATCTTAACGTGGATATCCTTGGATCCTTGGAAGTCCCAGATTCCCCAGGTTATCCCTGCGGAATCTGGGGCCATGGTGTGAGTTCAATCAGTTGCTATATATGAGATGAACAGCAAGAAACTTTCTCGGCAACATCGAAACGGTACTTCAGCATGATTTTTGCGCAGCGCATGATCATGATTTACAATAAATTATCTTATCCCCATAGATCAAGATTAAATCATGATGACCCACTGTAGTGAGGCCCATTCATAAGCAACCTCTGCTATTGGTTTAATTTTGGGCGACATGTCCAGAAAATGATGTGGCTAACCCATGGTGTAACTAGATCAACTGTGGGGATTTATAGTGATGAAACAACCATCTAGCTAGATGGGTGAACATCAAGCAACAAATTTTCAACGCTTTTTGGTCGGATCAATCCGAGGGGCGGGGGAGGGGGGTACCCCCGGGGAGGGGGGAGGGGGGACCTCGGAAAGGAAGAGTAGGATCAGGAGGGGGGGGGAGGGGGGGGAGGGCGTGGAGGGGCACACGAGGGTAGCAGGAGGGGGGGGAGAGGAGGAACAAGGAGCGGAACGAAAGGAGGGGAGGGGAAGGGTTAGAAAATTTAGAAGAGAAGAACAGATAGAAATAAACAAGGAACAGGCATGGTACCTCATACGTCAAGGAGGGGGGGGGACCCCCCCCCCCGAGGAACCGTGAAACGTCAAGGAGGGGGGGGGACCCCCCCCCAAGGACCTTGAAATCAATCCGACCGCCTAATGGCGAACTCTCCAATAAATTATCTTATCCCCATAGATCAAGATTAAATCATGATGACCCACTGTAGTGAGGCCCATTCATAAGCAACCTCTGCTATTGGTTTAATTTTGGGCGACATGTCCAGAAAATGATGTGGCTAACCCATGGTGTAACTAGATCAACTGTGGGGATTTATAGTGATGAAACAACCATCTAGCTAGATGGGTGAACATCAAGCAACAAATTTTCAACGCTTGGCTGCTCAAATCCCATTCAATACCATTCAGTTCCATTAAATCCTCATTTCGAATGGTGTTTTTGTTCATGTTCAATGATCTTAAATCTCTATATTTGTCGTCTGAATTGAATGTGTCTTTTTCTTTGGCCGGGCACAACTCCATCCGCAGGAGGACTGGGAGTTCCAAAACCATGTTTGGCAAAGCCGTGTTTCCAAAGACGATGCCATGGCACCAGCCGCTCCACTGCTGGAGGCATCGGCCGAGGACTGTGATTGTTTAAAGGGCAAAAAAGCCATGGTTGGTTGATTTTGTTGGGAAAAGATCACCAAAAGTCGGATTTGAAAATTGTTTAAAGCATTTTAAAACAAAAAAACATATCTGAAACCATCCTCTCTTGGACATGATCACGCGCGGTCACATGGATAGACCCATTTTTGGGAGCTCTGCAGCCACTGACGCAGGAACTGGCAGAGTTTGCGCTAATGGCCCAAGCAGAAGCGAGGCACAACTCCGGTGAGGGGCCGAGCAGTTTGCACGTCGCAGCACGAAGAAAGCTCGAATCTGGAGAGTTTGTCAACCGGCTATTTCATGCTATTTCAATATGATCAATATGCATCAATATGGGTTGGTTTTATGATTAAATTACTATGATCAATATGCTATTTTCAATATGACAACATGCTACTTCAGGTACTTCAATTCCAATATGCTGAAATCTGGCTATTTGTTCATCTTCCATTGTGAATTTCACGACGGAAATTCGCAACCTCACTGGCCCATGACCTCGAGAGGGAAGCATTCGTGTCCACCTGGAATTTCTGCCAGGGCTGATTGGTAAAGCATCAGTCCGGATCATCATAATTTCATGTTATATTTTAAGATTTTTAAAGATATATTTAGCATATATATATATATATACATATGTACATATCAACAACTACACCAATGTCTATGTTTCAACTGATTTTTGACTAGCGCGTGTACACTGTCCATAGTCACCATACATACAATGTACATGCATACAGATGATCCACCACTGGCATAACCGCCAGGAGACATATATATATATATATACATTATATATATATATACATACATAATATATATATATATATATATATATTACACATATGTCATAGCGTATAAGGTGGACCACTATTTTTTCTACCTACCCTATATACTATACAGCCTAGTTAACTTGGTTGTAAATCAACTTAGCAAAGGATTGGGGGCACCACAGATGATATTAAGTTGATTATGTATCCCATCACATACCAATTATATCATGTTGTATCCCCAATTGTTTCATATATTGGCTGATTGATCCCATCAAATTACCAAATCATCACAAATAATGCCATAATCAACATCACATTCCCATGAAATGCCCAAGTGAACTTGCCATTTTCCCAGTTTTCATCAGTGAACATGTTTTTTTTCTCATGAAATCGCAATTTTTCTCAGTGAACTTGCCATTTTCCCAGGTTTTCCCCAGTTTTTCCACCATGAACTCCCCATTTGTCCCATGGAAAAACAGCGAAGCGCCAGGACCGCCGAAGCTCGTGGAGAACTCTTCGCGTCCGAGGCGCTGCAATGGTCCATGGCCCTGGAAGCGCTGCAACGGAGCTGCTGGACGCTGCGGAAGGCCTTCAAGGGCCCCGGAAAGGCCTTCGAGTGCCTTGGAGTCAGGGAATCGAAAAAGGGTGGTGGTACTACCCCAGTGAGCGATTCATCGCGTGCTAAGTTGGGGGCCACAGAAGTCCAATAACTCACGTGTTGGTTTTTGTTGGTGATATATCGAACTAGTTTTTATATGTTTTTATGGGATTATAACCCATTCATAGCTTGGGGGGGCACCACCTTGTAGGGGGCTACTATGACTAGTGGCGCTATGGCACCTTAGAAGCGGAAAATCGGGGTACCCGGGTACCCCCGTGACAAAACGGAAACCTCCAGTTATATCATGTTGGATCTATGGTTTTATATTGGTATATCTAGATATAACTAGTGTTATATGGTCTTTTCCATTGTTTCATAATGCTTATATCATGTTATATTCATGTTCCATTATGTCCCAATTATATATCTACCACTGGTTTGTGGTGACTGGAACCATGGAATTTGATTTGGCTTTCCATCTTATTGGGAATCATCCCAACTGTTACTCACTCCATCATTTTTCAGAGGGGTAGGTCAACCACCAACCAGATAGATATAGAATAGGAATATCTAGGAATATCTAGGAATATGAAATATGAATCCTTTAGTGTCATTATCATATAGGAATATCACATATGACCATGACATATGTCCTAGGGGTTATACATATAGATCACAACCCTATAGTTGGTATAACCGAAATGACCATAATCATCATCATATTTTTGGGGAACATCAATTTCAAACCCCGAAGGACTGGTGGTTTTTCAGGATGTTGACGTGCAAGAAAATATGTGCCTTGAAGGATTTCCCAAAACTGGAAGATATTCCAAGTAAGCCATTTTATTAAAAAAATACCTGGTTGGTGGTTTAAGAACAGTTTTTATTTTTCCACATATTGGGAATTTCATCATCCCAACTGTTACTCACTCCATCATTTTTCAGAGGGGTAGGTCAACCACCAACCAGATACTGTAGAGGGTCCCAAATCCATAAATCATCTGGGTGTAAGTTTTGGGGTTATCAACCACCAGGAAGCCAGGAATCCATAAGGGCTGATGAGCTGTTGGTTGAATCCCCATGATGGGGGTACCCCAAGCGAGCTTAGGATGGTGACTTTTTCATGGAAAATCCCAAACAAACATGGATGATATGGGGGTACCCCCATTTTAGGAAACCTCTCTATATATATGTATATATATATATGATACAAGATAATATATTACAACATGTAGTTTTGACTCTTATTGGCATCTATTTCTTCGTCTGACCAAATCATCCGATCCCCCCCAAATGTAGAAAGTTTCACCATTTTTGCAGCTGAAAAATCACTGTTCTTACTGGTTAGATCTCAATAAATCACAACTTTATGCTACTTCAAGACTTCAAGTCCCATTGATTTTCGGCAAAATCTCCATGTTTGCTGGTTGAATCGCAAGTTGTTGCTCTTGAAATCACCATGTCTACGGCTAAAAATATACCATGTCGAGTAGTAACATATCCATCTTCCATAGTCATAGTCAAATCTCCATTTTCCTCAGGAAATCACACAAAATCACCATGTTCCCTGGGTAAATCCCCGTTTTTCCTAGGAAATTGCCCAATTTTTCCTGCCCAGGTATCTGGCCTCTCACGTGCCCTCCGCGACCGCAGAGCTTGGGGAGGCTGAGCTGCGGGAGGCGCTAAGCGCGGCGCTGCAAGAGACGCCGTCGCTGACGATCCCGCTGTGGCAGGTGGAGGGAAACTCGGCGACCGGATTTCAGGGCGATTTTGATTATATGACTGGTTGGTGGTTTGGAACATGAATTTTATGTTTCCATATATAATATATATATAATATTATATTATATATATTATATTATATTATATTATATATATATATACATATTTTGGATAATCATCCCAACTGACTTTCATATTTTTCAGAGGGGTAGGTCAACCACCAACCAGATGACTATATATGTCTTGGACTGAAGAGGATTTAAGTATAGGAAGTTATAATAGAAGGATTGAACAGAGGTTTTGTTTGGGATTTAATATGGAAACGGAAGATCTGGATCTGTGGGTTTCTAAGGCATCGGTGTTTCTGGTGAGTTTCTTGGGGATATCTTGGGGGCAGGGATGGCAAAAACTACCGATGATTTCACCCATCAAAATGGCCGACTTCCCCTTTGGTTCCACCCTGGCAGAAGTCTTTCATTGGAAGCATCATTGACCGACTCCGGTGCCATCAGCTACTTAGATGGGCCATGGAGTTAGTTAACTAGTTAGTAAATGGATTATCATTGGGATATATGATATATGGGATAACAAAACCCCAGTTATTAACCAGGAATCGCTAATCCTATGGCCCATCTAAGTACATGGTTTACTGGAAAATCAACATATTTTCGTTGGATGATTTTCCCAGATCTGACAAATTCCATGGCTAGTGCGGGAAGTTTCGCTAGCCATGTAGCTGACTAGCGGGTATAAATTCCATTATGTCCCAATTATATATCTACCACTGGTTGGTGGTGACTGGAACCATGGAATTTTATGACTTTCCAGAAACAGTTGGGAATTTCATCATCCCAACTGTTACTCACTCCATCATTTTTCAGAGGGGTAGGTCAACCACCAACCAGATTATATCATTATTCTCCGTCGTATAAAACCATATGAAACCTCATAAATCCATCTATCATAGAATTTGATGATGGGAAAATTTAAACCGGAAAGCCCGTCATATTTGATGGTAAAAACCATGGTTTCCGGTTAAGATTTTCCCTTAAACCAATCCATTGAATCTAAGTCCCATTCGTATCCCATGTAGTGCGGGGATTTTCCCAGCCTGAGGCATGGTGAAGGTCCTCCTGCACATCGATGGAGAGGAGCTCTGCCGCCAGAACTGGTGGCGCGTAGAACTGGGGGGTGCAGAGCTGGGGTGAAAAAAATTGGGGAACGTAAAAAGGTTGGTTCTGGTATTATCAACTATAAATGACTATAAATGGCCATGTTCACATTGGTAAATCAACTATAAAACATGGCCATTTATTTTCGGATTATATCAGAAATTACCCTCCTGTAATCAAACTTGGCGGCTGAACACCTACTATTTGGTTGGATGATTTCCCCGACGAACTAAACCTCCATTTTGCAGGGTTTTCCAGCTTGCCATGTTTGATGACACCGGAGGCTATGGGATATTTATAGTAAGATCATTTCCAGTTGGACTTATCCTTTATGAAGATTACCATGCAATGTGGGCCCCCCCAGTTATAAATTGGTTGAAATAACCCCAGTAACTATAGTTATAAGTACCATAAACCATAGTTATTGGAGTTATGTTCACCAACTTAGCTATCTAGGGGGCCCCACTTTGTGATAAAATACCGAAATGAGTTGGGATTTTTAGCCCCATATGGTTCTATGGTTGTGTATTCAATGAAATGGAAACGCACCCAGGGGGATCCCACAACGTGCCTTGATTTAAGGTTGGTGAAGTATAACCACTGATTGTACCCTCTGGTAAACATACAAAAAACTATGGAAAATCACAATTTCAATTGGTAAAAAAGATGGAACATCACCATTTTCAATTGGTAAATCAACTATAAATGACTATAAATGGCCATGTTCACATTACCAGAGGGTATCTAATTCCAAAGTTGCGCACATCGAGGAATTCACCATGTTTTCTTTCTGTACATCCCAATTTTTCTGCCGCGAACAAATCACCATTTTTTCCAAGGTCCAATCTTTTTGCTGGTCCAATCATCATGGTTTTCTCCTGCAGAAAGTCACAATTCTTGCTGCCTAAATCACGATTGAACCTGGTTGAATCGTGTTCAATCCCAATGTTCTTCGAGAAATCACACGTTTTGCTGAAATCACCATCTTTAACTTATAGTGAAATCAGCATTCTCCCTGGTTCAATCAATATTTTTTGCTGCACCAGGAGACACTGCGGAAGAGCAGCTTCCACCGTGCCATGCACTTCCTCCAGCCCTGCCTGAGCTTGTCGCAGCTGCGCGCGCGGCTGGTAGGGCGCTACGGCACCTTAGAGGCGGCAAATCGGGGTACCCCCTTGACAAATGGACACCTCCAGTTATATCATCTTAGATCTATGGTTTTATATTGGTATATCTAGATATATCTAGTGTTATATGGTCTTTTCCATTGTTTCATAATGGTTATATCATGTTATATATCTACCACTGGCTGGTGGTGACTGGAACCATGGAATTTGATTAGACTTTCCACATATTGGGAATTTCATCATCCCAACTGTTACTCACTCCATCATTTTTCAAAGGGGTAGGTCAACCACCAACCAGTAGTGTTATATGGCCTTTTCCGTTGTTACATATGAATTGTTATATCATGTTATATTCATGGTTGGCTTGACCCCCCCTCGCCCTCAACATGTTTCTCAATAAGCCTATCTATGTGCCAATGCTTGGCGATGATTCGATTCGCTGCTCTCAAGGCTCTCTTTTTGGGCTAAGAGCAAGCGCTTAGTATGCACTTAATGCACTTGAAACAAGCGCTTAGCTTGAGGATTTTCTATTTACCAGCTTTCTGGTTAGGCAATCGCTTGCTAAGCCTTCTTGAGATAAATTTGCTGAATGAGAGTTTCCCAAGGGCTGAGTCGCTACCAAGTGCTTGGCAAGGTCTTGCCAAGAATCTAAGGGAGGGAGGGGAGTTGAGGGGGGGGCGAAAGCCACCATGATATACATCAACCATTGAACTAACCATAGATTCACCACACCTTAACCATATGTTCACATTCGATGTTATCCATGTGCAAACCATATGGACCATATGTGCTATATTTTTATATCCAATTTTAAGAGGATTCCCATTGCAATGATATTCAAATTACGATGGGATTATCATGATGGTCAGCTTACTGGACTCCCCCATGTATAGGGCATTCACTCATGGCGGATTCACTCATGGAGAGTATATCCCATGTTTTCATGGCCGGTTCAGCAGCAAGAAGAGATCATTGATGAGGCACCTGGATCTATTGTACCCACCTTACTGTCACTGCGACTTCACTAGAATGATGGTCGGTGTATAAAAGTTTGGTTGTGTCAGAACTAGTTACTTGATGTAAAAGCAGGTGTGGCTTGTAAAGACTTGTCTTGTACACATTTCTTGGAGTCCGAGCTGGTGTGGTTAAACATTCCTCGACCTGAAACTTGCTTTGTGAACGTGACAAGAGTTAATCAGTTAATCATCCCCAAATGCTTCCAAAGGATAGGTTTACTAAGTCCGTTATCACAAAGGACAGGTTTGACCAAAAGGCTACAATTTACCCAAATTACATGAAAGTATGGAAAGCATCAAGAACCATACTGTCACGGGCTTTTCACGGCCTTTTCACAAACTTTTCACGGGCTTTTCACGGTCTTTTCACATTTATCATAATAAGTTGTAATTTCATCAAAATTGCCCAGCTTCACAAAGGCTAGGTTAAACCTAGGCGTTGTGACTGGGTGAGTTGTTGGTGTCCTTTGAAGTTCATCATCCCATTCATCTCCCATGTAAAATAACCACGTGTTGAACATGTTGCTTTGATTATGATTATAACTATGGATATAACATGAATGGACTATGGATTCTAACTGTGGATATAACTATTACTAATTCATGTTATATTCATATTGATCCATTAAATTATATATGGGTTTGATTATTACTAAATATAATGTTATATCCATTCATAATACCCGGCTACAGATATATCACCTATAGAATTATATATATATATATATATCACTTATAAACCATAGTTATTTCCTATGGATATACCCATAGATATACTATGGATATACCTATGGATTTGCCAGGCCGGGCTCAGGGAGCTCCAGCGTGACATCGACGAGTCCAAGGCGCTCTCCGTGGATCAATTTGCCGCTGGGCAGAGATCTGCAGAGCCAGAGCTTCTTTTTGGGGAAACAATGGGGGATTTAACCAGGGAGAATTGTGATTTTATGGGATTTAAGTAGGGTAAATGGTGATTTAACTGGAGAAAATTGGGATTTAAGTCGGGTAAATGGTGATTTAACTGGAGAAAATTGGGATTTAAGTCGGGTAAATGGTGATCTAACACTGCGGATTTCATGGGATATCACGGTGATGTTTGGTCATGTTTGGGTGATTTGTTGACCTATTTTGGGGTGGAGTTGTCTATATGCACCAAGATGGGTATTTTTCATGGGAGTCAGCAGCCAACATACGAGATGTAGTGGATTTTGTATGTAAAAAATACGGATAGATTCCATGAAATTCTACTTATGGTACATATGGATCTGTCTGAAAATGACGTATATACACTCCAAACATCCATTTTGATACGGAAAAGGATGAAAATTACATTGATGAACCATGAAATTTCAGAGCCATATATGGCAACCCCAACTCAAAAAGATTGAGTGCTTCGGCAGGAGGATCCGTGATTTTCCGACCAAAAAACCTTCATTGAGGGATTTCCCAGCCAATTTTGGCGACCGGCTACCGGGTACCTGTTGTTGACCCATAGGAAACTGGCCGTGCTTGTCCCGGACGGTATCTCATGACTAGTTCGGGCAATCCAATGCCATAAACCTACCATTTGGGGATGGTATTTATACCATACATTGATTAATTTATGGTTATTTTGGGGATGGTATTTTTATTGGGTTGACCACATCAGAAACGTTTCGGTCTTGTATCAGAATGTGGCATGATCACACATAGCCTTTTAGTGGGGAAAACAACGGAAAAAAAAAGGCTGGATTTCAAAAACTCTTTCCCAATGATGTTTCGACAAACCCAAGTCGAAGTCCAAACTTGTATCTCCCAATCTTCGGTGATGCAACCCTATAAATCCATATAAATCCTCTAACTCCCCATGTTTTGCCGCCAAGGAACCTCTGTTCTTGCGAAAGGCAGGGGTTCTGCACCACGACTTCAGCGGCTTGGCATGGGAAATTTTAGGGACCCCGATGTTTTCGCGAAGTTGGCGAACAGTTCACTAGGTGAATTCTATGGTTTATGGTAATGGGACATTTATGGAAATCAATTCTATGGTAATTCTAAGGTTTGTTCAATCCACAATTCTATGGTTTATGGATGTTTATGGCAATCATAATACATTTTTTTCATACATTCGAAGTTTATAAGTATTATGGTGCCATTTCTTTAGAAACAGAAACCAACTTTCAACCGGGCCCGGGCGTCGATTTTCTGTGTCATAACCTCCATAAATCGCCCAGTTCCCAAGTGACTGGGGATGCCCAGCGCTCATCTAACCTGGCTGAATTTCACGCTTCGGCAAGTTGCCATGTTATGATCAGACCAGGTGAGTAGCACATTTTAAACATGCATTTTTAACATGGCCAATGATCAAACCATAGAAAACTAACCAGTGACCATTTTGGTAGCAGGTTCAAATAATGTTTTTTCCCCATGGTTCAAATGGCCAAAGATTCACACAGGAGGTTTGATGCCCTCTCGTAATTTGTTACCGTTTGCTATTGAAAATCACAATATTTAATGGTTTTATATGGTTTTATATCATATATTTCCAGACCATTTTCCATAGCTATGTAAACGTTTACCAGAGGGTAATCTTTGTTGTGTACCTTGAATTGGATGGTCTCATCATCAACATTTGAGTCGAACACCGACCACAAGTCAAACTCGGGAACCAGTCGCATGGGGTCAACTCTCTATTTGGGGAGCCTAGATGACAATCCCTTTGATGTTTGGGTACCCATATGCTCCATGTATGGAATATTTACCTACATTGACCCCAAAAATTGCCCAAATGTAGGTAAATATTCCATACATGGAGCATCTGGGGTATACTGACAGTAAAAGGCTATTTTTGCAGGGGCGGCTTCCAGAAACGGGCTGTAGTCCTACAGGTCGCGTCGGGGAGACGGGGAGACTCCATCCCTTCCTGTTTTTCGCTGAGGTGGCATATTTCAAGAAGCCTGCTTGCTGGGAGGAACTGAAGGTTTAGACCTTTGGCATGAGAAGAAACGATAAGAACTGTGTTCTTTTTTTCAGCGACTGCGCAGTGAAACTGGTGATTTCTCTTTTGTATACATATATATATATAAATAGATATAGATACCTATATATATATATATAGACTACACGACACACAGCTGATTTTTTGGTTCTATGGAGAGCCGGGGATTTCTCGGCTGAAGCCATGACAGTTTCCGCTGATTGGCTTCATCCGCAGGTCTGTGACCAGTTTCGGTATATTGTGAGTAATCCCTTCCTGAATAATAAATACACCTCAATCGAAATCATGGTTTTGTGATCGCTTCTTTTTGAGGGCCCAGTCGTGGGGATCTTATTTTTTTGGCTAACGGGAATTATTTTTGCTGGTTTCCATTGGCACAAAACTCCACCGTTCGCAGTGGCGGTCCAAGGACGGAATTGTGACTTAGCGGCAGTTGGAGATCTTTCAACGGAAAGGAAACTCATGGGATTGCGATTGCGAGGAAGCTGATTGCCAAAACTTCAAGCCAAAGTTGCAAACAATGTCACATCATACCTTCGCAAAGTTTGTCATTGCTGGAGTCCAACTGAAGTTGGAGGGTCAGATGTGAAAGAATTTGAGGGCGCGAAATAACATCTCCCTGGAATGTTAGGGGTCTCAATAGGTTTTTATGTAGCTCTAAGAATCTTCCTAGACAGGCTCACATCATCTCACATCCATCTTAGATGGGATAGGTTACATTCCACACATGTAAGGCTGGACCCACCAAAAAGAGTCAGTGGGAACATTGCCTCTTGTTTAGCTAACATTTAGCTCATAATATGGGATACGGTATACCGTGGCTTTACAAATCTTGGTGAATAACGTGCAAATGACCACTTACCGGGTTTGTCTGGCCTGTCTCCCAAAGGTGACGGTGGAATCCTTTCACAAGGTCTCTTGGCTTCGAACGTGCCGTGGGAGCCACGTGGCTTTTGGCCGTTGGAAAACGCGGAAAACGCGGAAGACTCAGCACAGTGATGAAAAAAATCCCTCTGTAGCCTTTGAGGTTCTAAATTGGAAGATACCAGGAATAGTGGGGGACTTGCAAGAGCCAAGCTTACTAAGATCTATCAACCATCCTCAAAATTCCTGAGATGTTCATTAAGATTACAGTGCCATATAGAAGTATATATCTGGTTGGTGGTTTCAACCATTTTTTTATTTTCCATTTCATATATGGGATGTCATCCTTCCCATTGACGAGCTCATATTTTTCAAGATGGTTAAAACCACCAACCAGATGACTAGTAGATATAGAATAGGAATATCTAGGAATATGAAATATGAATCCTTTAGTGTCCTAGTTGATCTATATACAGTATATATATATACTATATATCGGATAGATTTTTTACCAGAATTCCTTGGTTCATCCAGGTGGAAACTCGATTTTTTTCAAATCTCAGCGAGGCTTTGGACCATTGCCACATTTTGCAGAGCCTTCAACTCTGGCAGCAGAAGATGGGAGGTCTGCTGACAGCAGTGGCTGCGATCCATGTCAAACGCCCCTGTTGGTTGATCATAATTGTTGGGGGATTGTACTAGCCTTTATATATTGGGGAGTATAATGATCCAAGAACTGTGGAATCCCAATAAACCAACCAGGATTAAATGGAATGATAGAGGGATTTTGAACACTGTGAGCAGATGAGGAGATGAGGTGAAGTGTGAAGTAAGTTTCCCCTTTCTTGGAGACCGTATAGATGTATCCAACGTTTCTTTCTACGGAAGGTTGGGAAAGTGCGTTTGATGTTCTTTGTGAAAAATAGAAAAATACCCTCTGGTAAACTAACATAATTATGGAAAATCACCATATTTAATGGGAAAATCCACTATAAATGGCCATTTTCAATAGCTATGTTAAATTACCAGAGGGTAGTCTATCGATGGGAATCCTTGCGGTCACGGATTGTCGGACAGTGAATCTTGAAAAAGCCTGAGATTTTTCGGCATGTCACAGTTCTGTAGGTTGAGGGCTGCTTGGAGAGTGTAGTTGGATCAAACATTGCCCCTGACTCAATCTGACATTTGGAACCTTTGAGTCAGTTTGGGGCGTGATTCTACAGGTGGGTACTGGTGGTAGGAAAGAAGGGCCTTTGCCAAAAATGCAACTGCAGAACTTGAAATCCTACATTTTTGGGGAAATAACTCACTTCTTCGTCTTCAACTTGACACAAACCATGGTGAACCAATCCCAGGTCATCCAATCATCTCCAAATCATCATTCCACAGCCCCAAGCGTGTCCCAGTCCCCGGGCTCCCCGTGAGGCGCCAGCTTCGCTGCATGGCTCAACGAGGAGGCGCACAACGTGCCGCTGGAAGAGCTCTTGAAGCCTTTGCCCAGCGAAGTGATCCAACAGGTGGGAGATGGGCAGCGGCAGCTGTTCCCCTGGAAGTTGGTGAAGCCCACAGGAAAAAATGGCCATGGCGAAAAAGTGAACTACTGTAACTGGTTATTTCATGTTTATGGGATGAGATACATTCTATGTACATGGGGGTTTTGTTAGTACTTATAACTGGTGGCCATAACTGCATGGATTAGGGCAGTTGGTGGCTTTGTCCACGAGGTTGCTTCAAAATGGTTCAGAATGGCTGGCTTCAGAGTTGGATGTGTATGGATTTCAGGTGATGAAATCACAAAAATGACCATAGTTAGATGGGTGAAGAACCAACTATTGGATAAAACTGGGGGAAGTATGGGAAAGTAATGAACAAAGGAACAGTAAACTGGAAGTGTTTTTTACCATGATTGAGCATGGGGATGCAGAAGAGAACATGGGGGTAGATGGGTATGAGGTGGGGGAGTTGGGCCAAGGAAACATCATGCAGGTGATCAACCAGCAAGGATGGGGTTTTATCGGACCATGATTTAACCCATGCTTTTTCTGGAGGTTGCCTAAAATGGTGGATCTTAAAAACCGGTTTCAATACGAGTCGTCATGGTCATCCACGACGATGATTTTGAGGGAAACCCCCATGACTTAGGAAACCTCCATATGGTTCCTAAAATTCTCATGTTCTCATGTTTATCAAGATTTCTTGGCATAGTTCCAATGGTTTCACCCTGTTTATTCATATCTGGTTGGTTTGTTGGTTTGGAACATGAAATTTATTTTTCCATATTGGGAATTTCATCGAATTTCATCCCAACGGTTACTCACCAACCATGATTTTTCAGAGGGGTAGGGCGAAAAACCACCAACCAGATATGTTCATCATGAATCTCAGTGAAATCCTCATGAAATCATCATGGTGAATTATCACCATCTCAGACAAAAATCTTGGCGGTCATACAGACTTGAGGGTCAACTCCCATGAAGTCCCCGTAAATTTTCATGCTTGCCCTCTGGTAGACTAACATCACGGTGGAAAAAATCACCATGTCTAATAGGTAAATCAATTATAAATGGACCATTTTCCATAGCTATGTCAAATTACCAAAGCGTAAATCCGCCCAAACCCAGCACTTTCCCCATTTTCCATATGTTCATCATTTTTCATACGTCTTCCATTTCTAATGGGCCATTTTGACCATTTCTAATGGTTTATAAGTTGATTTATAAACCATCATAATCCCCATGAAAACTAGTTCGTTATATCTACCATAAACCATAGATTTAAGCCACTGAAACAAGGCGTTTCTGAACGCTACCGCTCGACTGAGGGCCCCATCCTGTAGGGTTTCTATCTTTCAAATTTCCCATTTCACCATTCCACTATTTCAAATGCTTAGCCATTTCGAATAGGTTTTTTAGCATTAGTGGTGGAAATCTTTTTGAAAAATGGTATTTGAAATGGTTTCTAATGGTTTTTCCAATGCTTTTTCCAATGGTTATTTCTATTGGAAATCTTTTTGAAAAATAACCATTAGAAAAACCATTAGAAACCATTTCAAAAAAGAAACCATTAGAAAAAACAATCTTTTTGAAAAAACCATCGTTTTTTTCTGGGTCAGGTCTCAGCACTCCTCCTCCACCGCGGTGCCACCAGCTCCACGTGGTTGCAGCAGCTCCCTGCGCTGCGCGGCTTGGGCGCGCCGCTGGAGGCCTCCCGGAAAAGCCGTGCAAAATCAGTGGGAAAGATATGGTTTTATGGAAACATATGTGGAAAATCACCATTTTAAATGGATAAATCCAGCATTTCTATGGCCATTGTTAATAGCTATGTTGGTCATAGGGTACACTGGTTGGTGGTTTGGAACATGACTTTATTTTTCCATAATATGTGGGATGTCATCATCCCAACTGACGAACTCGTATTTTTCAGAGGGGTAGGTCAACCACCAGCCAGGTATAAATGTTTTTTTTTAATGGGAAAACCAGTGGAAAATCCACGGAACATCTCGGTAAATGGAGGTTTTGGTGGGATCATCTAACAATTTCGGATATTGTTCCATTGGTCCAGGAGGCCATCTTTGAATACCGGAGGGTCAACATGGCAGAAATGGTCGCAAGACATGGTGGTTTCTGGTGAGACTGGCAAACATCAGCAAAAAATGACGGGAGAAAACTGGCAAAACAGCAAATCTTGCAACAAATTTTTGTAACGCTCAAGTTTCAGGGTGGAAATGGGCCAAAAAAATGGGGTGACACTTCCAAAAAATGATGATAAGACCTGGAGTTTTCAGTGATGCAGTTTTAGTTGGGAACAGTGAGGATCCACAACACAGCCATGGTCCTGACAAGCGAGCTTGGAATCCCTCCCTATCATGATTTGTTTGACGTTTAGGGTGCCGCTGAATTTACTGATTAATCATGATTAATCGTCATTTTTACCATAAACATATAGCAATACATTTGGTATCCCCATTGGAAGAAAGACCCAGAATATCATAGTGTTGCTTATATATATATCCCATACGATATTCCAGTAAATCAATGTATTGGTTGGTTAATCACATAAATTAATTATATATATATACATGTAATTCCCATGATTAATCACATCACCATTTTCAGACACACACACATGATCATATGATTGTTGTTTAGGTTATATATCGCATTATATCCCAATGAAGCTCCCATGATATCCCCATGAAAAATCACCTTTCAGAGTTAATTCATCCAGACTCCATATTAAGTTGGTTATGAATAATATATATATATACATATTAATATGATATATATATATATATAGTATCCCGATCTATCCCAACGAAATTCCCATGACTTCCGGTTTGTCTTGGTTGGTGAATTGAATTGAAATCCCATCTAAATCCTATACTGGTTGGGTAGTAGATATTCGGTTCAGAATCATGGATAACAGGGTAACAATCATTTTATTAAAGCCAGTTGGTATAACGGTATAACCACCTAGATTAATCTAAATCTCATTAAATCACCATGATATCCCAGTGTATCCCAGTTAAAAGTTCCATTCGCTCGGAATCCAGGCGCCTTGCGTAGAGGAGGCAGCTCTAGAAGCTGCGCGGGAACTGCACAGGCGCCAAGGGACTGGGAAAATCCGTGAGGTTGATGAAACATGGGAAGTAGCCATAGCTATGGAACATGACAATTTTTTAGTATGTAAATCACTGGTTGGTGGTTTGGAACCATGGAATTTTATGATTTTCCATTCAGTTGGGAATTTAATCATCCCAACTGACGAATTCATATTTTTCAGAGGGGTTGAACCACCAACCAGATCATCTATAAATCACCACTATCAAGAATGAGCTATACGTAAATTATAGGGTCAAAATTTCATCCAAGCGGTTGAACATGGCACCCCCCGTCTACGGATATTTTAGGTGCAAGGATGGGGGGGAATTTCATCAACCAAACTGTGGGATTTACCAAACAAAGACCAACAACTATGGATCCGACCAACAAACTATGCCGATGAGAGCCTTTGAAGGTGTCAAACATGGGAAGAACAGAGTACCCTCTGGTAAACTAACATAGCTATTGAAAATGGCCATTTATAGTGAGTTTTCCCATAAAAAATTGTGATTTTCCATATTATGTTAAATTACCAGAGGGTAACTCATAACTCTCAGTATTGTTGCAGGTATGACAAAATCCAAGATCTGCCAGAGCTCACAGGGTTGACAGAGGTCATGACTTGTATCAGGTAGATGGGCTACTGATCACAGAATCTGCATCAATGAGCAAGTTGGTAAAGGCGGTAAAGGCGTCGGGCACCAAATACCTGGGAGAACCCCAACTCCAGGACCCCAACATCTGGGTCATAGATGTCCTGTTCTCATTCGTTGGCTGATTTTTACAGATGGTAAACCTCTGGTTGTTGGTGTCACATGTCTTTTGATTTGTTAAACCATCTTGGGGCCTGGGGGATGATGATTCCCAAAAAAAGTATGAAAACAGAGGGGTTGGAACCACCAGAATCTCCAGTTTTCATGAGCAATGAATTGATGGTTGGTGCCAACAGTGCCAAGCCCAAGCCCCACATTTCTTCACCATTACAGGACGTCAATGTGCCATGGATTCAGCATTTAATCGTCCCATAGATGTTTAATCCATGAGTAATTTATGAGTCACCAACAGATGAATTATAAACAAAACCACTTGGATAGTTGATCCACTATAACCCATGACGGATCCATGGTGCTGCTATATATGGTAACATGGATCCCATCAATATACCCCCAATGTTAGCATATATAGCATACATGGATCCTATGGGTAATAGTTTAATCATCCATTTGATGTTAGCCAGGTCAGAAGTTGATGGCTCGCCATCCCTGAATTGATTGGTCCCGACAATTGTCGGGCCACGTCGTGGGTTTTTTTCGTCGACCAGGCTGATGAAGGCGAAGTATGACAACTTCAAAGAGGCCTACGCGGCTCTGGATCCCAGGCCTGTCAACGGAAGGGAGATCGGTAGATCGATGTTCCGAAGAAAGTTCGACAGAGCTCCAAGAGAAAAACCATGAAAACAGCATAGTTATGCATAGTTTGATTCAGGTTTTGAGATGGTTTTTCCTGTTTTTTTTTGGGGGTATCTAATTTTGATCCAGATGATCCATCCATCAGAAAGAATGGATTAGTAGTGTATTCTACCAAAAAATATGAGCCAACAAATATGTATACACAGAAACACAATTCCAGAAGAACCATAGTTGTAACCCAGCTGCAAAACACAAGCGACTGCAAAGCAAGTCTAGAACCGACCTCTTAGGGAGGAATAACCAAGCATTACCTGGCTCTCAGATAAGACTCCCTCCAAAGACCCTGCTGGTTGGTGCAACCGCCCACCATCCCCATCCTCCCGATGCCCGCTGAAAGTTGTTTGGTTTCCCAAGTCCTCATCTTGAGGACATCAACTAAATCAACCCATATGGGTATCAAAACTTTATTATCTTTATGACATACCCATTTTTAGGGGGGATGACCAGCCACAAAATGCCCTTGGCTTTTGACCCACATCCATTTCAAGACCCTATGAATCTAGTTCTGACTATGATTTCTTTGACCAACTCATTTCCCCCAACTTGGAGAATTTCCCTCCCATTTCATCAAGATTTAGAAATCCCCAAGCTGCAGTTGGTTTCCAGGGAAGATGGACTCACTTTGGAAGACTGGGAGGAGCCTGGGATCTGCCCCAAAAATGAGTGGCTTGCGAGTCATCTAACACGAGGTTGCCGGTGTGACTCGTTTGGAGGCGGTATTTGATATTATTTGATATCATTTGATTCTAAAGTTATGACTGATTAATCAATTATAAAGTTACAACCAAGTTCCATCATCTGATCAACGGAGTCGAGTCTTGGCCCATGCCAAAACTTGTCTCTGAAACTTTGGTGATGACCATAGATGTTGGACAGTTTGGCCACTGCAAGACCAGTGAGCAGTTTCACTGTGAAGTAGCGAGGAAACCCCAGCAGACCAGCTCCTGTGGCTCAAGTTTTTGCCCCAACCTTCAGCGCTGGAGCATGTTGCGCGTGTCTTCAGCCGCGTCGGGCGCTGAAGTGGCAGTTCTTGATGTCGATGAGTTAGATGCGACAATGCCGGGCATAGGCAGATCCATTCTGGCGCTGAAAAAGTACCTCTCCCACCAAGTTGGTTGCTCTAGATTCAGACAAAGAATTCTGAACGGAAATGCTGGTGAGCTTTTTGATGATCAGGAGATATGTGCCCCAGTGGACTTGCAACTTGTGATTCTTGATTTTTGGCCATTTGAGGAACATGAAGATGCCAAATTCGTTTCTGCGTGCGAGCAGAATGAACTTGCACAACTTGAGGAGATTCTTCAACGACCACAGAACCCGGATGCCAGAGATCGCGACGGCTGGCCAGCACTACACTTCGCAGCACAGGTGGGCACTGCAAGCTGCATGGAATTGTTGCTAGAGTCTCGTTCTGATCTTGAAATTAGGGCGACAGAGGATGGCTCAACAGCTTTGCATTGCGCAGTCTTCAATGGCAATCCCAAAGTTGTGAAGGTGCTGTTGGATGCAGGTGCTGACAGAAATAGTGCACTGCAAGGAGGAAAAACGGCATTGCATCTTGCAACTCAGGGAGGCCACTTGGAAATCGCGCAATTGTTGCTAGATGCTGGTGCTGAAAAGAATAGTGCAACAGACGGCTTCAGCCCTCTGATATTGGCAGCTGAGGATGGCAACTTGGAAATGGTCCAATTGTTGCTAGATGCTGGTGCGGATAAGAACAGTGCAACCGAAAATGGCATCACGCCTTTGCACGCTGCAGCTCTCATGGCTCACTTGGAAGTAGTGCAGCTGTTGCTAGATGCTGGTGCAGAGAAGAACAGTGCAACCACAGATGGCTCGACGCCTTTGCACTATGCAGCTCAGAAGGCTCACTTGCAAGTCGTGCGAGTGTTGCTAGATGCTGGTGCGGACAAGAACAGCGCAACCGAAGATGGCTTCACCCCTTTGTACTTGGCAGTTGGGAAGGCTCACTTGGAAGTCGTGCGAGTGTTGCTAGATGCTGCTGCAGAGAAGAACAGTGCATGCAAAAATGGCTTCACGCCTTTGCACTTGGCAGTTCTGAATGCTCAGTTGGAAGTCGTGCGAGTGTTGCTAGATGCTGGTGCGGGCAAGAACAGCACAACCAAAAATGGCTTCACGCCTTTGCACTGTGCAGTTCTGATGGCTCAATTGGAAGTCGTGCGAGTGTTGCTAGATGCTGGTGCGGACAAGAACAGCGCAACCAGGAACGGCTTCACTCCTTTGCACTTGGCGGTTGGGAATGCTCACTTGGAACTAGTGCAGATGTTGCTAGATGCTGGTGCAGAGAAGAACCGTGCATCCAGGAATGGCTTCACGCCTTTGCACTTGGCAGTTCAGAATGCTCACTTGGACGAATCTCGTTGGTTGCTCTCGTTTGGTGTTATGACAAACCGGCATCAAGAGGTGGAAGTGGTCCGTTTGTTGCTCAAATCCGGAGCTGATGCAAACGCCAGGACAGATGCTGGTGAAACAGCTTTGCACTTGGCCATCAAACGTGGCTGCCTGAACATTGTTCGATTGTTGCTTGCCTCCCGAGTTGACATTGATCTGACCGCCGTTTGTTGCTGCCCCTGGTATAAATTCTTTGATTTCTCATGAATGTTTCGATGGATTTGGCATTTCTGCGAGCCAGGCAGAACTTCATCATTCTTTTTCGTTGCTGACTTTGTCTGGTTGGTGGTTTCAAACATGGCTTTTATGACTTCCATATGGGATGTCATCCCAACCCCAACTGACGAACTCCGTGATTTTTCAAGATGGTTATTGCACCACCAACCAGTTGTACATCTTTGTACACCGTGAATCCCGGAAGCCAATCGTTGGGTCGCCAGAAAGGAACGCATCGCCGGGTTACGCCATGGTCTTCGAAACGTTTTGTCACTGGGTCACCCTAAGTGCCAACAAGCCAAGTGTCAGAAAACCAGGCTATTCAAGAAAACCGGTGAATTCCATGGTTTTTCCAACATGGTGGCATTTCAAGAATCACATTGTTTCACATTGTTTCATATTGTTTCATATTGTTTGGCATTTTGGGGACAGAGTACTTTTCCAAAAGGCGCAGAGACATCAGTATCTTCAAATTTTCCCTGCCCAAACTCTTGGGCAACGCCATACAAGCGGTCCGAACAAATGGGGTTGAAGGGCCGTTGCATTCTTCGCAGATTTGGATCTTGTTCACACATTGCAGAAATTGGCGGGAATGTCATTCGGATATAATCTGAATACTGGGAGCAGCTGGTCAGAATTTTGGAATTCGAACATTCTTTAATTGTGATTTCAGATTTTTCACCCTTGATCAGAAATTTCAGTATGACTTGTGCTGCTAAGACCAGCCTGAGATCTGAGGAAACAAGTTGATGCCATTGGGTGGGGCTGGTACGTTAACGCAGTAAGCATGCCACATCGCAGTTCAACAACATGTTATTTCATGTTCCATCGCAGTTTTCATGTTCCATCGCATAAAAATCATACCCTCTGGTAAACTCACAGTTCGCCATGGAAAATCACCATGCTATTCAGAACGGTAAACCATCTATTTCTATGGGTCATGGCTTCCATGGCAAACTGTTAAATTACCAGAGGGTACCACATTTGCTTGTCGGAGTTATGGGACCCACACCATTGGGTTTTACGGACATGTTTGTGTGAAAATTGGCGCAGCAGAATGCCATGTTATCCCGTTGTGGATAACAAACAGCCATTTTTGAGATTGAAATGGGGTAGCCTCTGGTCAACTAACGTAACAACATTTAAAGTCACCCTTTTAATGGGTAAATCATGGTAAATCACTTATAAATTGGATTAAATGGGCAATTTTTAATAGCTATGTAACAAATTAGAGGAGAGTAGCTGTATTTTGAGCTGGTCGGGGCCCAGTCGCCCAGTCCTGTTTCGGTAGTTCGAAGCCAGGAGAAGTGTCAGGTCATGTGGCCCTTTGGAGAAGACACCTGGGTGCGGGGCCTGCGGGGCGACTTTTTTGGGAGAACACACGGATTGAAGCGTGCACAAAAAAAGGAACAACCAATGAACAACTATAATGCGATCTATAATAAAGTTTCTTTGGTGATGTTGATCTTCATATCAGCTTTATGCTCATACTCAGCCTATATTTAGATTCATGAAAAAGGGATTGGTTTTGGGCCTAAAATGTTCTGTGGGGAAACCTTGGATGGGATTTAAACAGTCATTTGTGAACATACCCGACTGGACCTAGGGACCTGGGGCCCTGGGGACCTAGAGTTCGTGTCACAGGGTTGGTTTGGTTGGATAATCATAGACAATTGCTCTGCATATTTCTGTGCTGGCAGGTCTATTTTCTGTTTACAGCGAGCCAAGGTTTACCCAGACCAACAGATGTCATACCAAATAGGCGGTTAGGAGACATGAGTGGTTGCGATGTGTTCCAGCTGACAAAATGTAATTGTTACAGGGATTGGGCACAACTACATGGAACCAGTCAATTTTCCTATGTACCTCGTTATTGGCAGTGCCCGGTACCAACTGATTGTGTTGCCTTGTGTTATTTTGTCATTATTATAGCCTTCGTACTCCAAAAGCTCTGGCTTTTGCTGCTGTTGTTGCTCTGCAAAAAAAAAGAATCCCATCAAGCTGCAATGTCATTACCCAGCCGAGGCGGCCACCCAATGATGTTTGTTGGTTTACAAGCCCATCTAACTTGTTCGATATAGATATATCCAGCAATATCCAGCAATCCTAGTTAGCCATCCTATAATAACCAACTTCCCTAGGGGTCCCTTCCTTATTACTAGTTGGACATATATCCACCCTGAATGCAACAGTGATCAGGTTCTGATCCACAACCGCATGGTGGGCGAAGGAAAAAATGCCAAGGTCGTGGGGCAGCTGGGAAGGGGCAGGCCAGGGGGTGCCGGCTTCATGGATATAGCAATGGTTAAAACTATGTTAAACTCAGCATAACTTGGGATATGGGGGCCCTGTAATGGATTATGGTTATAATGGACATATACTTATAATTGGAACTGCACCCCCAAGTAGGGTGATTGGTAAGGCACATCAATCAGAAATGATTTTACCATACAAGGACCGAATTAAATTCACAATCCACCCCTTAAACCAAACATCGAACCCTCAAAACGAGGCCCCAATAATGATGTTCATACCGGAAGCGGCCCTTATTTGGGTTCCATGTGAGTTTCTCTGGATCTAGGCCTGACGGTCGAGGATGAGGGCAGATCCTCAAGTGTTGGTAGCCTCCAGGTGTATCCAAGTCTCAAGAGGTTTATTTTGTATAGGATTATTACATATTATTACTTCATGTCAGCTCCATTTCGGGATTTCCAGTTGTGTCCGGATTGACGAAAATGGGGCTTTGGGCCATAAAATCATCCATTTTCCTATTGAGTAGAGAAAAACATGAGCTTACCTCCTCCTGGCTTTTCCTGGCGTGCTCATCTATGGTTGCCATGAAAGGTCACTAGTTGTTATATGTTGTTATTTTTAGTCAAATCTGGCAAAGTACTGCATACAAATTTGATATGTATATGATTTTGAATATATATATATTATGACTTCTATGAATAATATTATACTATTCACATAATATATATATATATATATGTATGTATATATGTATATGTATATGTATATGTATATATATATATATATGTGTATGTCTGCCAATGTATATACACATTTTTCTATATACATATCGTACACACAATTGTATAGTTAGTATAGTTATCACATGTTATCACCACATATCTTTTTTTAGTGACCCACAGAGTTTGCCACAAGGAACCGTGCCAGCCAGGTGTTTCTCAAAGACTTTGCCAGCAGTTTGTCCTTGGCCGTGCCCGTCGAAAGCTTGTACACCTTGCGTGTCCTGGCTGAGGTCACAGCTCCCGATGCTGAGGATGTCCCAAATTCCCATTGGTTGGTTGAGACTATTGGAGGAGTACCCCCCCCTAATTAATAAACTATGGTTTATTAACCACTATTAACCACTATTAAACTATGGTTTATGAATCCGGGGTTGACATTATCCAAATGTTGGTTGATGAATAGAGGGGTTTGAAGGTTTACCCCTTTAACAACAGGTTTGTTTGATGATAGATGGTATACCGGTATACCAGCTCCCAGCCCCTCTAATTTTACCAAATGGACATTATTGGTCGGGATGCTGTAATGTTGTCATTATTGCTGTCAGAATCATGAGACACTCCCGGCCGAGTGTGATTATTCCCATTGAGGTGTTATTATTAACATGTAGCACTTCTTTTTCACTGGGGACATTCTTGTAGTATGCAGGTGTTCCTAGAGTTTGGGGACTCCGAATGATCCGGAGTGCATGACTTTCACGTTTTCGTTGTTTATTTACACTTACCCAATCTGTCCCAATTGTTTATAACCCACGAAACTAACTTATATCACTATATCACTCTTCTAGATAGTACAGTGGTTAAACCTCATTTTTCTGAAACTGGGCACTAATGACACACGCACACACATATATATATATATATATACTTATATCACTATATCACTTATTCGTAGATATTAGATAGAACCTTCCTGATGATTTTCCAATTGATGAGTGATCATTTTACAGTGTATCTAATATCAGGATTCACGAAGAATACCACTGATATTAGATATAGGTGGTATAATTATCACTAATCAATTGGATATATATATATATATATATATATTGAATCTTATCTTCTAATATCAGACCTCACCATCTGGTTATGACTAACAGTTCGCCATGGAAAATCACCATTTTATAGCTAGGTACACCCAGGTAAACCATCTATTTCTATGGGCCATCTATACCATGGCTATATTAGTCATAACCAGACAATAAATCCCATTATATCCCCTATAAATCCCCATAAATCACCATTAAATCGTGGTTAAATCACCATTAAATCACCATTTATAGTGGTTAAATCACCATTAAATCACCATAAATCACCATTAAATAGTGGTAAACCATCTATTTGTATGGGCCATTTCCCATGGCGAACTGTTAGTCATAACCAGAGGGTAAAATCCCACAGAAATCTCCTCCCACTGCTGCGCCAAAACGACCAGGTTTGCGGTGTCAGAAGCTGCACGGCTCCGTGGCCAAAGCCTGGACCTTCCATCTGGGCGAGGCGGACGAGGCGCTTTTTTTCGTATCGTCCCAGGAAAATTTCACCATTGAAATCCATGAAAAACATATATAGTATATATACATTATAAATATATATATATATACCTATTATATTATATATAATATATGGAAAATGAAAGTGATATAATATATGATCTGTATATAATATGTGCCTATATATATATGTATATATATATATACATCTGGGTAAATTATAACGGCCTCACTGCGACCTCACTGGAAATCATGCTTAATAAGGGGAATCATCCCCAAATGGCCTTAATTCAGGTTAGTGAAATATTATAATTTACCCATGGCCCATATATATATAATATTATAAATGTACCCTCTGGTTATTTAACAGCCATGGAAGCCGTGGCCCTAATCGAAATAGATGGTTTACCTGGGTTTACCTAGCTATAAAATGGTGATTTGCCATAGCGAACTCTTAAATAACCAGATGGTATATATAGTGACATGCATTACTGAAATATATAGTTCGACATATTTTAATATATATATATATATATATATGGGCGAAACATACTATATATATACAGAGTAATATACAGTTGTAAACCAGTAATATGTTGGGACATACCAATTGTATGCATATATATATATATATAAGTAATATGATATGGATACGCTAGCCGCCATGTGGGAAAGCCGCCACTTCAGGTCGACCTGGAATGATGATTAGGATTCTTGTAACTATCCCAAAATAGCCTAACTTTTAGGGCTGGTGAATCATTTTGATTTACCCAGGGCCACGAACAATTAAAACAACTAAGAATTGTTGGGTTGTTGGGTAAATCGGGGGTTGAACCAATAAAGACTCGGAATTATAGTTCAACCATGGGTCAACTGATTGGTGTTTGTCTTAGTTTCATATGACCTAATCTTTTGCAATGTCTCCGGACATGTTTGCTCAGCAGCTCAAAAAAATGATTAAGTCTGTTAAAATCACAAGTTACTCGATCCATAGGAACGGAAATGGGAAGACGTTGCAATGATTGATGAACACCTGAATAGAAGCTGAGGACTTTGATTGGAGACTTGGAGTTGAACATGGAACCATGTTACAATCATATGTTTTGTTTGCAGAAGAGGCTCCACGTCAGAATTGCTGATCCTCCCAACTGGAGGAGGTAATGTTACTTTGTGGGTTAGTTGTGGTGGATCTTGAGTTGGATGGGTCGGTTTGAACCGATATACCCAGTTGGAAACCCAGCTGGTTTCGTATATTTTAATAGATTCACTGGGGGTTGCAATCTTTCTAATGTTCAATCCCATTTCCTATGATCCTCACTTAGCCAACATGTTTCAGATGAAAACCACCAACTTTTGATACCTCTATCATCAACCCATCCGCTAGCCTATTTGTGTCCGTTGCATCCTAGTCGTACAGTTGCCTAACTAGTCTAGTGGGCACCAACTTGCGGTGAATATCTTTTCCATGGTACCTGAGCGTTGTAAAACATGGGAAAGGAAGATACCCTCTGGTAAATAAACAGTTGGACCCTGAAAATCACCAAATTTTAATGGTTTCACTAGTCCTCCAACCCCAAAAATAGCCAGGGTCTATGTTAATAATTTACCAGAGGGTACCTTGTTTTTATGCGAAAATCATACGGATCACCGGCTTTTTCGCTACATAAACCACCCTCGATTTTGTTGGATGAAACAACTTTCCCATTGTTTAACTGGACGGTTGGTGGTTGTGCTGTCGAACACGTAAACCCGAGATTTACTGTAAGGCCGCAGTTGAATGAATAGATTATATAAATATAGTTTAATCAAATTATTAACAAGTTATTGCCATATATATATATATGTATGCAGACAGGAGTTCTCTCAAAATATTAACAAGTCTGCAGGGCCGCCCGCCTGTCGTTCCTGCTGTGCTGTGCCGACGCTGCGACAAGGTGAGTCTGCAGAAGTGGCAGCAGTCGATGCTGAAGATGAGCGTCAGTCACTTTGAGCCTTGGGACGTTTTTCATTAATTTCACTTGGATCGTGATAGATGAGATGGATGATGGATGATGGATGATGGATGATGGATGATAAAGATGAGGACCAGGATGAGGATGCGGATGAGTATGAGGATGATGATGATGAGGATGATGAAATCGGGTGTCTCACATTTCGACCCATCAACTGAGGCGTTGAATATGACGGGGTAAAGCTTGGATAGTTTAGTACAAATCATTTGCTATACATGGAGCTAATCTTATTACTAGTCTTTTTGAAGCAAACACAGGGTATCTTTTTTTTTGAGGGGGGGGGATGTGAAAAATCCCTCTTGGTTCTAAAATCCCATCCCCCCAATTTCCTGGACCCTCAATGGTCATATATGGTTTCATCCCCCACTGAACTACCCTCTGGTAAACATACAAAAAACTATGGAAAACCACCATTTTGATAGGTACATCAACTATTTCTATGGTCATTTTCCATAGCTATGTTAAATTACCAAAGGGTATGGTTTCTGGAGGGTGTTTAGTGGGGAAAAGGACAAGGACATAACAAGGACTATTTTTATAGTCCCCGAATCCGCAGATGTTCCAGGGTCAAAGTATGATGGATTATGGTCATCCATTCCACAGGTTTTTATTTTTAGTGGCTACTGACATCTCTGTGACCATTCTCCAATCCAGGTCCAGAATCCAAGTGTTGATCATGGCATCATATGTGCCATGGTTTCTCAGCATGGGTGGCTTTCCCATATTTTGCAACGGTCATCCATCCATTAACAGAGAGATTTACACGTCCATTATAAATTATATATAAGGATTCAAATTCTGGAATACATTCCCGTGTAACTTGACCCAAACGCACATATGAACCATTAAGATACCCCTATCTCATCTCACTATACTGGTTGGCTAATGGGTTTCCCACTATGGGTGATCATAATCTCCATTAAACCAGGTCGAAAGTCTCCCCAGGTCTTCATCACCAATCAAGCAGGGTATATTTAGGTATATTCACCAGTATCATCACCACTATTCACCATTATGACAAGTCGCATTTTGGCTGAACAGCCATTAAATAACCCTTTGGTTATGACTAACAGTTCGCCATGGTTAAGCCATGGGCCCTAATCGAAATAGATGGTTTACCTATGAACAATGCATGGTGGATCTTTCCATGGCGAACTGTTAGTCATAACCAGATGGTAACCGTTATTACCAATTATTGACATCTGGTTATTTAACAGATCTGTTAAGATCATATACTGATCATGATACCAGATGGTTATTTAACCAGATGATCTTCCCAGATCTTCCCAGATCTTCCCAGATCTTCCCGGTATCTCCGAGATATCTTCAGCGTCACGTTTCGGTCGTCCGGTCGCCAAGGACGCGCTTCAGCTCTTCAGACTGATCATCACCAGCCCCTTCCATGCTGCGATGCCTCCGCACCTGGGCGAGCGATGCCTCCATTTCTTGACATTTTAGTGGGGAACATGAATGAACATGAATGAACATGGTGGTGACTGGAACCATGGTTAATATAATGCTTAATAACGGTTAACCTATGGTTAATATACAATGGTTAATGGTTGGAATAACAATATATCTGGTTGGTGGTGACTGGAACCATAGAATTTGATATGACTTTCCATTCAGTTGGGAATGGAATAATCATCCCAACTGACGACCTCATATTTTTCAGAGGGGTAGGTCAACCATCAACCAGTAATGTTAACTATCAAATTTAGGGGTGCCCTTTTCTAGGACAAAGCCATTTGGAGCGTGAACCCCACACGGCGTACCGGTACTTTTAGTTGGCAGCTGGGGGTTACTAAGTGGAATTATCCTCCAAGTACTTGGTGATACGCATCGCATATAGAAGGTGAGAAAAAAACGGTGAAGTCTTGGGTAAACCTGGAGGGCAATTGGTATGGTGGGTAAATAAGCTATAGCCCAGGTGAAATAAATTTATCTAAGTGGGGTTCTATCGTCCACTTGTAAGTGAACAAATCTACTTACGATTCACAGAATGAACCACCACAGGATGGGGTTCCCCTTTAAAAGTTGGTTTATAAACCATTATAACCACCATAAACTATAGTTATATCTACCATAAACCATAGAATTCAGCCACTGAAATAAGGCAACTTCACTATCTTGGGGGCCCCATCCTGCAAAGATCGCTTCAGGTATGAAGTTTTCGAAAACAGACTTGGTGACCTGACCGACTCACTGGTGGAATTGAAATCTCTTGTGGTATCCCATCGTTGATCTCTTGTGTTGATGTTTGTTGATTATACCATTGTATCCCTTTAGATTCCATTAATCTTGGCTGGTGAATCCCATAAAACTCCCAGTTTTCCATGGTTATCATATGTTAGCATCCCATGTTCCATAGTTGTTTTTTCATCACTTGTGCAACACTGAGGTCGCAGATCAGTGTGGGGCCCAGCTATGGGAAGATCCACCATGCTATTCATAGGTAAATCATCACAAATCATCTATTTCTATGGGCCATCAGCTATGTTAAATAATCAGAGGTTATATGTTTCCATATATTACCATCTGGTTATTTTTTCAATAGCTAATGGTATTACTAGGAAACTATGTTTTCCTTTTTTTTTACTATGTTTCCATCATAGTGCGAAGGGTCAAAATCGGTCATTTCCATAGGGGAAATAAACATCCAAACACCAGCTGTTTTCGGGTACCGTTTGGGTACCGGGGTTTTGACCCATAACCATATATCACCCTCTGGTTATTAACCATTGCAATGGTATTACCTATTATACCTATATTAATTAGAAAACTAGATGTTCCATTCGTTTTGAATTGGATGATGGGAAACAAATGTAGGACAATTCATATTGCGGGTAAACTTGTGGGGAAAACATCATGGTTTCCAGTGAAGATTGTCCCTTCAACCACTCCATTAAATTGTTGTCATGAAATGTGATGAAATGGTACTGATAGGATTTCTTTGGGTCCAAAGAAATTCAAGCTATCCAACTATTCCACTAATTAGTCACTAATTATATTATAATATATCTACATGTATTAAAATCAGTATGCCCTCTATTGGTATTCATTGATATTTATTGACCATCAAAAGTCATCATGTACGGAACTAACCAGAAGACTTCCAGCGCTTGGTAAATGCCAACCGACTGGCGCTGTAAATCAACTTGCACCTGCAATGTGGTGCCCCCAAAATAGGTAGTTTATAAGTATGAAAAGTGGGATTTGTGATAAACTAGAGGCATTTACAAAACGACAAACACAGCTGGGGGGCACCAACTGGAACTTAGCCACGTACAACCAGGGGCGGGGGGACGTTATTCCAATGCAGCTGGGGTTGCTATCCAAAATAGGTACGCCCATACTCAGCATAGCCCATACCTACCATAACAATACTCTACCACAAGTATGTAAAATTGGTACAACAATATACTTATGGTAGTGTACATAACTGTTGAATTTATACTGACTATCAGTATCATACTATACCCACCATTGGTACTAATTGACCATTGCAAGTGTTAGAAAATTGTTGGACATGGGTATGACACAATACAATACATTGCTGGGGTAAATTACGCAATGGGTTAGATAATCTTAGATATCAATGGGCTTATAAACTTCAAATGACAGCTATAAACCTAAATAGTTATACATTAGACATAGCCTCCACCCACTAACAGAGGGCAATGAAGGTTGGTAGGAAACATGATCGTTCTTGCTGCCATTCAACTCGTGGGTGAAGGCTGTGTCCACCTACCATCCCTGCAATTCGTGGCCGGGTCGTCGTTTTTTTTTTCAACAGCTATGAGAGCCATGGCCCATTTAGTTCGATGGTTTACCTATTTGAAATATCACATGGCAGTGGTCATAATTAATCTATGTCGACATAACATATCTATCGACCATATAGTTAATTCCTCTATAGTTCTATATAAGACAACTTGGCGAGCTATCGTTTTTTTTTCCCATCACCACTTCACTTCAAGGTGATGGCCTGCGCATTTCTCGTGCGGCCTTTCTGGCGGCACCTGGGCCAACATCTTCTTCCCAAAGGAACTGGTGAGTTTTTTTCCATGTGAGGAGTGTTCAAAACCACTGGCAATGGGAAGAAAATGTGGTCTGGAACTATAGGCAAAACTAGTTCTATCCACTGGTTGCTGGTGGGTTTGGAACCATGGAACCTTGTTGCTTGATGATCTGGCAATGGGGTTGTCTTATAGACTTATAGAATACATAGGGGATAATCACAATTTGATGAACTGGGAGATACTGTCAAACAACGTTGCGTATAAAAGGGACGATGTTGCGGGTTTTGAACGGTTGTGAGCACTGTACAATCGTTCAAACGAAACGGATCGAAACGGCCCTTTTATGGCGTTCTCAACCTGCAACTTTTCAAATTTCTTCAGAAAAAAGACACGTCATTTAATTAAGCCACAGTGAAAAGTTTGTAGATTACCCCATGTTGAGGGGTGATCATCAATTCATGACCACGGACTCATGAATGCTCTATGTGTACACTGTATGGACAATGATTATTGGATGACCACAGCGCATATGCCATGTTTTGACGGCGGCAATCTTTAGATATGATTTCATGATGTTTTATTGTGCTACCGTTCCAAGAATGTGACCATTTTGATGCACCCTCTGGTAAACTAACATATATATATACATATAACTATTGGAAATCACCATGTTTAATGGCTAAATCCACTATAAATGGTCATTTTCCATAGCTATGTTAAATTTCCAGGGTAATCCTTGGTTTGGCTGCTCCGCAACTTGAATTTGCCGGCATGGTAAGCGGCTTTCAAGCTCCATGTGATCTCTAGCAGAAATTTGGGCTATTTCATATGACCCACGCATACTGAGATTAAGTCCCAAGTACCCAACCGCAGATCTAACTTTAGTTTTTTCATGATGTTTCAAATCATTAGAATATTCCAAAAATATTAGGTGATCATATCATTATATGCATTTATCATTATATTAAGATATTCTTCGATATTCTTCGTGATTTATATCCCCAGTCGTACCACCTGACCAAGTCGTCCGATATCAAGGCCATGAGATCTTCGGCGATCGATGCCAGCAACACCATGTGAAGATCTCAATTTGGGCGGTGACATGGGGCCAAATCTTGGGGGCAAAACCACGTGGAAAGTCATGTCAGTGGCCATTTCAGGAACCGATTGATTGGAGGTATAAGCCTATGGTTCAGGGCTAAATTTCAGGGGATATCCCCACAAAATATGGCCTGACAAATGGTACAGCACCTCCATTTTAGGATCTTGAAATTCCCATGGGAACATCATGGGAAGGTATAGGAAACACAAGGGGGAAATGCCCTATACAAGGAGATTTAAATGGGAAAGTCATCCATAATCATCCATAAATAGGGGGGTTTGCAAATGCCACGTTTGATAATCTGAGGATAACCAACATGATTTAGCGATTGAACACGTGATTTCAAATTTCATTGATTATCGACATTGAACATGATTTCGAGATTTAAGATGACTTAAAATGGGGATTCAACATTAATGAACAAACGTAGAGATTGAACATGATCTATAACCAAAGAAGATCGGGATAAATTTCTTCAAGAAAATCAGAGACCAACCCACAAAACAGCTCCGCGGCAGGTGGCCAAATTTGGGTTGATATGTTTTACTCTTTGCCGTCTCATTTTGGGGGAATTGATACCCACAAATTCATCGACTTTTCAAAAATGCAACATAAACACAGATGGATGATGTAGGCTAGAACCAGCACACTTTCTTGGTGGATGTTGGATAGTTCAATCGATATGTCTTTTTTTGTGGGGAAGCTCATCAACTGAGTAGATTCTTGACCGGCGAATGCTTCAGAAATTATTGAAATATTTGATGAATACAAGGTAGAACAAATGAACAGAAACCAAAGATGTAAATGTAATTGGATTGATTCAAAGTTTAAAGGAACATCAACCGGAAGCCATTTGATCTTCCTTGTTTTTTGTTACTGATCTTACAAGTATGTGTTTTTCCTGTCAAGTTTCCCTTATAGAAATCCCTGAGAAGAGAGGACGATTTCAGTCGGCTCCGGGCACAGATTGGAGCTCCTGCAACGGACGCGGAGTCTCTTCCCGGCTGGGAGACCTGGGCCATGGTGGCGGCGTATCCATGGCCAGGGTGGCTGTCAACAAGATGATATGGTTTTTACAACCCTCAATTTAAAATCAAAGCTGAAAAGATAGATAGATAGATAGATAGGATCTCAAAGATTATTTTCCTTCTGGTCTTAGTGGATTTCATGGCAATTTCATGGGATGTAAGAGGTCGAAAGTTGGGATTTTGACTCTGACAACAGCTCCGCGATTCACCCGGAATCGTGGGGACACCCTTGAGAACCTCCACCCATCATGGCACAACCTCTGGTAAACTAACAGTTTGCGAACTTGAATATGGCCCATTTAGTTCGTTGATTTACCTATTAACAATGGTGATTTTCCATAGTTTTTTGCATGTTTACCAGAGGGTAACCTATACCTATATCTGTAAGTGACGATATGCCATGTAGACATAAGACGTATATGTATTCTTCGAGTTATTTCACGTTTCACATGCTCATAACCTGCTAGTTAGCACATCCAAGTAGGTGTTTTCGAAAATTGAGGACCCTCAAAATACACCAACATTGTCGATTTTACGAGGAGAGAATAGAGAGATTCGTTTGGTGGTTGAGGTACTGCACGCCATAGATTTGAGCGGCTTGAGCGTCAAGCCCATGTCCAACTGGTGGGGTCGTTCCATATGAACCAGATAGATGAACCAGTGAGGTCCAAAGCTGCAGGGGGCAGTGGGTTGTCTAGGAACAGATGACGTATTTTTTGGCAGATTTTGGGCAGTCTGCACGAGGAACTTGGAAAAGCTGGAACAAATCTTACTGAATTCCCCACATTCTAAGCTATTCTAAATTGGGAGAAGCACGTATTACACAAACAAAGAACGAATAGAAACTAACCTATCCAAAACATTACTCATTCTTACCAGAACCGAGTAGGAAATCAACCAATGAATAGAAGCGAACGATTCAGATCCGGCAGCTTCTTCCGGTTCACAGCTGAGATTCTTCCGCATGACTTGGCGGGCAGGTGTCGGCAGCTTTTGAGAGCCATCCCTTTCCCAGGCGGGTTATTTTTTTTGGGGAGTTAAGCATCAATTCCAGGGGAAAAAAAACATCTTATAACATGTTATAACCATCAAACATAATAGGGATATTATGATATATATATATATAAGTAGTTGATAACTGATTATCAAGATTGGCTACCTTTTTTTGGGGACTAAGAAAGTAGACCTAATTTACTGGGGATTCTTGTAACCCATGCTTTCCGGGAAACCGTTTTCAACCAACGAACGTACAACGTTTGGATCTTCTCAACATCTGTGCAGATGGTGGTACCTTGGTGCCTCCGGACGTGAGAGACGTTTGTTGGTTTATTTTCCCCCCATCGAAATATACCCTCTGGTTAATTAACATAGCCATGGAAAATCACCATTTATAATAGGTAAACCATCTATAAATGGGCCATTTTCCATGGCTATGTTAATTAACCAGATGGTAGTTATTTCATTAAAAACTACTGTAAGATTTGTGATGATTGGCTTATGTTAGCGATAAAACCCTTGTTGGTTACAGTTTTTTTGTTTATGCTGGTTACAGTGTCTTATAGTGGTTGTTTTGTAAGAGTAGTTATAAACTCAGGTAGCTAACTTTGTTGCACCATCTCTGTGTTGAATAGTTCTGCTTGGTAGCTTCAGCAATGAGAATTGGACGCAAGAAGGTGCCATTCAGGATGGGACCCTAAATGGACATTGGTTTATGAACCCATCCAACTCTTCAAATATCTGCCATAAACACAATTAGTCTACCAAGATGCCTATCAACTATAAAAATCCAATAAATCACCTAGAAATCACCCACAAACCATCTTTCCATCAACTTGCCTATCTAAGATTATCTAAGGGTCTCCTTCTCAGATGATCCAGTCGCTACTTGCGACAGCCGCCACGAACTGTTTGTCCAAAGGCATCCTTTGGACCAGAATGCCTTTGCAGAAGCGGTACCGCCAGCGGCCAGTTGTGTCTGTTGTTTTGTTGGATGTGATGGGTTTAGGATGGGTACGGTTGGTGGTGCCCCCAATCCTTAGCTCAGTTGGTTTAGAAATGTTTAGAACTACACTTGTTGGGTCTATTCTAATTTATAAGTGTACTTAATGTCATTTGTAAACCAACAAGCATCACTCGAGGGGCACCAACAAGCATCACTATTGTGTTGATTTGATAAAGATGGCTGGCTGGAATAAACAGCCCAGCCACATAGCTCATTTCTACTGGCAGATTGGTTCTGACCCAGATTCCAGCAGCAAAATTCATGTTTTCAGCGGCCTCAGATGTGTCCCAGTTGCGACATCACCTTTGATCCTTCTTGGTTCGCAGTCGGCTTTTGTTCGATTGCCGAAGCAGTCGGGACATCCTGGGACCCAAAAATTCTGACCGAAAAACATCGAACTGACCAGTAACCAGGTCATCCATACATGGGGAATGCTACTGTTTGCTATGTAGCCTCTGGTTATGACTAACAGTTCGCCATGGAAAATCCCAACCATAAATGGAGGTAGAAAAAGCTGGGAAAATCATCTATTTCGATTAGGGCCATCTATACCATGGCTATGTTAGTCATAACCAGAGAGTGTAATTTGCTTTATAAGTAGTCGAGCCACGATTTATGATATTTATGGTGATAGTCACTGTACTTAGGTGGATTAAGCAACACATACAACTAGAAAGCACCACCTTGCATGATTCAATTTGATCGGCTAAATCTGACGAAATCTATGTTATAACCATTATATAATTATCCCCATTCTATCCCAATTTTAGATGGTTGAATCCCATGTTTGTTCGTTAATATCCCCTTCTTATCCTCATTCATCCCCAGTTGAATCTCATGAAACGGATGGGGGCCCCCAGTGATGTTTGTTGGTTTATAAACCTTTATACTCCCCATAAATTCTATAGTTATATCTACCATAAACCATGGAATTCGGCCACTTTTTTAAGGCACCTGAACGCTATCTTGGGGGCCGCAGGGCCCCATCCTGCAGTAAAGCAGCAATTTTCTCCGTGCTCACTTCATGGTCCCTTTAAAGGGACCCCCATGGGAAACCCGGTCGCGCTCCCCGACGCCAGGTCGCGCCCATCCTGCAGCGCTGCCGCGCCGCGTCGCAGATCTTCGCATCCTCCGAGGCACTTCGAGAGGCGCTGGTACCGCCGCAGCACGGCGCTGGTTCGGCCAAGCTGCCCCACAGATAAGTGGCCCGTTAACATAGCTATCGAAAATCATCAGTTTTAATAGGTAAATCTATAAAGTTGTTCATAGTTTGTCCATTTAAATAACCTCTGGTAAACTAACATAACTATGGAAAATCACCATTTTCAATTGGTAAATCCACTATAAATGGCCATTTTCAATAGCTTAAATTACCAGAGGGTATAAATTGGCTTATCATTCCATGGAGTTGCCCTAGAAACCTTTGATTTATGCTAAGAAATGAAAAATATCATGAGCCATAAATAGGGGTATAACTAACTTGTAACTGCAGGGATCTTCTAACAGGAACCTGGAAGCCCAAGCAACCAGAAATAACAATGGTTATTTCCCCAAACAACCATGTCTGTTTTGATCTGTTTGGTAAGGATTCTGATCCCTACAATAGAAACACAACCATTCATTCTCGGTTCTTTTGTGGTTCCGGGCAAAGAACTCTGGGATTTTATAATGGGAAATCATGTTCATGAGAATCCGGACATGCGTTTTTTTGCAGGAGGCCATTCTCCTCTTCAACTACTTGGACGTCTATTCGGAGGATCTGGGTCCAAATCAGACCAAGATTTCTGGTTGGTACCCTCTGGTTATGTCAAACATAGCTATTGAAAATGACCCATTTATAGTTGTTTTACCCATTAATAATGGTGATTTTCCAGTTCGCTATGTTAAATTACCAGAGGGTAAGTAGAGAATGGTATGGGGTGATTGTTGATAGTAATGGATTGGATCATTCACCCCCGTTCTCTACGTTTAGCATCAGTAAGCAAGCATGAGACTGTTCCTACATGAATCTTCGGGTGAGTTGATCGTTTTGCGAAGTAATCTGAAGAGTATCGTGCTGGTCATTTCTGGTTATTTGATATTATATCCCAAAAAACATGTTCGTTATTTTCTTCAATAAAACGGAACAGTTAAGTCCAAATTTCGACTGGTTAAATGCCTAATTGTTGATGATGAAATCCCATGAGAATCCAATTGAAATCCACATTTTTGGTGCTAGTATGGCACTCAAATCCTATGTGGTTGGTTCAAACCCCCATTTAACTTGGTCAAATCCCTTCCTGTTTCGTTGGCAAAATATCAACAAGTTGGCTCTTGACGAGGGCCTTGTCATGGTTGAGAGCCTCTTGGAAGTCATGACAGCTGTGCAGGTGGGGGGATCCAGTGGTTAGGTGCCAAGCTGTTGGAATTTCATGGCGATTTCATGGGGATATCAATGGTTGCGGGGAATATCATCTTGAAATGTGGCTTGAACATGCTTGAACCATCATTTACAAGAATAATGTCTTTGATCGTGATAAATGACGGGATTTATGACATCACCAGCACAATTTATAGGATCATGGGTTGGGACAATCTGAGAAATCTGACTGGGGTATGCAGTATGCTGCAATGAACAGAAAGTGTCAGAAAGTAAAGAGTTATAAATTATATATATATATATCCGATCTGTTTTTGGGGTTGCTTCGGATATGTGATATACACCCATATGAGTTGATTGTACACGTTGATTTCTATGACATTTGAATGATGATTTATCTCTACAATCAGCTACTGGGATCTCCAAGTAGTCACTCCCGGGATGATATTCAAGCCCTGCGGCATACCCCCAAAAAATCAACAAATTTGCTCCCTTTCTTCATTTTTCAGTCTTCTACATTTCTCTGTTCCAAAGGCGTGAAAGCGATGTGGGTTTGTTCTGCTTCGTCCAAAATAGGGTGGAACCAAAATGCACTGAGTCATCAGCCGAATTCGCGATGAAGATGGCCATGAATTGGGGGTAAAGCCAACCATAATCCACCATATTCAGACACCCACAGGATGGGGCCCTCCAGTTATGTTTGTTGGTACAACCCGATCTAAATATAGTTATAAGATGTTGTAAGTACCATACACTATGGTTATATATGATATATAACCATAGTGTATGGTACTTATAACATCTTTTACATATGGTAGTTATTATAGTTATGTTCACCAACTGAACGCTAACGAACTGGGGCTTTTTCCTGCATGTAGAAATCCTTCTCTCTTATCAGGCAGCCTATCTCTTCACCGAGGTGCGGATGTGGCGGGGGAATGAGTGATGGCCCTAGTTGAATTAATCCCCGAAAAGATAGAAAAGTAGAACCCTATCAAAATAGTGACACATAACTTTCCTATGATTTCTTTTTGGATTAGTACAGTTGATACCAAGATAAAATCCACCTTCTCTTGGCTGGCTCCAGCTTTCCAATAGGTTCATCCCCGATTCATCCCCAGAACATCTCCATGTTTGCATATTTTCCCTCAAGATGAGCTATATATATATATATACATATTAAATATATATATATTTAATATGTATATATATGTTAAATACATTAAATATGTATATATATAATATTAAATAAATAAATAAATAAATATATATATATATATTATGCACATTTCCATCAGTTTCCATCAGCGTCTGATTTTTTTGCCGGAAAGTTTGCCGGTGAAATCTTCACAAAGTCATCGAAATATAGATATCTAGAACATATTACAGTAGTGACAATAGATATATCTCGAACATAGACGAACAACCTTATACATACATGATGGTGCCCCCCAGTTATAAGTTGGTTTATAAACCCCATTAACTATAGTTATATCTGCCATAAACCATAGTTATGGGAGTTATAAACCAACTTATCTAACTATGGGGCACCACTTTGTAGGTATTTGCCGCATCTTCAATTGTTGGTCCTCGAAATTTTGTCAGCTGAGGATCCCGGCGAGAGCCTGGCAACTCAGGGACACGAAGTGCGGGGAAGTCAGGGCTCGGTCCAGTTCCCAATGAGTTAACTAGGATGATTCAGATATACAGAGGTTGGGGGTCCCCCAAATCATCCATTTTTTGGGGGGATTTTCGATGAAATATATGAAATAAACCATCCAGCGAGCTTGGGGTACCTCCATGAGTTGGGAAACCTCCATATGATATAGAAGATCTGGCTGTTCTATGGTTTTATGTAACTTGTTATAGGGCATTATATGATATATCAATTATATGGACTATTGGAATATCCCCATGGATGAGTTCTATAGATATAGTAGATGGGTTATTGATCACTGGGATGTGCTTCCCCACCGAAAGTGGATCAGACAACCCACGGTCCCATGAATTGCTCGTTTGGACAACAAGGTGAAGGTGAAACGACCCCTTCCCAGGACAAGTTTGTAGCAACCCCAAACAACCACACCATAGATATCCATAGATGCTTGGTTGGAATTCATATGACATCCCTGAAACGGCCGAAGAAGTTTGGGAATGTCACCATCCTTAAATTCTCAAGACTATGTCTGGTTGGTGCTTTGGAACATGAATTTTAATTTTCCATTCAGTTGGGAATTTCATCATCCCAACTGACTTTAACTCCATCATTTTTCAGAGGGGTAGGGCTCAACCACCAACCAGATGATGCTTCCAGCATCTTCCAGCTAGTACCTGGACATATTCTTCCAGGGATAAGGTGAACAAACCGAACACAGTTTCCAGTAGTCCAGCCAGGCAATGGAAGTTCCACCATGTTAAGGTCTGCATTGTTTATGTTTTCATGTGTTTTCTACATGCTCCAAAAAAACGATGGGATTCCTACGTAATCCTATGTATATATTCTCGAAAACATGTTGATATGATCCCATATCCTTCCATATATAATCACATATGTTCACTATTAGAAACTGGACAACAACTTAAAACAATAGAACAAATCTCATGTTTTTTTTTCCATCAACACCATAATTAAGTTGAAAAGCCAGAATATATTTTTTCTTGATGGAAAAAATAGAACATGAAGAAATATGGATATCATGGCATCTTCCATGTTTTTTTCTCATCAAATATATGGAACATGCCATGAAATCCAGATTTTGTCCATCCCATATGCTCCATGTATGGAATATTTACCAACATGGAGCATTTGGGCATGAGAATGTCCCATCGTCAGGTTCCATCACGTTCCATCGTCGAAATCGGCTCCGAGGTATTTTGACCCGGGCCACGCCCAGTAGCTCCATCTACCGCTGGCAGAAACGCCCCCCAGTCGCAACTGGTTGATGTGAGATGGGACATGGGGCTATAGCAACCAAAACATGATAAAGAACGGTGAATTATCATGATTTACCCTCTGGTAAACTAACATAGTTATTGAAAATGGCCATAGAAATAGTGGATTTACCCATTGAACATGGTGATTTTCCATAGTTACGTTAGTTTACCAGAGGGAATCACGATTTACCAACTTTATCTTTTTGCAGGTTGCTATATATATATATATATACCTGGTTGGTGGTTCGGAACATAATTTTTTTGACTTTCCATGCAGTTGGGAATTTCATGATCCCAATTGACAAACTCCATCATTTTTCAGAGGGGTAGGTATACCACCAAGCAGTATATGACAATATACTGTAATACGATACATCCATATTTCTGGCAACAAACTGAGTGTCTGCAGGTTGCTATATATATATATATTACCCTCCAGTAAATTAACATAGACCCTGAAAATCACCCATGTTTAATGGAAACTAGTCTTCCAACCCCGACAAAAAGCCAGGGTCTACGGTAATTCGTGTTTCTTTTTTAGTGGATTGGGTCCACAGTCGACCGGATCAGCTGGATGGGCAGTTGATCGATCGATCTAAGGAGCACCGAAGTTGGCAATGGGGCTTTTAAAAGTGCAGAATTCACCTGGTGATGGGGTATTTGAAGACGTTAAAATCTTGCGATTTAAATGTGGATCAACACTGACCAAGGAGACCATGGATTTAGTCCTTAGTACATATCCAAACCATTCCAAACCATACTTGCAAGTGTTCAGGACTTACAAAGAATCATGTGATAAGCGCAATAAGATGCCATCGAACGATTATCACTGTTCTGCCACTTGGGGGATACTAAAAACCATGCCAAACATGGGGGTTAATCATCATGGTTGTCATCGGTTTCACCAAATCAATCAGCACAAATTATCTACCCTCTAATACACTAACATAGCTATAGAAAATCACATTTTTTAATAGGTAAACCATCTATAAATGGACCATTTTCCATGGCTATGTTCAATAACCAAAGGGTATATCATATATCTACAAAATATGGTTTCAAACCCCAAAATCTACTACGATGCTTATCCAAATCCAATCATTGTCGAGATCGATGTGTCAAGGCGAACCAGCCTCGTTGGCTGACGTCCGTTGACGGAACCGCTAATAGGAACTTCCCAAACTTGACATATCCCAGATTGGCGTGTTACAGTCGTCATCATCATCATCATCGTCGTCGTCATCGTCGTCGTCATCGTCGCGGTGGTTGTGGTTGTTGTTGTGGTTGTTGTGTTTTTTTGTGTTTTTTTGTGTTTTTTGTGTTTTTTTTTGTGGTTTTTGTGGTTGTGGTTGTGGTTGTGGTTGTGGTTGTTGTTGTTGTTGTTGTTGTTGTTTTACTATGTTATTTACTATGTTATTTACTATGTTATTTACTATGTTATTTACTATGTTATTTACTATGTTTTTTTACTATGTTTTTACTATGTTTTTTACTATATGTTTTTTACTATATGTTTTTTTTTACTTTGTTTTACTATGTTTTACTATGTTTTACTGCTATGATTTCTTTGGGAATCACAATTATCATTATCCTGGATTGGTCTTATCACTACTATATACACTATTATCCCTACTGTGATCACAACGATTTTTCTATGCAGCATCACTGTTGTTGTTACTACTGTAATTTCTTTCAGTATTATTACTACAATTATTCGGCCACATTATTCCTCCAAAAAGATCGTATCATCAGTATTATACACTGACTATAGTTTATACAAAATTATACACTACATTATACACTTGACGGGATATAGGGTTCTCACTAGTTGCTACGCCAACCTTTGGCTCAAGAACACCGCTGCTAAAATAGCGAGTTGCATATTCTCCGTTCATGGTAGCGGAGCGATACGCTCCAGGGTCTTAGCAATGGACCAACAACAAGCGGCACAGGTCCTCCAGTCGCTCCAGGAACTACAGACCGAGGTCAATCGACTAAGAGGCCGAGAAGCTGAACTGACAGCACAGGTCGCTTCTTTTGGTGCCGGTTCGGCTGCTTCAGCTGGACCTGGCAGTGCACTGGCACAGTTGGTGCAGTCACAAAAGGAGCTTGTGGACGCCCTTAGATCGAAAGAACAAGTCCGGTTGGTCGACAACAAGGGCCTTGGCAAGCCCGACAAGTTTGATGGGACAGCCGAAAGATTCTTGTCATGGAAAATCAAGACGTCCTCCTATCTTGCAAGTGTTCGCAAAGACCTTCGTGAGATTCTGGTTTGGGCCGAAGATTGCGATCATGCAATCACTGCAGATGACATCGACAAGGCTTTTGGGAGTCAAGCAGATGCCATTGACCAGGTGTCGAACATCAGTGAATTGAGACGCGAGCTTTGGGACGCGCTGCTAATGCTGACAGAGCGTGAGCCCTTTGACATCGTGCTGAACACCGGGGAATGCGGCATCGAAAGCTGGAGAAAGCTCACGCGGAGGTACGACCCATCCACTGGTGGTCGCAAACGCGCTCTCCTCAATGCAATCTTGTCACCGGCTCGATCCAAGATGGAAGATTTGCCGTCCAACCTGGAGAAGCTTCTTGACAGCATCAGACTTTATGAACGTCGCAAAGACGCATCTGGCAACCGAACGATGTTGGCAGAAGACATCAAGATCAACGTGATTGAACGATTGGTGCCGGCAGAGCTCGAGCGTCATCTCGTTCTCAATCGAGATCGCTTCAAGACGTTCGAGTCCATGCTGTCCGAGATCCAGTCCTATGTGGAACATGCCACCGGCAACAAGATCAAGGTGGTGAATAGCCAGCCCTACGACGCACATGGCCGTGGGGACGATCCTATGGATGTCGGAAGCTTTGGAAAAGATGCGAAGGGAAAAGGTAAGGGCAAGAAGGGAGCTGGAGGAAAACCTGGAAAGGGAAATGCAACAGCTGAGAAGAGAACATGTCACAACTGCGGACGCCCAGGACATCTGCGGGCAGATTGCTGGGCACCTGGAGGCCCCAAACATAAGGGGACGGGTGGCAAAGGCAACAGCAATCAGAATAAGGACAAGGGCAAGGGCAAAGGCAGCCCCGGAAAGCACAAGCAGAAGCCCAAAGGAGGCAAATCTGTGAACAATGTCGAACAAGGTGAACCAGAAGCAGAAGACTGGGACGCAGCTGATGGCGACGATGGTCAACAAGCAGCAAATGGTTTAACGCTCTATGGCGTTGATGGGCCACCACATGACGAGGATGACGACGAAAGTTTCCAGGTCGATCCCGAGTCCGAGGAGTCGGAAGCCTCGACAAGTCGCAGAAGGTGGTTTTCTTTGCCTCACCCACGTGCGTCATGGCCTGAAGAGTGGGACGACCCCGACTATGATGGACCGAGTGGATCGAGTGGCTCAAGACCCCTTCGGTCGCTTCGACTGGAGGAGGTCACCGAGCACGAGACCACTACATCCAAGTCCGCGTCTTCCAAGGCACCTCGAACGCCACAGGGAAGACCCAAGAGGGGCAGAAGTCCAAAGAGCTCAACACCAAAGAGAGGCAAAGCAAGCAGATCAGGGCCAGTCACTCCGGAGTCAGCACTCCGACGCTTTCGAATGACTTCGATGACACCACCACCAAGGAGAAGGTTGAGGCATGGGCCACAGACTCCAGAAGAACTTCTTCGTAGCTCTACACCTTTGCCAAAGACACCACCGACACCTATAGCATGGCCTGCATCACCTCCACAACAGCCGATAGCCTCGCCCAAGACTCCACCAGGACCACCACCAGGATGGCAAAGCCAAGTAGCTTCACCCAAGACTCCGCCATGTCCACCACCGGGATGGCAAAGCTCTCAGGTGAAGCCACCACCACCTGTCAAGGCATCATCGGCAGCCTCGACTTCAGGTTCTCGACTTGTCCAGATGCTGAAGGCTGCGCTGAGTTCGCAAATCCGCAAAGCCCAAGAGGAAGATCCTGGCTCAGGAGATGGCCAGTCAGATGCGATGTTAGCGGCTTTGAGGAACAGATCTGTCAAGGCACCGCACATCACAAAGCAGAACATCAGCGATCCTTCTTTCCACGACTCGAGATACCATGCCGAGATTGCCAAAGGTGTTGCACACAATGTGGCCTGGAGAAATGAACGTTTGAGAAGACGTGCAATCGTCCACCGACGAGGAGGAGTCAAGGCACGTGCGGCTGAAAGGATTCGACTTGACAAAGAATGGCATGAACGCTTTGACAACCCAGAAAATCCAGAAGGCATAGTGAGAATCGAGGATGAAGACAACTTGGATGCGGGCATCGAGACGGTGGTTGTGGGCAAAGCTGGTCAGAGCACAGTGATAGAGTTTTCAATGGAAGAGCGGAAAACTTTGAGGCAGTTCCCGGACGACGAGGCCAAGTTGCTGCGGAAGGATCCCAAGAAGAAACCCATGACCAAGCGTGTTCGAAGCGTTGGGTACAGGGTGAAGAAGAATCGCAACCGCAATGTGGCGCGCAAGATGGCGAGGAAGAACCGACCAGCCTTGGTTCTGAAGGAAAACACTGAAGTGGATGCAGATGAAGATGATGATGAAATGGAAGAAGTCTACATCGAAGAGCCCGATGAGCCTCGAGACCGACTAGGCAGAGGAGACCCCGATGGTGGAGCTGGATCGGCTCCTGCTGCAGTCTACAGCTTGGGGGCCTCTGACGACTGGCGAAAATGGGAACGAGCAGAGTTGAACATCGACACCGGTGCTGCCATCACTGCAGTACCACTTGACTTCGCCAAGGACTACCCGAGGAGCGAGTCCAATGGAGCAAGCTACAAGGCAGCCAATGCGGAACCCATCGAAGATCAGGGAAGTGTGAAGCTGGTGGGATACGACGAATCTGGCAACAAGATCCCAATCGATTGCCGAGTTGCAGATGTGCATCGGCCACTTCTTTCAGGTTCCGAGATCGCCAAGAACTACCACATCGCCCTTGGACCATCTTCGGGGAGATTGATCCCAAGAAACACTCCTGCGGGACGGGCCTATTCGAAGGCCATGAAAGATCTGATCCGAGATTATGGCGATTCAATGCCCATTGTGCACAATCGCCGAGGCATCTATGTGTTGGACTATTGGGTGTCACCTTTTCAGGGGCATCCTCAAGAGGAGTAAGACCACAAATCAACGCTGTTGGCGAGGATCCAGCTGTTTCAGCCGGAGCCGATGCCATGGAAGATGGAGGCGATGTTTCAGCCGCTTCGGCCGGAGCAGGGTCCTCAGGCGATGTTCCAGCTGCTTCAGCCGGAGCAGATGCCTTTGAAGATGAAGTTGATTTGGAAATCGGTGAAGAACAGAGGAAAGCCATTGTGAAGAAAGAACCACATCAACCATCCCAAGCTGAAGTTGACGAACATGAAAGCACTGGACATGTTGTCCATCGGAGCTGGTGCTTGCACTGCAAAAGGGCACGTGTGACTGCTGATCGCCATGTGCCTAAGGAACTTGATGAGCCAGAAACGCAGTTGCCCACGCTGAGCCTGGACTACTTCTATATGAACCAGGACCAGGTTGCGGATGAGGCGACCCTTCCGAGCATTGTGGCGAAGTGCCACAAGACCAAGAGATTTTGGGCGAGCGTTCTCCCGGGAAAAGGGGCGGATGCGTTCGCAATCGCGTGGCTTGGGGGAGTTTTGGATGATGCTGGTTTTAATAAGGTAATCCTTAAGTCTGACGGTGAACCCTCCTTGGTATCCCTTAAACAGAAGGTTAAGGAGATAAAGACCCACATCGAAGTGCACTTGGTGGAAACCCCAGTAGAAGACCATCAAGCCAATGGGTTTATCGAAGTGGGAGTGCGAGAGATAAAACGACAATGTCGTGCTCTCCTCAGCGACCTGGAGTTCAAGCTGGAAAGGAAGGTAGATCCGGGCCATCCACTTTTGGTTTGGCTCCCGCGGCATGCTGCCTTTCTCTTGACGAGATACCGAGTAGGTACTGATGGAAAGACCGCTTTTGAGCGGACCTATGGACGAAAATGGCGGATTCCGCTTGTGAGGTTCGGTGAAAGCATCCTGTATAGGCCGAGGGCCAATCGTGGGGGCAAGAGAAATGACCTTGCTCCAAGGGTATCCATTGGGATGTACGTTGGAACTGGAAACAGAAATTCAGACGTCTTTGTCATGACGGAACGTGGAATCATGAAGGGGAACTCGATCCATCGACGCCCACCTGACGATCAGTTCAAACATGATCAGTTTGACTCGCTACGTGGCCTTCCTTGGAGGTTGCAAGAACGAGAACATGGTGGACTGAGGATCGCCCTTCCCGATGTTGCAGCGCCTCGTGAAAGGCCTGCAGTGCAAGAAGTGATCCCAAGGAACCTCTATGTCACCAAGAATGACTTGGAAAAGCATGGGCACACACCTTTGTGTCCTGGATGTGAAGCAGCAATACTTGAGATGCCAAGCCGAGCTCACAATGCTGAGTGCAGACAAAGAATCCAGATCGAACTTGACAAGACTCCAGAAGGTCAAGAAAGGATCAAAAGAGCGAGAGAGAGAGTTGCACAAGGCAGGCGCCCAAGAGGCGCGGCTGCACCGCCTGAGGGTGGTGGGGCAGAAGGTGGTGAAGCTACACCACCAGTTGTCCCAGGAGGGGAAGTTGAACAACCAGTCTTGCAAGACCGTGTTCCTTTGGATGCGGAAATGGATGCAAGTGAGGCTGTTGGTGAACCACTGGTCGACACCGATTTTCGTGGAGAACTCAGACAGAGAGAACAAGAAAGAGAAGGAAGCCCAAAGAGGCAGAAACAAGAACAATCCCGAGGAGAGAAAAGGAGTTCACAAGTCGACGTTGAAGATCTTTACAATGAATCTTCAGCTCAGGCTTCAGGGTCAGCCGGACCACCGGCACCGGATGCTTCATCTGGTGTTCCGGAAGGTGCTGCCGCTGCACCAACAAGTCCTGAGACAAACCAGGAGATGCTACATCTGTGTTCCTTGCTCAAAGATGTGATCGCAAAAGGGAAGGTTGCTGAGATCTTCTCTCCACCGCGTGTGGCTGCACAAGCCCAAGTGGTCGGGCTAGCACCTGGCTTCTCGATTGACTTGGAGACAAAGCGTGGTGATGGAACTCACTGGGACTTGAGTAAAGATGAACACATTCGTGATCTGTTTCAACTGCTTGACTATGAGAAACCAGAGTTCCTCGGCGGCTCACCTCCCTGTGGGCCATTCTCGAAGCTGCAAAACATTGTGGATGCGAAGGGCAATGTTTCACCTGAAGTTCGAGCGCAGAGACTAAAAGATGGTCGCAAACATCTGCGCACGGCAGTTTCAGCGTATGAGCATCAAATGAATGCTGGAAGGTACTTCTACCATGAGCACCCTAAAGGGGCCGCTTCGTGGGAAGAGAGAGCTGTGAAGAGACTGAGGGCAGATGAACGGGTGTATGAGGTCACTGGACCAATGTGCCGTTGGGGAATGAAGGCCGCCGATGGCCAAGGTGAAGGGTTAGTGAAGAAAGAAACTACCTGGCTCACGAACTCTCCAATCCTGGCACAGACCCTACAAGGGTGCTGTTCAAACAAAGAAGGCAAAGTTTGGCACCGCCATGTACATCTTGTTGATGGACGAGCCCGAGCTGCCCAGAAATACCCACCAAAGCTTGTCCACGCAATTCTCAAGGCCATTAGGCGCCAACTGGAATGTGATGGAGAACTACACTCACTTTCACATGGCCCAGTACCCGATGCTGGACCTGTGATCAATGAAGAGGAGGAGTTTTGGAAGCAGCTGCCCGACAGCGATGACACCATCGTGGAGCCAGTGCTTGACGCACACTCCGGTGCTGTCTTGGATGTTGACAAGGTCAGAGCTGCTCGACAAGAAGAACTAGCATGGGTACACAAACAGGGTATCTATATCAAAGTTCCACTCACAGAAGCCCAACAGTCTGGAAAACCGGTCATCACCATGAAATGGATTGACAGAAACAAAGGGGATGCAACACACCCCAACTACAGGTCACGTCTGGTCTGTAGAGAGATCAAACGGGCCAGCAATGCTGACTTCATTCCGGACTATGCGTCCTTCAGTTCGATGCCGCCTTTGGAATCGCTGAAATTGCTTCTATCGCTTATGGTGACTTTGAGACGATCCAAGTCTGGCAATGCACTGAAAGTTCGTCTTCTTGACATATCACGCGCTCACTTCTATGGAGAGGCAGAGCGTGATATCTTCGTGCAGTTACCTGAAGGAGATCGACAAGAAGGGTTTTGTGGCAAGCTCGTTAAGAGCATGTATGGAACACGCGATGCATCAGCGATCTGGCAAAGATCATATACAGAACTTCTCATCCGAGCTGGTTTTGCCAAGAATCAAGCTTGGCCATCCTGCTTTTACCATGAAGGTTACGGTGGTATTCGAGTTCTTGTACACGGAGATGACTTCGTGGTGCTTGCTGATGATGCTGGACAGAAATACCTTGAGGACACCTTGAGGTCCAAATATGATCTGCGGGTCGATGGATCGATCGGTCCTGGAGAACGGCATCAGCAGTTCGCAGTGCTCAATCGAATCGTGACCTACAACGAGCAGGAAGGCTCTGTATCCTATGAGGCGGATCCCCGCCACGTTGACCAGATGGTACGAGATCTAGAAATGGAAAAGTGTAAGCCAGTCAAGACACCATCTGAGAAAATGTCAGCCACGGAGGCCAACTTGAAGTTGACCACCCCGACCATCACACCGGACCGTGTAAGTTTCTTCCGGTCTCTGGTGATGAGAGCGTCGTATGTGGCACAGGACAGACCTGACATCGCGGAGGCAGTGAAATGCCTATCAAGAAGAATGCATGAGCCCAAAGAATCTGACTTTCAGGATCTGAAACGCTTGGTGAGATTTCTGAAAGGGAAACCACGTGTACTTTTGAAGTTTGGTCGCCAGAAGTTTGCTGACACGATCCACATGTACGTGGACTCCGACTTCGCTGGGTGTTTTCTTACAAGGCACTCAACAAGTGGACTTGTGGCAACCTTTGGCCGCCACACGGTGAAGGCCTCGAGCACTCTTCAGAGCACGATCAGCTTGAGTTCCGGTGAAGCGGAATACTACTCGATCGTTCGAGGAGTTTCCATCGGAATGTCGCTACAGGAGATCTTGCGAGGATGGGGCCTACAACCAAAACTTAAAGTGCACACAGATTCATCCGCTGCGCTGGGAACATGTAACCGTCAGGGCTTAGGCCGCTCACGGCATGTTCAAACTCGCTTTCTGTGGGTGCAAGAAAAGCTTGCACTACATGAATTCGAACTGGTGAAGATCCCGACAAAGCAGAACGTAGCTGATTTGTGCACCAAAGGTTTACCTGCGAATGAGATGGAAAGACACATGCAAAGCATGGGGTTCGAGTACTCTCATGGTAGAGCCGAAGCTGCAAAGGCTTTGGAATGAGTGTACATCAGCTTAGGAAAATCCCAGCCTCTGTACAGGAGGGGTGACGGGATATAGGGTTCTCACTAGTTGCTACGCCAACCTTTGGCTCAAGAACACCGCTGCTAAAATAGCGAGTTGCATATTCTCCGTTCAACACTATTAGTATTTATTATCAGTATTATACACTATTATATGATACACTACATTATACACTGTAGTACTACCACTGTCTCCGATTCTTTCCGGATGGATCCAGATCAGGTCAAGCCAGGCATCGACCGTCTCGAGGCGGGCTAGTCAGCAAGGTGGAGAAATTGGAGAAAAACCACCGAACCCTGGAATCATGGTTAGATTGTGGGAAATGATCCCCAAATGGCCGAACTATTCAGGTTAGTGAATTATTATAATTTACCCGGAATCATACCCTTTGGTTATTGAACTTCTGCGGCCTGGAACAGCAGCATTTTTGTTGTAGTGTTTCGAATGATTTTTTTTTATGAATAATCTATAAATGGCACATTTCCATAGCTATGTTAAATAACCAGAGGGTATACACGGTGGATATAGCAAGATGTTTCAGAAAAGTCTTGATTCACATATCCTTTTGGTATGAAATGTGTGGATGGAAAATCTTTGTTTTTTTCATGCAGTAATCCAGCTTGAAGGTTCAGATGAGTCTAGGAGTATAGGACCGGGCACCCCACAAACTGTCTGAAGACCCAGTGGCAAGCGGGGCCCATAGATGAAAGAACGGGATTCTCCATGCGAAACTGAAGAAAACCATCCTGAAAGGTTGTAAAGAACATAGTAAACCATCCCCACTTTACCATGGGTTGTACAAACCAACAAAATATTCAATGGATTGGTTTAAGGGAAAATCTACAGGAAACCATAGATGTTCCCACTAAATATGGGGTTTTCCTGTAAATTGTCCCTTAAACTTTAAACCAATCCATTGAAATATGGGTGGTGCATTATTGCTCTACTAACATTACTCCATGGTTGCACAAAGGTCGGTCGAATGATGGAAAATGATAGATCCAATGGAAAACAGAGCCAACAACGCACGGTCGACGGTCGGTCAGGTGAAGGCGATTTCAGAGAGACGGTCTCCACGTGTGACGACTCAGCTGGAAATCAGGGCTGCAGCTGGATTTGCTGACGCTATTTTTGGGTTTCAACATGTGACATCCACCATCTGAATTGGGGAGTCTGAAAGACGTTTGTTCGCTTTCTTGTGACGTGTCAGCAAATCCAAGTCAATGAAGACTTGGAATGCTGTGCGTTGGTATACCCGGAAAGCATTGGTTTGTGGATGATAACTTGGGTATCCCCACTTTAAGAAACCTCATTTCCCTTCATGTTCTTGCTTGATAGGTTTCTTCGTGTTGGTTCATGGACCCCATTCTACTTTGGTAATGCACATAATGGATTGGTTAGACCCCCATTGTTCTAGGAAGTGCACGTCCCAATTTAATTGCAGTTGGATCTTTTGTCCCGAGTAAAACCACTTTTCATTTGGGTAAGCTTTGCCAATGACTAGTAGAATCTAAACGTGTGCAGCCTGATTTTTCATTGGCTAGAGGCTAGATCTCGCTTTTTTCCCTTGGACATCCCCGTCATTCTGGGGTTGTTTCAAAATTAGGAACCCCGAACCCCCAATATAATATATGTTTTTGACAAATCATGTTCCGCATCAAAATTACCATGAACTGATAGGCCCTCCCAGATACAGATTGGTTGAGTTTCACATCTACCTGGAATCTACCTGTAGATTAATCTCCACCATAAACATCATAACCCCACCAGTTTGCCTACAAAACAACTTACCCACTTAAAGCATCGTTTTGGGGGCCGTCGTTCTTTGAGGCCGACGCTTAAATCCCAGGTCAGATGGTAAAAAAGAAAATAACTTAAAACATTGGGCTGTTGATGGTGGAACTCCCATGGAAATCCAATGCTGATTGAATTTGGATCCCATCAAACTATTAATACCCTCTGGTAAATTGACAGTTTGACTCTGAAAATCACATTTTTTTAGTGGAAACTAATCTTCCAACCCCGAACAAAAGCCAGGGTCTATGTTAATTTACTGGAGGGTAAATCCCAACATCATCATTACAATCCCCAGTTGATCCATGATGTTCTATTTTGATTCGTTCAATGGCAGCATTAAGGTGGTCGAAATCACAGCTTCTTCTCCCTGCGAGTGTCTATGTGGGTTTGTCTGAAAATTGGATCCCGATTCGGATGGATTATCATCATGTTTCCTTATCAAGATGGCTATTTGTGGGTATCCCCTTCTGACCTTAATAAGCCATCTCAATGTGACAACATATTAGTATTATGGAGACATTATCAATGATGATTACCCTCTGGTAAATTAGCATGGACCCTGGCTTTTTTTCGGGGTTAGAAGATTAGTTTCCATTAAAACTTGGCTATTTTCAGGGTCAAACTGTCAATTTACCAGAGGGTATCCCCTATTTTCAGACAAACCCATGTGTCACCTCTGCAAAAGTCTCAGGATGCCCTCTTTGGAGGACGGTAACAGCGGCGACAGCGATTCGCAAAGTGAGTCGACATCGAGGTGCCAGTTCTGTACAGAATTTTCACTGGTAATTTGTTACATAGCTATGGAACATGGCCCATTTATAGATGATTTCCCTATATTTCCCTATGAAATTGATGATGGTTTATAGCTATGTTAAATTACCAAAGCAGATCAAGTTTCAGCATTATCCAGCTTGATGGTGGCCCTAGATGTTTTGGTCAACATCGTTAGAGTCACCGCCTGTTGTTTGTCGTGGGAACAAGTTGTCTATTCCCAAAGAGGATTGAAGTGATATGTATATTCTGCAGCAACATAGCCGATGTCTTAGCATGTTTGATCTCTCATGTCGAATGTTAGAATTTTGAACAGAGGAATGTTTGATCTCTCATGTCGAATTAAAACTATGGAGGATTTTATGTTGCTGAGAGTTGCCATAGTTTTAATGTTCAGACGAATATTTAGCAGCTCTCCAGCAACCCTGGTTGGTGGTTTGGAACATTTTTTATTTTTGCATATAATGGGAATAATCATCCCAACTGACTAATATGTTTCAGAGGGATTGAAACCACCAACCAGAACCAATCTCAAAATATCTCAAAATCATCCCCAGTGACTGCCATAAGCCATGGGATTGTCCATGAACATGTGGGCTCCAAACATACCCGTTGTGCTTGGATTCCTATGGCGTGTTTCTTTTTTTGTTGTGTAGTAATCATATCAGAATCATGCATCATTGTTGTTGATTATATACCCATGATGAACCAAATCATAGATGGGCACAACATTGCTGCTTATTTTAGGATGCTCTTCAATGTGTATGTCATTATGTTGTTGCTATTGCATACATATATATATAATTATATATATATACCCGTGCTGATCGTATATCATCATCATAAGCATGTTATTATCAGAATCATCATCATCGTTTTTTTTTAATATATACAGATAATATACCCATCATATACCATGATATAGCCATCATTCAACATCTTCCACAAGTTTGGCATTTCTGGCCCTTTATGGCATGCACCTCCCCTATGCCAGGCCTACCACCATGGGCAGCCGCGGCACTGTGAGGTTGGAGCGGTTGGCGCGTGTAGAAGCCGGGGATTTCCCTAGGATATGATGATATTTACATCGTTGAAATTAAACATAAAGGTCCATATACTATACTAACACAACTATACATAGACATAACTAACATAATAACTTATGGAACAAACACAACTTAAGGTCCATAACAACACAAGTACAACTAATACAACATAATCAAGTAACTAAACTAACTAAACACAACTATAATGTAACTAAACTAACATAGTTAACTAACTATAAGTATAACTATAACTATTCATAACTAACATAATAACGTATGGAACAAACACAACGTACCCTCTGGTAAATTGACAGTTTGACCCTGAAAATAGCAATGTTCTAGTGGAAATTAATCTTCCAACCCCGAAAAAAAAGCAGGATCTATGTTAATTTGCTGGAGGGTACATCATTGAAATTCAAGGAACATGGCAGAAAATCAGTGTAATCATATACTCAATAGATATATATATATTTCAGCATGTCTTGGTGGTGATTTTGAGTTTCCAATGATAACATATTGGTGGTTTCTAAAATGGGTGATCCCCAAGTCACCATAGGTTTCAATACAAAGCCATGATGTACAGTAATGACTTGGATGATTTGGGGTACCCCCATGACTTAGAACCCCCCCGATACATGTATAATATACATGACTAGTTTCCAAGGTGGTACCCTGGTTTGTTAGCTGACTGAACTAGTTTATATAAAACTAGCTCAACTATTGGTTTTATGGTGATGAAACACCTATGGTTAGATGGGTGAATATAAGCCAACTTAGAACGTTTTGGGGGCACCACCTTGTATCATATCTTTGGGATCATATCTTGGGATGACGAGTTCTTCAACTAAGAGTCAGATTTGCGACACTATTGCATTTTGAGTTGATTCCAGGACTATTTTATTGAAGAAAAGAAGTATCATTTGCATATGATTAGAGTTGATTCCATTCTGCATTTTCTATATGCAAAGTTGATTTCCATAAGTATCATACACGGCATTTTGCACATTTTTACTCTATTGCCCGTGTTCTCAGTATTCCTCCGTGACATGTTTACCCCTTTTTGGTATTATGGGTGCCTCAAAAGGATCGAACATGGACACATCGCGACGGAATGCTGGACTGCAACGGAATGCGGACTGAGGCAACCATTATCCCTTGGTTCAGGGCAGTGAATCTTGTGTTTATTTTGAAAAATGAGTATACTTATCCAGATACATGATTACAGAATATTACAGATCACTCCGCAATTTCAAGGTTTCCATTTATCCATGGATTTTGGGTTGCTATGCCATCCACCAAGCTCGGCTATGCAATGCTATGCCGACCTGGCAGGTTGCCTAGCAGTCGTGGAAGACAGGACTGCAGAGATTCATTTTTTGCTTTGCATCAGGATGGCATGTACTGTAGAAATGCAAATGTTGTTATGTGTCTTTCGTCACTGAATTTATCACACATACATGCAGTACACAGTAATAAACATTACACACCGAATGATGTAGTAAGGTGATGGATGCATCACCACGACCACTCTAGATGACTCTAGATCTCTGGATCGTACGATTGATCTCCAGGATATGAAAATTAATGTGTCTATGGGTAGTTCCGGAAGATGCTGAGCCAACATATTTGCACAAAGCACAATCTTGTTTGATCTCCATGATTGGTTCGTTAGGATCGTTTTGGCAGTCCGGAATCATCATTTTATAACACCATGTCCCATTGGGCAGAATAAACATTATTGTTACGAATTCCGAAGCAAATTCAATATCACATTTCCATCATGTTCCATCATTTCCGTTTCTGTTGGTAAAAACCATGAAACAAGACATGCGAAAGGATGCAAGATCGACCCTCTTCTCGTTGCTTATTTCACGGGGATTCAGCCAATCAGCTGCTTACCGTTTGTATTTGTAGCCAACAATCCAGCTGATCATCATCAATTCTTAATGAATGATAATTTCTTGGAGCATCTCAGCATCTCCATTTTCAGACCCAAATATCATACTGTTGCTAATCATATGCCCCCCAAGAAGCCCACTATGGTCAGTTTAATCCACATTTCTTAGGGAAAACTACAAATTTCCATGAGCATGGCAACTCTCAGACGGACCCATCTCTGGATTGTAGCCATAGACTTGGATCCTGGATTTGCCAATTTGCACTGTCCCACTTGAAAGTTCACTTAGCAGGGGATCAACAAGGCACTAAATTTTACCCATGAACTTTGTTTTATATCCATGATTACCATTTATATCCATGAACCTTGTCTTTTGCCAATGAAGATTACCATTTCTATCCATGATTCTGGTTGCACCCCTTTTTTTGGTGAATTTTTTGGAGTATCATCCTACTGAAAAAGAGATTCAGTGGTGAATAGGCGCCTCATTAGGTCGTCCCCTACGTGGGGTCATTCACCATGTCAATCGGAGAATAGTGGAGTTATGAAAAATGGTGAATAAGCCAGGAAAAAAAAACCTATATAATAATATTGATCCTCCTGCCAATTTCCACTACTAAATGCTATGTATGACCTAGGTCCCGGAAAGTGA